TCACCCAATACTAATGAACACCTAAAATTTTGCTGAAACTTTTGATCTAGTTTATTGAGTGTAAACACTTCCATGATGATGCCCATCAATTGAGAGGGGCACAAGGATGTTCAAGATATGTCAATTTGTTTTAATTAAGAAAATAATATAAAATTTATAAAAATAGACAATAAATTTTGTTAATATTTTTTATTTTAAAATATTTAATTAAACAAATTTGTTAAATAAGTTATCCTTATTTTCTTTCTTGGTTTTTGGTCAAGTTATTATTTGTTTCGGGGTCAATTTGGTCAAGTTTCTTTAGCTTTCTAAGTTAACCCAAAAAGAGATTAGTATCCAGGCCGAAGACTCAGCTACGACAAAAAAGTCACCTTTAAAGTGGAGCCCATAAAGAAAACAGCAGTCGGCTGGTAGGGCCCGTTGGGTGGGCCCAATGTCATCAAGGCAGAAAAAAGCCCGTTGAAAAACACCATTAACTTGCCAAAATCGTCCATGCGAGTGAGAGATGTGATGACGCCCAAAAAAATACAATGCCTTTAAACACGTTTCGTCTTTTTTCCTTTTTTTTTTTTAACAGTTTTCATATATAAATTTGTAAAAAAAACATCAATATATCGTACTACCATCGATTGCTTGAACCAACTGATAATATATAATTTAAATTTAACCTGATTCGAATAGAATTATTTATAATAAAACACCATTAGTATAAACTAAATCATTAAAACGACTTTATGAGATTATAGTCAATTGGATACATGTTTCAATCACTTTTAAAACTTGTAGTAAATGTACAGTACAAGTATGAAGCGCAAAGCGCTATCAATATGAGTTAAGAAGCGGGATGCTCCATAGTTCACTTTAGAGATGAAGTTAGAAATATTCAGTTGACATTACAAAATGTTAAAAAACTTATAAATATATAATAAGGTAAAAGTTGATATAAACGTACCATGATTATATATAAATATAACCAAACACGATCAAGCTTATGCGTCAATAGAAACAATGAACGACGCAGATTGGAAGTATTTAAGAGAAAGTTGATTGAAAGTTGCAAGTTGTGAGGCACTGTTCATATCTCATATGGACATGGTGGGTGGCAAGTAGACCCACGCGAAAGGGTTGGAGGCAGAGAGCATCTAAGGTCACATCCAAACATAACTTGAGAGAGAAGTGAATGTAAAACGCAAGAAAAACAACTAAAGTTGAATTAGCTTTTCAAATCTGAACCAATCCATAGTTTCCAAAATCTCCTCGGGACTCGTAAACTGCTTTTATTTATTTTTAATCTTAACATTCTTCGTCCCGTTCGTTTCTTATTCTTCAATTCAATTTTTTTGTTTTTTGGAGTGAGGTATATATATATATACAATGTGGTACGTGGTGTTAATTTTGAGTAATTCAAATAATGAAATTCTTTATCTATTAACATATTTGCATGTTGATTAATTATAAATATATATATATATATATATATATATATATATATACATATATTCATGCATTTATTAAGTTAATAAGTACAATAAAAAATATTGCAAGTGAAAAAAAAGGAGTCAAAATATTAAAATAAAGTGAATTTTATCAGTGTAAGGTTTCTGCAAGCTTGTTTCCCTCTCTCTGACCCAAGTTTTTTTTGTTTTGATTTATAATTTCGTATTGGGCTAACGGGCTCAACAATCAACTTCAGTTCCTAGGCGCTGTGTGTGGCCCATTGGACCGGAATTATGGCAACCACTTACACGTCATCTCAAGCCCGTATATCGCATGGATGATGATTAATTATTAAAATTTTAATTATTATTATCTGTATCTTCCTATTCACTATTTTTTATAACCAATGTATTTAAAAAATTAATTAAAAATAAAAAATAACAGTAAACTTACATTTCAAAATATGATAAAATATATTGGAAATATTTTGCCACTTTTATTCTCTAAAATATTTTCCTTAATTCTTTAATATCGTTCATAACTTTTGTTTCTCTTTTAAAATTTTAGAAGAGTAAAATTGATAATATATATGCCAAAAAAGGTTCTTAAATTAAAAGTAAAATTCATATGACTTTTATAACTTTTAATAAATTATAGCTAATAATTATAAATATGTTGAAAATGCATTCTGGTGGTCAATATGTATGGACACATTAAAGATTGTGGGAGGCATGAAAGTCGATGGACTGGTTAGACTTTTGGATCAAGTGAAGACGTGTTAAACTGTCAGCAAAAAGGGTTGTCTATAACATTCACACTGTACAAATTTATCTAAGCTTTGAAATATAGAAATTTAATATAATATTTACTAGGCAACTTATTAAATTTTGTTATCAATCAAATTATGTTATTATAATAATTATAGATGTTTTTTATTTATATAAATACAAACGAAATATATTTATATTTTTTTAATTTTTTTAATTGTGTATATAAGGTATAGAGGAAGTTAACTCGAATGATTTTAATTTTATTCAAAAGATAAGTCGAATAATGGAAAGTTTGAAAAGAAAAATAAAAGTGCAATTAAGTAGGCATAATAGAGTCCCAATAGTCTCACTTATCTACTTCATATAGAAAGAATTAAATAAATAAAAAAACACATTTAATAATATTCGTAGAAACATAAAAAATTATTTAATATTTCTGTATTAAAAAAGTAAAAAAGATTAATAAAAAATTACTGTAACTATAGAAGTTTTATTTTTTTTTAACAAAATAGGAGACAACATCCCCACGTGCATGCTCATAACTATAGACTTGAAGAGCTTTGAAGGCTGAAGGTAGGCAAACGTTGATTTTCATTTTCCATCACTTTTTGTAATTTTGTGCTGTGAGAATGAGGAGTGAGGAATGCGATCACTGATCTCATTATCATATGATATATTATTTTCTTGCATGTTGGTTTGACCCACTCCCCATCTTTCCCACACCGACTGAATATTATTTTCTTGTTTTGTCAGTATTTACAAATTTTATTTTATTATATTATTTTTTCATTTTAAAAATAATCAATTTGGTGTACAAAATATAATGGAAAAATGTGTTTTGAATTTGTCGGAAGAACCTATATATTCACATTTAAACACGATTGAAAATTATATCTGATAAAATTTGGGGAGGTAAGTGTGAGTTTTGGTTCCTTTATTAAAACAAAGGTACATAGCTGTGAATATGGCTGTTCATTCACCTTTTATCTTTCACATATTTACTGAATTAGTTACCGTAATTTTTTTACTATTTAAAGCAGCCTAAAGGATAAAAAAAATATTAACGGGTGACTATGACATATTAGTTAAGAAAATAAAAAATATATTGAAAAGTATTAATATTATATTTTAAATATATTTTAACATAATATTTAATAAAAACATTTAGTTTTAAAAAGTAGCTCATGACATTGGTTAATAAAATCCTTATTTGGTATATTATATCTTTGGATGATATACTAATGTAATCACTTGGTGAATCGTTTTCAAAAAAAATATTTTGTACGTAATCTTCTGCACACATTCTATTACCAATGAATAATTAATTTCAGCAGCAACAGAACTGTAAATAGATTTAATTAAAATATTGATTGAGTACTGGGCGGAGTAAGTGATATATACGTCATAAGTACTATGGTAAGTTTGAATTGTGACTTGGTCAATCCTTGAAACGAGTTGTATGAATTTTTGTTTGAATATAATCCCTTAATATTTGGTATAGTGGACTTACTAATGACTAGAACAAAAAAGTAAATTAATCAATTACCATCATCAACAACAACAACAACAACCACCAAGGGTACATAATTTGATTTCATCAAAATAATAATACAATACAGAATTTGATCAAAGTAAATAAAATTTACTTGCAGTGTAATTAATTGTTCAGAGGAAGATGGAAAGTTAACCTCGAGATTATGTATTTGAGGATACAAACAAGAAAAAGGTAAAACACTACTGATAAATTTTAGTAGAGAGGATTTGTTTGCACGTCACTTTCAACCAGAAATTAGAACATAAAAAACAACATCCAGAAGATGGATTACATTGAACGCAGTCATGACACAAGAATCTCGTTCTTTTATATGACAATTAATAATAACAATAATAATTGTTAATATTTTCCTAATAAGAATAATATCATTTTAGAGCAGCAATTGGAGAACGCAGGAACCTTCGTGTAATGCGTTCGTACACGTTGCATCTTTGACCAATGAATCTATCTATAAATAATAATACGCACGAGGAAGTAGGTATCCAATTGCCAGCAAAAATGATGAAACGGTACGAATTTGGAGGAGCATGCAAGGAGCACCCAAATGATAAACAATCACCAGGTGTTTGTTCCTCTTGCTTAAGAGAGAGACTTTCACAGCTTTACAAGAGCCCAATTGAGCCTCTTTGTTATTCTCCTTCTCCTACTTCACCAGCTTCTCCTCAACCTTTCTCTTCTGCCAATATTTCATTATCGAACCATGTGTCTTCAGCTCAGCGTAGACGTTTCCGGAGGAATGCTTCACTTGCGACGGATTCTGCTTCGTGTATGATAAGCTTTAATTATGGATTGAACTTGAAGAAGAGCAAGTCGCTTGCTTTAGCTTCAAGAAACAGACCCAGAGAGAGGGATGTCAATGGAGGGCGGGGAAGGAAGAAAGATGGGTTTTGGTCCAAGGTTCTCAAATTGAAAAGAAAGGACACAGAGGAATCGATCGTGAATTCCAGGACCTAAAGGGACGGACCATGTAAATTTCCATTTTCTTAAGGTGATCATGCAATGGATAGCTGTATTATAATTTGAAGCTAGTAACAGGAATTTCAGAATTTTTTCTTTGTTTCAGTTACAATACATCGATATTCTCTCAATATAAAATCGGAAAAATCTAGCACTCTTTACTCCTTCCCACGTGTGCCATTTTGCACATAACATAAAGTAGAAAATATCACTGCATCAAGTCATTTCGCTTTTAACGTTTCACATCATCACCACGTTCTGAATCTACTTTCTGTCTGTGACAAAAGAAAAAGACTATTTTTGTGTTTTATATATCAAGGAAGAAGAAAGAACATGAACTATATTCGCTACCAAAATGTTAAAAGACATGTTACAAAACTAGTACAATTGGATACAAATAATCAGTGGAATGAAATTATGAATTGAAACCAGCAAAACATTAAAACATCGGTGACACAGTCCACTGGTGCAATTTGAAGTATTCGTTCTAAGAATCAGCAAGCTTTTGTGTGAGATTGATTTGTACGTATAGGAGTTTGTGTTGCTCAATATTTTCCCCCGTTGGGCTGCATGGGAGAATTAAGTATATTGTTATTTTCTAACTACAACATTCAAAATTTGCCCATTACTGTACATTATAATATGGACCTGCATTCCCAATCCTAGAAAGTGCTAACCAAACGATGGATATCATTCCAGGAGTATTAACCTCCATCTTAGTGCTCGTCATTGTAATTAGTTTGGTCTAGAGATGGTCGTTTGAGTCTTAGAAATATCTCATCAAGGGATTCAGAGGAGGAATCGTGAGAGATATTATTTTCCTGTATTTGCCTTAGGGGTAAAAACTTTTTGGCCCCTATGTTGACCTTGAAATTCTGAAAGCCTGTCTTCATTGTTTGCCACGTCGAAACCAAACCTGAAGATGACACTCTAGCTGAATCAGTAGAACTAGTATTGCCTTCATCAAGCACGGAATCAGCAGATTTCTTCTCTTCTGCCTTTAACTTAGATGCTGGCCCACCCTGCTCTCTAATGGCAGCATACTTGTTGCTGATAGCTTCCCTGCTCGAGCCATATCTGCTTGTATCTTCCCTCGATGTTTTGGACAGACTTCTATGTGTTTCTTCTGTAATTAAATTGGAAGTGGTCTTCATTTCAGTATCGTTCCTCTCCTGAATAAATAAAAGGTATACGATGAGTAAACAGTATTACCAAAAGAAAGGAGTAGTAGCCACAAACGTCGTAAACTGCAGCAATTGAAACAATGAGGTTAAATTGGATAAGTTACACGACAGATTAAACAAGTTGGACAAGTTTGCTTCCACTTTTTTGGAGGTATGTCAACATACCATCAAATTGTTGCCTGATTCAATGTCAATACTATTGAAATTCCTCGCAAGTGGAACAACATGCTCCCCAACTTTGCGTCCTTCTTCAAGCCAAGACCGTTCTATAAATCATACAAAATCAATCATCAAGTATGAGTATCATAAAGTTGATATTCACTTGTTCAGATATGACTTAATGGTTTTAACAACGGAAGAGTTTATTTCATACCCTTTTGCAAAATAATTACTCCTGATGGATCAAAACCATCCATATCTTCAGCTTCAGTTTTGAAAATATATCTCTTCCAGCTCCCCAGAAAATCAAATACTTTATCAAAGAAGTTGCTTGCGACCAAAAGAGTGTATATAACCATAATAAGTGGATAGATTTTGTTAAATTTATCTCCAAAGAAGGGGACAGCTTTGTCAATGTTCCCCATTCGCTGCAATCATAGCCACATCCACACCAAATTAAAATATGAAAAAAGAAGTACTAAGGAAAGTGAGCACTAATGTAATTATCATAATAAAAAACATAAAAGGGGTGTAAAACTAAATACAAGACAACAAAACCATAGACAGTTATGAAAATATCTAAGCAAAGAAAGGAAATAAAAAGAATGAAGAAAATAAACTTGAGTTAATAAAGTTAATGAATAAAACAGCAGAATGCAATGTCTTTTTCTTTAAAGTTACAATAAGTCATGCACCCAACCACTATAGCCATGAAAGGAAATATGTAGGATTACTAAGAAGTGATTTGATACATATGCCAAAAAGGCAAGAAAAAGAAGTATTACTGTAGACAACATACGGAACACTGTCCACTGCTGATGATTATGTGGGATAAGGCAAGAAAAATGACAATTTAAAGAGAATTGAAAGTGAATGGATTCATAAGATTAGAAGAATACCTGCTCAAATATGGTTGTTTTATCACCAAGGCGAATGAGATTGAGAAAGTTGTATGAGACAGGAGGAGCATAACGAGCAACCATCCTGGGAGCAAGTAGGGATACAATGTGATGGCCATTTATTCAACAAAAACAATCATAACAAAAATAAACAGTTTTTGTGCTAAATAAATAGAAGCTTACGAGCATATCATAAGCAAGTTAACTGAGCTGGTCTGACTGGGTGTCAGTGAGTAAAACATCAACATTCCAATTTTGAACAAGGAATAGTATGTGCAGATGCACATGTACATGAGAGGAACAAAAGCAAACACCTGGGCCAGAAATTGAAGGTTAGTGATTTCACATAACCTTTTAAAGATCAGAGAGTATGCAAAAAACATAATATCATGATTCACATTGTTATAAATATATCAATGTTGTTTGACAATATCGGAACACTAAACTCTAAATTAACATGAATGATGTAGCATAGTTTGTGATGCTGGAACAGATCAATATAACATTGTGATTAAAAAAGGAGCTTGTCTTCATTTCAAATAATATAGCAGCAAAGTAGAATCAAACGCATTTTATCCAAGCAAAGCCACATCAAGTGATATTCTACAAGCAATTGTTTGCATTATGTACTGTACAGATCCCACTAGGTGAGTAGGTGCAAGCCTCGTGCACTGGGTTGCCTTTATGTATAGCCTTAAACCAGAAGGGATTAATTTTTTTATTAGAAAAAAAAAAAGAAAGAACCAACCATATCAAAAGAAAACCATATATGCTGTCCACCAATATACAAACAAAAGCCTATCTTACACAATCACCAAAAAGTTCATTTGAGATAAGATATTATGACTTCCAAAATTCCACAATTGAATCTTCGTCCAAAACTTTATTTTGAAAAGGTGAAAAAAAATACTTTAATTATATGTACAGCTTCACAATGTCCACTATATTATGAAAAAATCTCAACAAATTTGGTCTACCTGCACAAGGAACTCCTGTGTTCCAACAGATTTTACAAGAATGGAAAAAAGTGACAGATCAACGCTAGGCAAAAGAGTTGCCTCTGCTAAAAGAATTGCAACAGACATGATACCGAGTACAACAGCCAAGGCTTTCTCAACTTGTTTCCTTAAAATGCATTTCCAGAAAAATTCTGCAAGGAAGCATCATTTAATCAGAACATCAATCTCTAACCAAAATAATCCATGATAATAAAAGGAAGAAGAATATAGAGTCATCCAAGCATGATCATATAAATGCAACATAAGATGTAGCAAGAAACCTAATCAAGTAAGGTAGGAATCAGGAAACTTATAAGCCAAAAACAATATAGGTAATTAGGTACGTATGGGCAAATTAGATTGACTTCCTACCAGGTTCATCCATACTATATTCAAATTCTCTAATGTCAAAACCAAGGGAGGTCAATTTATTTTGCTTTACATGTACATACAATAATTTAGCACAAAATAATAATATTTTAAATAAAATTAATACAGAGGTTTCATTTACACAGATGCAACAAGGAAATACTAAGCAAAGTTTGGAACAAATAGATTCAATTCAATAATAATTTTCAGAAGTACCTAAAGTATCAAACAGGGAGCCCAACTTGCCAGTCCGAACAGGTCTAATGCTAGAATGATATTCCCTGAAATTAAAGCATAAAAGCTTGTGAAAGGTAAAAATATGTAATTTATTGTAGGATATTGAAGAGGAGTAAACCAATAGAAAAGAAATCAAAATTAGAAGCAAACCATCCAGTTGAGTTCCGGCGTTCATAATTCTTTATTGTATCTTCCAATTCAAGGGCCTCCAATACATAAGTCATATACTCACTGCAGAAGCAACAATATTACAAGAAGTTGGCTCTCATAGAGGGAAAATTCAAAGAAACCTTAATTGAAAGGATTACAACTAAATCATCAAAACTGCCATGTATATGTTGTCACCATATACTAATCATTCAAAAGGGGCAAAACAGCTATACTGCAATTGAATAACGTCTGAAAGCCAAATTTTACATGGTCTTTCATTTCAATACAAGCTACGAAGCAAAGAATGAACTCTTCCCAGTACAAGTACACCCAAACGATTGAAACTAATAAGCAGAATTAATAACCAGACCAATTGGATATAATTTAAAAGAAAAAAGACCTAAAAAACCTAAAAATTAAACATGTGTGAGGCATGTAAAGAAACAATGATTTGATTTTCGCTAATCTAATGAATAACAGTTGACATTACATGAAGACAGAAGAATATATTGGTTTAAAAGGTGTTTTTTCATTGTCGTAAGAATATAACAATTGAATTTACCACAACTGTTGTAAAGGATTCAAAAACACTTTCAAGTGAATAACACCACTTCAAGACCAAATTGATTATGTGCTTACCTTTTATATCTGTAATACTCCTCACGAGCTCCCCGAAGATGACGCCTTAGGGTTGCCATTGACTTTTCATCTGTATCATAATCCATATCGTTTTCCCCTAATCGACCACCCTGTGGTTTGAAGGAAGGATCTTCCCTAAACTGAAAATTAGAAGGTTACAACAAAAAAGAAAACAACCCAGGCTTCGTAATCAAAATCCTTGATCAAATGATGTAAACTCAATACCATTTGGTTTAGCATATCATCAATGACATTCATATAAGGTCTCAAAGGATCACGCTTGGACATCTGCTTGGATGTTGCTTGAGCTACCTATAGAAATAAATAATCATTAAGCTCATAGATTTATTTTTTCGGTAGAAGATTTCAGAGGGGTGAGGGGTATTTTAAAAACAGAGTTACTCAAAATCAAGACATTCTTATATTTTATCTTACCCCTACATGTTGACATGAGATCTTCCGTGTAAAAAAAAAAACGGATCAAATCAAATATTATATAGTTTTCATGGTCAGCAACACCGATACAACAACACATAGATGGTTAAAATTAAATATTACTTAAAGGTCACGTTAGCACTTAAAAAGTCATATGACTTTTATATTTTAATCTTGGTCATTTACGTAAAATCAAATAGTCAATATTTGTTCTACTCACTATAACAACAACAATCAAGCCCTTTCCAAATGAGATGGGGTAGGCTGAATGACTTAAACAATGCCACATTTATTCCCTTTACTCCCAACACCTAACACAAACAGGAAAAGTTGGTTCTATCTTTGCTACCAAGTAAAAGATTAACAAAATTTCCAGACTAGTAAGCACGAGGAAACAGCAACAATCAAGCCTTATTCCTTTAAGTGGGTTCTGCTACATGGGCCAAATGACTACATCGAGCTTTATCCAAAAACAAAAAATTTCAATAAATCAATTTACATTAATGTCTTTCTTAAACTTAAATTTATAAAACAAATTTCACTGAAAACTTGAATGAACCACTTACAACAATGGCATTTGAAAGTTCTTGATGAGCATCATCCAGTTTGACAGCCATTTGAGCAATTTTGTGGGAAAGAACTTTCTGGCGGGTGGTCCAATCAGCATTTCTCCAAATGCTTCTAGGAATTTCACTTAAACCAAAGCCAAGAAGAAATGCACCAGTAACAAGTCCAAAAGTATTTGAGCAAGCCATGGCAAATCCCAAAAGACCTCCATCCCTGTTAGATAAGGTAAAGTTGTTACAGAAGCCCCTTAAAAAGTGGTTTACAGAATATTTCATTATCCACATAAAAATACACAGAGAGAGATATCTATATAGACTCAAATCCCACAAATACATCAGTCACTCGCAATGAAACATGGGGCCAAACAGTACTAACACAGCATGTCCATACATGACACAGTAAATAATCAAGAAGAAATTAGTTGTAGTGCAATTGTCTTGAGGAAATCATAAAAAATTTGAAAGTGAAACTGTGAAACAATAATATAAGTAAAACCAGAAAAAAAAAATCTAGGCAGCAATTACTTTGAGCAAAACATCACGCTACAAATAAACTATAATCAACAGTGATAATAAGATGAGGAGAATGAAAACCAACCATGTTTTGTGCATCATAATGAGAAGGATAAGTCCAAAAAGGCCAATGGATCCCACAATTAGATAGAATATCAAGTTTACATGTACACTTGTCTTCAATCTTTCTGATACGGTAAAATCCCCTGCATCTTCAAAACCCTGAATAAGGGGCACCACAGCCCTGCTTAGAATAAATAATTTAAACGTATGAGGAAATTCGCATCTTGCAATTATACATAACTATATTTTCCTTTCAAAACAACATAACTTGTTTGAAGCACATCAAAGGATGTAAATGTTATGTAAACATATACATAAAATTAAGTGCACGAGGCATACCATGTAAGCAAAAACGTACTCCAATACGACCAGCTCCAGAAGAAAGAAATACCTCCGTTCTCATGGTTAGAAGACATAGTCTGTACGTGCATAGAAACACCGTTATGAGTAGAATCACTAATAGGCAAAACATTCCTAAAATCTCCGTTACGCAACCCTACGACACTGAACTAAACACAGAAACCTCGATTATTCTGCTACTAGTTATACAAAACAATTGATCAAAAACTAAACCAAGTCCGTTAATATGTATTAATCAATAACTAAATTCAAGCTAGAAACCGTGGAATGCATGAATCGGAAAGGAGCAATGGAACGTTACCGCCCAAATGTCAGCGGGGACGAGGATGATGATGGAGAGAGAACAGAACCATGTATATCCAACGGTGAAAAGCACATATCGTGGAACCTCAGGGCCAGCGAAGTATCTAAGCGTGAGAAGCACCATGCCAGTTGTTAGAGGCAACGAGATCAGGTAAAACACCCACATCTCTCTCTTTATCTGGAATCAGAACACTGATCGAAGAGATAGATCGGTTCAGAATTTGGAATCGCAGAGCAGCAGGGACTTTTTCAGGTAGAGTACAACTCCGCCGCGCGTGCCGTTCAATAGTTTCGTCTGTGCCCTAGTTTCAAGGAGTCTCGCACGCTCGAGCTCCACACGGGCTATGGGATTAAGTTAAAACCGTTAGCACCGCATTATTTCCTCTCCGGCGAGAACCTGAGCACTTCGATTCCCTTCTGTTGTTAAAAGTGATTTTCCCGGTGTGCTCTTTCTTTTGCCTTCGCTGTCCCTGAAACGTGAATAATTCACTAATCTAACTAAACGAGACTCCTTTATTTTATTTTATTTTTTTATAATGTTTTCCGCTTACCTCTATTTGTTTCAGCTGCACGTAAGAATAAAGACAGGTCTTAAATAATTTTTCAATAGGCATTAAAACTTGTAGACATTTAAATTTAAATAACATTTTTCTCTTGAAAATTAATACACATCGTATATGTGTGATATTTTAATTCATTAAATATAAACAAGTGTCGTTGAGTCACTTTTTATTTTATTTTATCAAGTCACATTTATCTTTTAGCAAGTGTCGTTGATTTAAAATGTGTATATATATTTTTTTAAATTCTACAAAAAAAATTATATTAAATTTGAAATAAGAAAAAAAATTCTAATCAATGTCAAAAGATAAGAGAGGGAAAGGAGTGAATTTCAATTATACGATGTGATTTTCAAGTGAGACTTAAATACTCTCTAGTGAGGTTTAGGCATATATAGAGCATTTATAATATTATTTAAATATATATATATATATATATATATATATTATTTATCTTAAAATGCGGAGAGAATGCAAATTTTTATCAAGTGAGGTCATTGTAGATATACTGTATTTGTCTAAGAGCCAAGCTTTGCAAACTTACACAAGTACATGTCCATAGCATAAGGATAAAGGACAGTATCAGTCGAATGTCATTCAGAAAAGTTGACTAGGGAGGGAACATCTCAATTCATCTACCATCTTGAAGCACGCCATGAACCTTTAGGTTAGTATCACAATGTTGATCAAAGGAATTCGCTGACTTTAGGCTCTTTCGGAATCCAATTATCATGTAAAAAATAATGTTCTCCTCTAACGACTGTGATAAACCCATCTTTAAGCTCGTCCAACACCTTATGCATAAATCCCCCGTACACACACACATTAGATGTATTAGCATGAAATTTGTTTTGTTCCCTATGTACTTAGAGGATGAAATATAGACCCTGACTTGTCAGGTGTAGAGACAAGACCACGTTACTCTTTTACATTTATTTATAAAACTTTTAATGAAAACTCGCTAGCTCCGATTCTTAAATTTGAGTTTAAATACATAAAAATAGCTAATTTTTTATTGAGAAAAATTCAATGCATTCAAATTATAAAATATATATGATATAATTTTATTATTACTGGTTTTTAAATTTCAACCCTAAAAATTGAGGTTGATAATTTTCTTTCAGTTACTATTTTTTTTAAAATATTTATGAATAATATTAAAAGTTTTTTAAAAATCTAATATTATCTTCATAATTTCTCATCGTTATTAAATGTATTTTTCTTATGAAATTAAATTAAAACGCAATATATTTCATCTGTCAACTAGTATTATTTGTTAGAGACCTTTTAAACATTTATTTGTAAAGGAATAGGAGAATAAGAGAATATGCTCTCTTTCAAAATGAGTTAGAAAAAAAGTTGGTCACATGTCATCACATCCATTCATCAAAGGATTTTGCTTGTGACAACATTGCAGAGTGTGTTTTAGTTGTGTATAACTAGCCAACGCTTCCTAGCAATATTTTCTACCCACCGGATTTGTTTTTTTCGATTAATAGATGATTTATAAAATGGATAATATTTTCTTTACATATTAATAATTAATAAGATTTTATTGATAGTAATTTCAAAGTTAATGTTATGTACATTCGTAAAGAATACAATCAATGTATTTTAATGGATTTAAATCTTCTAATTAACCTTTTTTTATAATTATATTCTATTATGCTATCCAGCTAAATATATAATCACTTTTAATTCACAACCTAAACAAAAATATTTAATTCATATAATTGTTTAAAGTTATGATTGGAGATGGTTTTTGAAAAGTAAAATAAATCTTTTTAAAAAAATAAAATTAAGAAAAATACATATCATTAAGTTTTTCTCTCCCTTTTCTTCTGAAATAATCCTCTTCTCAAAAAACTTATAAAAATTCATTAAATTAGTTTTAATTCCTAAGAGTAGGAAAAGGGTGTCAATATTGATTTAGTTTTTTTTTCATCTCTTAAAATATAAAGTTATTGTATTTTAATTTTGTCCCATTAAGGACATAATTTAGAGTTTTGAACTCCTATATTTGCATTATGAAGTGTTTATTTAATTTATATATAGAGAGAGACTGTGTGTATATTCTATCTATACTGAAAAAAAATGTATCTTTAAAATTTTAACTCATTTGCATTCATTTATATTCGAATTAACATCACAAGTTAAGTTAAAATATAATTGATCACTTATTTGACGATGTCTTAAATTTCGTGCTTCTTCTTAGCTAGATATCTATATATATTTTAAAAATTTTATGTTAAATGGATAATTTTCAGGCTAACTGCAATAAAAAATCATCTGTCAAAACTCTCCCATGTTTCATTTTGAAGCCGCAACGTGCTTATCAGGATTCATAAATATAAGAGTGCTTTTCCAAAACATACTTTGTCCTTTGAATTAAATCCTAATTCATCAGGTATTGTTCATAGTCATAGCACTCAAGTAGCCTATGACGAGCTTGAAATGGTTTTTAGTTTACCAAATAACAATTTTCTTATTATATATATATAATAGAGACAAGATCTTCTTATATTTAATTTAAATTTTTTATTTAATTTATGTTTTATAACCCATTAAATATAAATTAAATAAAAAATTTAAATTAAATATAAAATTTTTTATACTGTATAAGAAGATGGTTCCTTCTATATATATATATATATATATATATATATTTTATTTTTATTTTTTTTGTTATCGACCCTCGAAGAACACTAGGACCTCTGAATTGTTAAATTTGATGGGCTGAGGCCCAACAAGGCCGAGTTTTCCTTAATGAATAATCTCATCTTCATACTAGTTAGTTGGCGCAACCAATCGGAAGCGAGCAATTAGATTTCGCGATCCGTGTTTTAAGTCCCAAATATAATCGCAGCCGCTTATTCAAATTAAGAAAACACAACACGACACCTAAATAGCCGTTCGATTTGTAACGGCCAAAAACACACGGATAGTGATTTGTGTCCGTCCGATCAATCACCAACGACTTCAGCAGCACGCTATATATAGCCCCCCTGTTCCTAACAATTAGAAACTTTACATTCTTTTCTTCGAGATCCAGCGTGAGAGTTTCAGAAGAAGAGAAAAGAGTCCTCTGAGGTTAGTGTTATTTTCGGGGTTACGGTAATTAGTGGTTGTGTTTCGTTTCCACAACTTTCGAACGTGTGTCTTATGTTTCCTTTTGTATTGCATTGAGCGAGGTACCGCGGTTGAGTTGGTTTTCCATTCGTGAACCCTCTGGCACTGTTGGGTTGTTGATTTACTGTAGTTTTTTGATTCAAATTATGTAGCCATCGATTGATTTATTTAAATTTGGGGTTTAATATAGGTATATAGCTCCCATGTTTTGATCTTGGAGTCAAAAGTGGTGTATGTGGTGCGGTTGTCAATTGAATTAGATTCTGGTTCAGGATGATTATATGTATTAGTTTTGTATCTTGAAACCGAATTTAACACTTTGTTTCGTAATGATTATTGTTGAAGTTAGTCGTTTTCTGAAGTTATTGTCGTGCGTTGACACAGATGGCCCGTACCAAGCAAACCGCCCGTAAGTCAACTGGTGGAAAAGCTCCCAGGAAGCAGCTTGCAACCAAGGTCTTTTCTCTAATCACGATAATCGTTCATCACTCATATAATTTGTTTTGGGTTTTTGAATCTTTGTTTAATAGTTTGGCGTTTTATCTTCTCTTCAAGGCTGCACGTAAGTCTGCACCAACCACTGGTGGAGTGAAGAAACCACATCGCTATCGTCCTGGAACTGTTGCTCTTCGGTAATATTTCAACTAAAACAACTGGGAGCCATTTCGTTTTATATTTATTTGTTTGCTTACCTTTGTATTATTCCAATTTGATTTGATTGGTTCTGATTTCTAACAATAATGTGAATTGTGAAACAGTGAGATTAGGAAGTACCAGAAGAGTACCGAGCTTCTGATCAGGAAGCTTCCTTTCCAGAGGTTGGTTCGTGAAATTGCTCAAGACTTCAAGGTATTGTGTTGTTTTTGTAGTTATTACCGAATCTTTGTGTTTTTGGCTCCAACTAACTAAGAAGTGTTTTGTTGCAGACTGACCTGCGTTTCCAGAGCCATGCTGTGCTTGCGTTGCAAGAAGCTGCAGAGGCATACCTTGTTGGTCTCTTTGAGGACACCAACTTGTGTGCCATCCACGCTAAGCGTGTAACAATTATGCCAAAGGATATCCAGCTTGCAAGAAGGATTCGTGGCGAGCGCGCTTGAGGTGGTAGATTTGTGGTTGTGATGATGGGTGGCTGCGGTTGGTGTTTTGTTACTCAGATTTCTTTTAATTTGAAAAGATAGGTTGTTAGGGAGTAGGTGTTTACTGGTAGTCACATTAATTGTGATAGGCAAATACTACTAAGGGTTTGTGAAGGACTTTTTTTAGAAGTTGGGCATGTAATTGATTTTTTTGAGTTTTGGATCCGTCAAATTGTTTCTCGTTTTCCCTATGGATGTGCAGCCACTTGGGAACTGTATTGGACAACTTTTTGTTGCCATCTAATCTAAAGTCTAGCTAGCTTATTGTTTGCGTTAATTTTTCTTATTCTTTCGTTTTTATAGTTTCAGTTATTTTTTCTTGTTTCCGGTTCAGCAGTGCTGCCTGCGCGGAACGAATAATCTTTTATCTCAGACGAAATATATACAAAGTGTGGTGTTTTTATAATGTCAAGAGTACCGTTAAAGTGTGGCCTTTACATTACTTCTGACATCGTATAAATTGCCATTGGCGAGGTTTTAGAATTAAGAACGAAAAAATTATTTGATTGGGCAGGGAAATGGCCATCGGCGATTTTTGAATTTTACATGATGAAGCCAAATGTTAATAAATATATGTTATTTTGAAGTAAAGATTTCAAAAATAATGTAAAGAAGAATTACATGCAGTTGTCCAAATTTGAATCAATATTTTGGACACCTTAATTAAATTATTTTAATTTTCTTGAGTGTTGTATGACTTCTATTTATGAATCCCTGTTAGTTACGCAAGTTACTCTACTTTCTGAGGAAGAGCTTGTGATTTGTAAAATTAATTATGTTGGTTATGAGTTATTATTGACATATTAAATGCATATATGCATGGAATAATGCTATTAAACTTAGTTGCGGCCGTATTTTAATGGGAAAAGGTAGGAATTTTGTTAAAACAGATTAGACGAATTTTGAAAATACTACTGGGGTTGGTATTTAACACCACTCTTTTGTTGAGTCAACAAACCCTGGAGCGCGGATAGACGAGTTCAATTTATTTTGTTCAAAGTTAATATCTAATGATGTTTTATCTTGTCAAGAATTTTTCATAATTTAAAGTGTTGATCATGTAATCAGGTGTTTCAATAATGTAGACTTTGTAGGTTTATTGAATTATATTATCCATTATGGGCTAAAGATTCGATTGAAATAAAATCCACATCAATGTTATTTCTTGGCGGGGGCAATAGACGATGGGCATTTGGCCCAAAAAGAAGTGAGCGGGGAAAAGAAAGTTCCGTAATGCGTAATCTCATCTAGCTTTGAGGTAGATTAAACAATTAATGAAACTTTATCAATATTAAAAAATAAACATGGATTGGGCTAACCAATAGGAATGCGACAATTAGACTTCACGATCCGTATCTGGTGTCAGAAATCGCATCGCAGCCGTTTGTTAAATTTCAGAAAACACAGCTAAACGCTTAATTAACCGTCCGATTGGAAACAGAAAAACACACGGATAGTGAATCGTACCCGTTCGATCACTGACAAACGCATCCGCTACCACGCTATATATATTTCTTCACCTCCCTCTCTTTCAGAATTTTAGATTCTTTTACTCAAGATTCAGCCGACGAGATTTTGAGAAGAACAAAGGCTTCGCGGTAAGTCTTCTTCTGGTTCCGGCGATTCCACCTCAATATTAGTCGATAATTCATTTGGCTAACATGCTTTAATTCATAAACTGCAAATTAAACGAAGATGACGAATAGTTATGTTTGTCAATTATTATATATTGAAGATTATGTTAGGCGGCGGTTACAAAGGCTAGAAAAGGCCTCGTTTGCATTTTTGTGTTTTCCTGAAATTGTTGTTTGCGCGGTCGCAGATGGCCCGTACAAAGCAAACTGCTCGTAAATCAACAGGTGGAAAGGCTCCTAGGAAGCAGCTTGCGACTAAGGTCTGTTAGAAAATCATAATCATTGTTCTTATAATTCGTTTCAGATGCTTGAAATTGTATCTTAAGAGTTATGATTTTTTCTTTCATTTAGGCTGCACGTAAGTCTGCACCAACCACTGGTGGTGTGAAGAAGCCACATCGTTATCGTCCTGGTACTGTTGCTCTTCGGTGAGTGTCCTTGATTTGTTGTGTTATTTTTGTTTGGTTCGGTTTTGTCTCTAACAATGTTTGCGGCCATTGAAACAGTGAAATCAGGAAATACCAGAAGAGTACCGAGCTTCTGATCAGGAAACTTCCTTTCCAGAGGTTGGTTCGTGAAATTGCTCAAGACTTCAAGGTATTGTGGTGGTGGTGTTTTGTTATCATTCTTGTTGTATCTCGTGTTTTTTTTTTTTTTTTTTTTTGAATCTCAACTAAGAACGTGGAATTGGGGTGTGGTTGCAGACTGATCTGCGTTTCCAGAGCCATGCTGTGCTTGCATTGCAAGAAGCTGCTGAGGCATACCTTGTTGGGCTTTTTGAGGACACCAACTTGTGTGCTATCCACGCTAAGCGTGTGACTATTATGCCTAAGGATATTCAGCTGGCAAGGAGGATTCGTGGTGAGCGTGCTTGAAGTGGTATTTGTGAAGATGGGTGGCTGCGGATAGTGTTTTGTTATTCAGATTTCTTTTTTATTGAAAGGAAGGATAGGTTGGTAGGGAATAGGTGTTTACTTGTAGTCGCATTAATTGTGATATAGACAAATACTGCTAAGGGTCTGTGAATGTCGTTCTTTAAGAAATTGGCATGTAATTGATTTTTGGAGTCTGTCAAATGGTCTCAGACGTTTTGGATGTGCAGCCACTTTGGAAATTGTATTGGACAACTTTGTGTTGCCATCTAGTCTGGTTTAAGCTATAAGCTTATTGTGCTTTGTTTGTATTCGGGATTTCGATCCCAGATGTTTCTGTTTCTTCTTTCTTGTTCACCTTGCATCCGACTCCGACTCAACCAATCATCTGGAACCTATAGCATATATTCATGAATGTTTCCAAAGTATTGTGTCAGTGAAAGCTATTTACCCAGCATGAGATTTTGGTAGGAAATTAGGTTCCTGGGGATTGTAGTGCTGCTGGTAAGTGAAACGCGTAGTTTATCTGGCTTGAGAACGAGATTGTTGTGATTTCTATTTCTAAATCATCTTTCTCGGTGGTATATGTTTCAAGTGAAATTCAGCTTTAACCTTGATATTTATCAGTGGGGTTACGCTTTAGTGTATTCGGGTTGTAAACCAGTGTGTTAATTGTTATCGTTCGAAACAAATTATAGAACACTTAATTGAACGAATTGTATATAAGTTTTGTTCTTAAGATAATCTGTTTGTATGTGTTATATTTGTCATAAACTTACTTACAGAACATGATTAATGGGAGAGGAAAAACGATAACAAAAATGTATTTTCACCTGGAATCCTTTTTTACCAATACGGTTGCACTGCGAGTTAGATTCAGGCACTTTTTAGTTAGTGGGCTAGTAAAGAGCTATCAAAGTCTTTTTTCCTTTTGGAAGATATAGGATCGGAGCAATTATTGTAAGACTGAAAAGATTCATGAGGTAAAACGAAGTGATGATAGATAGTGCGAGTGTTAATTCTTGCAAGGGGCTTTACTTTTTAATTGAGCTGTCACTCATAATTGAATGTTCTCTCATATTGCTCTAAATGTTCAACACATTTGGCATGTTGGTTAAGATATCGCATTATGGTACCGTGTTTATAGTGATCTATGTCGAATGAGTAAGAGTTTTTTGTTTTTTTTGTTTTCCTCTTTCTACTCTATCAGCAATTCAGCATGTTTGCTCCTTTGGAAGGAAAGAAAATGAGAGAAAATAGACGGAGGTCAAAATTTGAATATTTGTTTTTAAAATTTAACACTATTTTTTCTATTTTTTTTAATGAAACAAAAGAAAATATTGTTATCTGCATTTTTTTTCTTTCCTCTAATTTGAACAAAGCAAGCGTGTTCCAACTTTTACTAAGTGTGTACTATTTGCAGGTTATGCCTGAAATGGGGAGGAGAAAAAATCATTTGGCTTTCAAATAAAAAATAAAGGCATAAGTGCTTAGTTGATAGAAAAAGGCACTAGATTGACTTGTCTTCACAGTTTTCATTGCCTGTTTCGGTTTTGTATCTCGTGAAGAAGGAAAACAGGCACAGGTCTTGTATTCGAGCATCACTTCGATTGGAATTTATCTGCAATGTATGTATTGCCTTCTTACTATGTAGTACGTACATCCAATGTGGCGGAATTGTTGATTATGAATTAGCTTTTTCACAAAGTTTCCATCCATAGGTCGTTGAATAGAAAAATATAATTGCTGCGTTTGTATATCATTGGTGTCTATGACGTTGTCTGCTATTAATGAAAGGAATGTTGATGGTTCGATTAATCATGGTGTCTCAATTCTTGTGGCCTATCGTGTTCATTTAAATGTGAAATTGGAGAAACTGGTAACAAAATAGTTTCACATATAGATTTTCTTTTATTTATAATCACATATAGATTTTCGCTTCAAGAAAACATTTGTGTTTAAATTTCTAACTTTTCCAAAAAATTTAAATATTTGTATATGAAAAAACATTTCAAAAATCTTTTTCTTATACTAAATAGGCTCATTTTCCGGTGCTTATGTTACATTATCTTACATATTCCGCTGCTGCACAATGAAGCATGCCAACGGAGTAAGGCTTCTGATAAATGATTAAGGATTTACTGATTATAGTTTGAAGCTGATTTGAATCCAAATCCATTGTTTCGTTGTAGGAGATGCATGTCATCCATGCTTTGGGGATATTCACGGTGCGTCAAGGAGAATTACTTTATATATGATGAAATATAAACAAATATAATAATGTATAAATATTTTAAAAAATTTTCAATAATAGAATTCAAAAAATTATTAATGCCATATATATGAATTATGGTTTGTCAACTTATTCCTCTTCTACACGTGAAATTTGAACGTTTCCATGCAGATGAACCATTCCATGAATTTTATTTTTATGGAGATTTTGTTTCCTTTTTATTTATTTTTTCTTGGATTTTGAGTATATCACTTCTTTAGTAATCAATAAGCTTGGTTACATGCAATGCCATTATTCTAATACTTAAGACTATGTCAGCCGTTGGAGGGCTGCAATTCATAGATCATTAAATATATTGTCCGAAGAAGAACGTTGATTGGTTCGACGTATATTCCGTCCTGTGTCTGCCACCGACTTCATCCAATTCCAAAGCTTCCTCTCGTCTTCATTCAGCGTTTATCACAACACATTATTATTTATCCAACGTTGACCTTCAAACCTTCGGTTCCAAGAAAACCCGTCAACCTCGGAATTTTCTAACTAAACCCCTTTTCCTTGCTATTATTTTCCGTCTTTCCCGTGTTGTTTTTCCCACAATCTAATATTAGAAGCTTCCTAAACACAGTTATCTACGATAAAACATTCACCTGCTATGTCTTACATGTCGTTTCCATTGACTCCGTATTCTCGCACTTCTCTTTATGGATATTTTGTGTCCCTCATCTTCTTCTTAAATCATTTTGTGCACCTGACCTTGTTGCTTGCAAACATTGTTTCATGAACTCAATTCAATTTGGAACAAATCCATCACAAAGACCCCGTGAGTCCCCGAGTTTTTGTCAATTACAAGTTTCTTCTTTTTTTTTTTACGATTGTTTGTGATTATAGTCATGGAAATTTCACCTTTTCCTATATTTTTTATTTTGACTGTGCTAATATGGTGTTGAATTTTAAAAGGGATAGCTTGTGATCAATAAATTGGCAAGGTTGCGAAGATGCAACAACAGCATCGTATGGAGGAATATGATGAGGAGCTGAATCAAGGGAAGGAGCAAATGAGCAAAATTGAGGAAGAGAAAGGTCGAGCCTTTAACGAGCTAAGAGAAAAGAAAAAGGTTGCTGAGGAGACTAATGTCATGTTTGATGAAGTAGTAGCCACAAAGAGGAACTCAGACCCACATACAAGAGAACATCAAATGGGTGTTGAAGATAACAACAGCATTGAATCATCATCAGAACATGAAAGCAAAAACGGGTTGGAACTCCAATTGTCAGAGAAAGATGCTTTGTTGGACAACATGAGGAACGAGATGGATAGTCTTAGATCATCAGAGGATGATGCAATGGTCTTGTTGTCTGATTACAAAAGAAAAGTTCAAGAACTGGAAGCTGAACTGGACAAGAGAAAAGAATCAGAGGCAAATTTGTTTGACACATTGGTGATGCAAACAAAACAACTAGAGCATAATAAGGTCTTGCTTGAAGAGTCAAAGCTTGAGATATCTTCTCTTGAGGGAAAAATAAAGGAATTTCAAGTAAGTGCCACCCAAACAATGAAAATTCCTGGTGAGTCTCAACTTGACAGTGAAAGTAGTCTTTCCACAAAAGAAAGTATAGAGGGTATGAAGACTGAAACAGAACTAGAAGAAGAGAAGTTGAATTTGAATGGCACTCAAGATGGAGAGGGACTATCTACCAACGCCAAAACTCTTCTTCAAGAATTGGACTTGCTTAAAAATGAGTTGAAGTCAGCAACTGTGGCAGAAGAGAATAGCAAGAAGGCCATGGATGATTTGGCATTTGCGCTGAAAGAAGTGGCAACAGAAGCAAATCAGGCGAAGGCAAAACTGACCATAAGCGAAGTGGAACTAGAGCACACTAAAGGGGATGCAGAGCGTTGGAGAACAATGTTAGAAAGCACTGAAGAGAAGTACAAGGAGCTTCTAGAAGCAACAAAGAAAGAAGCTGATAGATACAAAAACACAGCTGAGAGATTAAGATTGGAAGCTGAAGAAACCCTTTTGGCATGGAATGGAAAGGAAACGGAGCTTGTGAATTGCATTAGAAGGGCTGAAGAGGAAAGATTGCATGCAACAAAAGAAACTACTGGACTACTTGAATTGCTCAAGGAAGCAGAAAATAAGACCAAGGTTTCAAAGGAAGAAAATCAAAAGTTACGTGATATACTTAAACAAGCCTTGAATGAAGCCAATGTTGCAAAAGAAGCAGCAGAAATTGCAAAGGCTGAAAATGCTAGACTACAAGATAGCCTTAACCTACTTGTCCACGAGAATGAAATGTTAAAGATACACGAAGCTGCATCATTTGAGAATATTAAAGAGTTGAAGCGCATGCTCTCAGAATCATCAATGAAGGACTTCAAAATTGAAGATATAGAGAAATCAACATCAAAAGAAGGTAGCAAGGAGGATAAGGAATCAGGGAGAAAAGCAAAGGCACAAAACACACATAACTCAGCAGATAAGGATCATAAGGAATCTAAGAGTCTAAACAAAACTTTTAGTCTTAATCTGAAGGACATGATACCACCCCGTAAGGAACAGCACAAGGTGGGGAACGAAGAGGCCAACAAAGAAATAGATGATGATACTTTAAGGGGTTCAATATTTGATGAAGTGGATTCATCAGATTCAGAATCTCGGCATGACGGAGAAATGGGAATCCCAGATGATTTTGATCATTTGGATGAGTCTCACTTTGATGATTCAGAAGGTGATAGAAACTCTAGAAAAAGAAGAGCCTTGCTGAGAAGATTTGGAGATCTTATTCGTAGAAGAAGTTTTCATTACCACAGAAAGGACCCATCCAACGAGGAACATTTACAAACGTAACGCAAATTCCCTTTAAGGATTCATGCGATAATTAGACTGTTGTGTTTATATTGTTTTGCTTTGTTTAGATAATTTGTACATTTCTTTCGTGTTTTTGTTTCTACTACGTTAGTTTCTATGTCAGAAATTCAAGTAACATATGATTTGGACAAATCAAGCGTACACGACAGTGTTTAAATGAAAGCAAACGCAATGTTAATCCATATATTTATGCCTCCTGTCGCTTACATGATCCAGCACCCGTAACATTGATTACTGACTTGGTATAACGTACGGGAAAATTTAGGTTAGAACTTCTGTTTTATCCTTTAAATCCTCTGAAATTTCGGGGTGATTTGAAAAGTAAACGGCATGATTTTTTTTTTTTTCAATTAGTTCAATAAAAAAATAAAATAAAAATATTGATTACCATGTGCTTTTCTTTATCACGATTATTATCTAATAGTTGATCTATGTATCCTATACGCAAACACCACTTCTTCGCAATTTCATTGCACTTTACCAGTTTATTAAGGTCTTCACTGCGTGGTGTGTTGAGGTGAACAAAGAAAACTACATGGATATTAACAACTACGAAAAAGCAAATAGAGGGACCACTGCTACTATTTATCTCAAAATATTCAATTTGATTCGCACCTTTGTTGTATTTTTCAGGTTTATAACGAGCTGAATTATATTAACTACATTAATTATTAATACCTTTTGCTTAGGTCGGTAAGCAACTCAAGTTTCTTTTAATAAGGTTTTGCATATAGGTAAAAAATAATTGTAGGATCACATGACTTAGTACGAGACAAAATTTGAAAAGTTTTAACCATATTAAGTAGCTTTTTATCATGGTTTGTTATCTTTACACCTTAATTAAACATAAGTTAGATATTAACCACGATCAAAGTTCAATTTCTACCAGAAATTGAAAGGACATAGAATTAAATATAGCATGGGTCCATTGAAAAAACGAAATATATAACTCATTACCTTCCGTTGGTTTCTTAACAATTGAGTTTTAGTTTACAAAAATTAACGTTGGACACGGACACGGTTTCTGTACTTCCTGCCGCACAGCCATATTTAGGGGAAAAATATCTTATCCAGAAAAGCATGTGATTCGCATGTTCTTCTGGTTAAGGTTACGTGGCCAGCGGGCGCATCGTCTCTCCATACACCGCCATTGCATAGAACCATTGCTCGACACGTTGGCTAAAGAATATATAATATATATAATTGTAACCGAGCAACCGATTTTAAATAGGATTGTGTTGGGTACTCTTCGATTGTGCTTTGTCTAATATTGTTCCTTTAGTTTGTTCCCAATTGATAGTTGCCAACAACACTTCACTCCATTTCATACTCAAGAGAAAGCAATGGCATCTTCGGTGATTGAGGGTAAACACGAGCCCTCGGATTTGATCACAGAAAACGTGAATCTGACGGTTGCAAATCTCTCACTTTCCAGTGAGACATTTTTGAGAGGCGCAATTTCTCTCAAGGATAAGGCATGTGTTTAAGATTGTTCATGTTTTTTGTTGCATTTATGTTATGCACATAGATCTATAAGGTGTTAGTGAAATTATGAGTACGTGCAGGTGGTGGAGGAGACTTGGAAACGGAGAGAAGTGGTTGACCCAACGGTGTACACCGGTCTGTTGGGCACCGCCTTCACTTGCTTGCGGTCTTACCAGGTAACCGGTTGCCGGAAGGACTTGCTATTATGCAGTGAGATCATTGACACGTGTGCCACTGTTGCCCGTGCCTCCCTCAGGTTCTTTTCTTTACTTTCGGTTTCAGAATTTTTAGTGAGTTGGGATTATGTTTGATCAAATATGGATTTATGATTATTCTGATACTGTGTTTTGTTATTTTTATTTTGTTTGAATTTACCTTTAAATGATTAATAATTAGTATTTTTTAAAACACTGTTAATTTTAACTCTACTTTATTATGTATTATTAGATCATATGTATGTGTATCTAAATTCATACTAATTATAGCTTCAGCTTTTGCATGATTTAAAAACATGGTAAAACGCGATTTCGTCAAGTTGTATCTTTGGGTAAGTTGTAGAAGACAGAGTTGTGATACGCGGTTTCTAAAACTGTTTTCTTTTCTTTAAATTTTCTATAAAAAAAGTACGATGACTATTTTTTAAAAGAATTATCTAATTATCTTAATTTTTAATAAAAATTTGTTACTAAAAATATTTTAAAATATAAAAATGAATGGGCCTGTTATATTTGAGTATTTTATTACGTGGTTTCGGCACGTTACCTTTATGGTGAATGATTGTAATACAACTTTATAAAATTAAATAATGCGTGGAATCATCGCTAGCTAATTTAATACCTGTTGTTTCATTTGATATTTTGATTTTATTTGAATTTAAGATTTGAGAGATTATTATGCCAAATGTGGCGTTAGTTTCAGGCAACTTTGCAAGATTCCTGTGGTGTAATGGATTCGATAAGATATGAGAGTATGATAATGGGACGAACTGTTGTTGTCTGTTTGGTACAACTGCCAGTCACTTCGGGGTGACGAATTATAGCTTCATTTTTAAATATGTTTATTATTATATAAATTTTATTAAGTAAAAAGTGAGCCTATTAATTCTAAGTTATTCGACGAGTCTCATATACAATTTATTAAAATATATTAAAAATATGTTACCATCATTTTTAGTTCAATAAATATGATCAAACTTGACTTGAATATTAACATACAAAATATTTGATCAATTCATTAATCAATTATTTCATAAACGCTTTTGATTGAGATAATTTAGTATTAAGAACTCATGAGTTAGGTAGCATATACGTTAACTTAATTTTCTTTACTTATTTATGAGAACAAAAAGATTATGTGGTAGCAAGAATGCATGTATGGAGTTAATTTATTTAAATATTTGTTCATACTTTTAAATATAGTGATTGCACGCGATTTAGTAAAATTAAGGCAAAAGCTCGTGCTATACAGTTTTTACGTATTATTTCTTCATAAAATACGTATCAACTATTCTCCAAGTCACACCACACCAGTGAGTTTTTGATTTGTTGACATTTTTTGTAATTTTAAACATTTACCAAAAAATAATACATGTTGTAGGCACGTGACATTTTTGTGCGGTAGAGGAGGCGTTTATGCTCTTGGAGCTGTCGTTGCTAATTATATGGGGGACCTTCGAAAGCGTCATATATTTCTGGATCTATTCATTGAGGTAAAATTGAGTATGCGATATTTTTGCTCTGCTTTTTAATGAACCATCTTGCCTCTGTCACATTCTTAATCAGCAAGTGATTTTGCAAATTGAAGAATTTTCTTTGCTTCATGAAAATATCTATTACTCATTCATGATATTTTCTTACCTAAAAAACAAAAAAAACCATTCATGATTATTTAATCCCTCCCCCACCCCATAGCTAAATGCTTTTATTATTGAAATCTCTTTTTCGTGAAGCAATTATGAACTTATGATGTGTTTATTCTCACTTCTAAGCCTTTACTGTCACAATTATTTAGTAGTTTTTGTTTAAACTATTCTCGATCTTTTTTTCTTAATCAAATTAATAATGGAAAGTAGTTTACATAGCATTTTCCAAAACTTTTCAACTATTGAAATTAATACTTTTCAAAACTTAAAAATCTTGGTTTTTTAATTTTAAAAAATGTTTTAAAGAAAAAGTGAAAATATTTTTTTTTTTAAAAGAAAAAACTATTTTTTTTAAAAATAGAAAACTTATGTTTCCATGTAGGGTTCTACGTACCCTTCATGGGGCCTATTTTTAATTATTCGTGAGACTAAAAAAAGTCATATGCGAAAGAAGAGGGCTTTCATATTTGTTGGAATATTTAGATCCATCTTACTAGCTTCAGTCCAAAATTTAGTTTTCAACATGGTCCAAAAATGTGTATTCTCAAATCTCAAAACTTAGTTTTCATTTACGTGGCATAATTCCACATAAATCTTAGCATTCACACTATGTCAGTATCCAGTGACGTTAGATTCATTATAGTATTAATCATGGGTTCGAATCAATGCATAGGTGGCAAAAGAAAGAGCTCTACCTGTAGGACCAGAAGAAGGTGGTTTTGGAATGTCATATGATCTTCTATATGGGCGTGCTGGATTCTTATGGGGTGCATTATTCGTAAACAAGTACTTGGGAGAAGATGCAGTGCCTAAAGAAATTCTGATGCCTATTATTGATGCTGTGTTGGCTGGGGGTAGAGCGGGAGCATCTGATATTAAAGAATGTCCATTGATGTATAGATGGCATGGAACAAGGTACTTGGGTGCTGCAAATGGCCTTGCTGGTATCCTACATGTGTTGCTCCATTTTGATCTTCCTATTGAGGATGCTGAAGATGTTAAGGGAACTTTGAGATACTTGATGAGTAAACGCTTCCCTCACAGTGGAAACTACCCTTCTAGCGAAGGGAATCCAAGGGATAAGTTAGTGCAGTGGAGTCATGGTGCAACTAGCATGGCCATCACATTGTCCAAAGCTGCACAGGTAAACTGCTTTTCAAAACAAATTATTCTTCACTTGGCAATGCAAGTTGCTAAGAAGGTTAAAAGAATAGAGAATAAAATGCAATGAAATTAAATTTTTTTAAGTAGAGAGTGAATTGTAAATGAGGATCAATTGTGAACTTATATCTTTTAAAGGTATAAGTATTAACATTTCTTGAAAACAAGAGTATGCAAAATATGCTTCTTATATATATATATATGTATGAGATGGGGCACAAGAAGATTCTTCTCTTATATATATATTTTTTTTTTCATTTTATTTTATTTTAAAATATTACTTTTGTTTACTTAATTCTAATAACTTGTTTAGTAGAATTAATGTAAAGATGAACGGTAATTATATATATATTTTAACTGTTAACTAAAATTTATTAGAAAGTAAGAAGAAAGTATAAGTGAAAAATATTAAACTAAGTGATTTACATGTTTTTTTTTTTATAATTTTTAGTGAATTTTAGTCCATGTTACTGACATTGTTAACGTGTGTTGACAGGTTTTTCCAGGTGACAGGGAGCTACGAGATGCGGCAATAGAAGCAGGGGAAGTTGTGTGGAAGAGTGGATTGGTGAAGAAGGTGGGACTTGCTGATGGGGTATCTGGTAACGCCTACGCCTTCCTCTCCCTCTATCGACTAACCAAGGAGAGCATATACGAACAGCGAGCAAAATGGTTCTCTTGCTTCTTATATGATAATGCAATTTCTCTGCCTTCTTCCAATGCCTATTCTCTTTTCCAAGGACTTGCTGGAACTGCATGCCTCTGGTTTGACCTTCTTGCACCTGACAACTCTCGTTTTCCAGGCTATGAACTATAGATTATTCCAATTAATATGAAGGGTAATTCTGTGAAGGATTATGTATTATTCACACACTCAACCATAATATAATCTTCATCGCCAAGGATTTATAATTTATTCAATTTTACTATACTTATAGTATATTGAGTTCTTTTTAACTGAAGTTATTTATTTGCTTATGATTTTAACTGAAGTTATTATTTGCTTATGATTAAAATTTTATTACTGTACTTAAGTATAGATAATACATAATTCAAATTAAAAGATTTAAAATTTAATAGTTGTAATAGCTTTAGCCTACTTCATGGATGGATGTTCATGTCACTTTTAAAATATATATTGGAAAAATCAATCCACTTATCTTATTTTTTAGCAGATTGGCAAAATACCTGTCAAAAGCATAAAATTAATAAGCTAGGCAGATTATTGTTATAAAAAATGTTAACTTAAGTTTAAGTAATTAATAACAATAATTTTATCCTCAAATATTTGTTTGTGAAATAATTTTTATTTAACTAATACAAACAAAATCTTGAATTGTTTTTTATTTTTTATTTTTTCTATGTTTATTTTTAGTTTTACTCTTTTAAGTATTTAAATAAATTTGCTTTATGAAATGTAGAATTGAGACTTGTACTGTTTTTTTAGCAAAATTAGTGCCAACATATTTTTCCATTTTATATAATGATAATGCGCTTAATTATATTCAGGCGCCTGTATTCAAGAAGTATCTCAAAGTACTTACCATTACTATTTGAAACAATAAACAAATCTAATACCATAACATTAAACATCAAGCTCTAGATAAGTTTAAAATCATTAACAGAGAAAAAAAAATCCAAAAGGATTAAATAAAAACCTTGTTGCATCGAATTATCACTGTAGTTCAAAGTTTATCAGAGTTTTCATCCTCGTTTTCTTCAATCAATATCAATAATTAGCGATAAGTTTGTTGATGAAGATGCACCATGCAACTGTTGGTAATAAAAATAAAAAGGTGACGCACTTAACGAGGAGTTACTTATGGACAAAAAGGGAAAACAAATGAAACAACCGAAGGGGCAATTCTCTATAGCTTATTTGAGGCTCAAAACTTTGTCTCATATTCATTGAAGCTTTAAGTTCTATAACTACGGTGGATTCCAACTTCTCTATTTTCTTTTTCATTGTCTGCGTTTCTTCAGCTTGTCCAAACTTTCTTGTAGTCTTTCTTGCTCCCAACCAGATAACAATTTTGACGTAGCAAATACATATCACGTTAGTGTTAATTAAAAAAAAAATAACTTACAAAATAAAGTCGATAAAACAATTATAATTATACAAAGGTTAATAAGTTCTTTTTACAAGTTTGTAATCATAATTTTGTGATGACTAATCTGTAGCTATACGCGTGTTAAAATAAAAAATTTATTACTATAATACAAAATAAACTATTGTAGTTGTCTCTTTAAGATCATCAAACAATTTATCAAAATTAAAGTTTAGTCAGAAGTTTAAAAAATAAAATTTATGATGTATTCGTATACATTATTTATTTAAATACTTATTTGATAAATTATATTTAAAAAAAATTTAATCATAAATTTTATTCAATAAATTAAAAATATCTTACCTAATAAAATATATTAATAAAAAAATTATAAGCTATTCATAAACATTTTCAAATAAACAAGTTAACAAAATTCTGTTGTTATTCACGTTAACTTACTTAAAATTGAATTAAAAAATAATTATAAAATTTCAAAGATAATTTATTTTTTGTACAACAAATATAACTTGAAATAGACTGATTTGTAATTATCAGTGTTTCATTTTTGTATTTGGTCAGAAGTTACAGATAACAGTTCGAGAGTGCAAGGCCCAAAGCCCAGCCTATTTTACCGCTAATTGACGCGGAACGAATCGGTTACCACTTAGGAGGAGTGTAGTGCTGCAATTGCACTTTGCACTCTGATGGAGGAAAGAAAAGGAGGGAACAATCGAACTCAAAGGAAGCATTTCCAGCAGAAGAGAGAGAACGTGTGGAAGTGGAAGCGTCCTAAATCAGATCTTTCCTCCGCAAATTCTACTCAAACTCCATTTGATACTCAAAACTTTGCTTTCGATAATTATTACAAGGCAAGTCAACGAACGCATCTCTTATCCAAACTAACTACTCTTTCTTTCGTTCGCTCATTTCTTTTACTTTTTTCTTTTCCAGGAGCAGCGAATCGTATCCTCACAAGAATGGCTTGCTTTCATGCAAGTTCTCAGAACTCCATTGCCTGCAACATTCAGAATCAATTCCAGGTGTTTCATCTTTTTTCAATTGCTTTTGGATTTTCAACTGCTCAACTGTTTACTGACTAACTTCAACAGAAGCTAAAATACAAAATAATTGAACGTCGTAATTTATATAATAATATTCAAATCCATTTTAATCTGGGTTCGTTCATCCAATTTACGCTGATGCATTGTTGAGTTTCGTGTTTCTTTTTGTTTATTGGTTTCAGTAGCCGGTTTTGTGCCGATATTGGGTCACAACTTGAGAATGATTTCGTGCATTCTCTTCAGGCCGAGGTAAGTCATCAACATCCATTCAATCATAATTGTGATGCTACTGTTGATTTCTGTGTTTAAAATATCTGTCTTTGAATTTTGGTTCTGATTTTTTAATATAGATTGCGGAAGGGGATGATACGGAGGCTATTATACCTTTGCTGTGGTATCCTAAGAATCTTGCCTGGCATTCTAATTTTTCACGTATGCAGCTCAGGAAGAATCAAATACTTGGGAGGTAAATAAATTTTTATATATGAGTGTGTCTGAGAGTGTGGCATGAATTGAAGTAATGGAGCTTGGCATTAGATATGTAGTTACTAACAGAGTAACAGTACAAAGTTTACATTGATGCACTATGACTTAACATTTGGATGGCCATGCTTTATGATTCTTGCAGCCTGTTTGATCTTATTTAGTTATGGTCTTGCCTTTTTTTATATCAGAATATGTGATTCTGTCAAGCAATTGATTCAATTAATTATGCATATTAGTTACTTCTTATAAGTTATAACTAATTCGTCAATCCCTGCTTCTTACTATGCTAATCTCAGGTTTCATGAATTCTTAAAGCTAGAAAATGAAATTGGAAATATTACAAGACAGGAAGCTGTCAGCATGGTGGGCCAGTTTACTACATACTGTCTGTCATTCTTCATAATCATACAAAATGATTAGCTTTTGTTTTGGAAAGCTGGATGGTTTAGTGCATGTAGTTTACTACTTTACTTTAGCACTTACCTTTCTAGAATTTAACTAGTGCACGCAAATGTTTGTTTCCTGTACAGGTGCCTCCCCTATTGTTGGATGTACAATCAAATCATTTTGTACTTGACAGTAAGCAACTTATGCTCTGTGGAAGTACATTTTGTCATTTTTACTAGCTCTTGTGTATTTTGTTTATCTGCAATGGTAATTCCAGTGCTTCTAACTAATTTACTTTTTCATTGCCTTTGTTCAGTGTGTGCAGCACCAGGTTCAAAAACATTCCAATTGCTTGAGATTTTACACCGGTCAGCTAAAGCAGGATCACTGCCTGATGGAATGGTTTGTATCTGTACATAATGTTTTGCTATATTTTATTGGTGAAACCTTATTTGATTTTCCAGACTAAATAGTTTTGTAATATGACCTGTTCTCAACAGGCTTCATGTGCAAACTTTATTGATTAGTCTGTTTAATAATTAGGTTATAGCAAATGATTTAGACATCCAAAGATGTAATCTTCTCATTCACCAAATGAAACGAATGTGCACAGCCAACCTAGTTGTCACCAATCACGAAGCTCAGCACTTCCCAGGATGTCTTTTAAATGGGAATGATAATAATATGGAGCCAGATCAGCATGCCCAGCTATTATTTGATCGTGTTCTGTGTGATGTCCCATGCAGTGGTGATGGCACCCTACGTAAGGCACCTGATCTCTGGAGGAAGTGGTAATTTTTATTCCCTACGTCTCCATATTCTTCTCTTTTCTTCTTTTCCTTCAACCACCACATTCTTTTTATTGATAAGACTGATATTGCTTCTATACAGGAACACGGGGACAGGAAATGGGCTTCATAACCTACAAGTTCTAATTGCTATGAGAGGTACCATTTTGATTGTTTTCCACCTGTTCCAAGGATCTGGCTCTTTTAGGCTTGTTCTTATTTTTTTCTTTTAAGATGTGATTGATGTAAGGGCAATAAGGTTGATAAATCACAATCATGTTTTAGTTTATTGGGTAGGAGACTTGTATATGGTGATAAGAAGTCCATCTATGGGTAAAACGAAGGTACGCTCATAGTTGATTAGGTAGAGAAGTTGAATTGAAAATGAAAAGCTTTTTTTTTTTTTTCTTATTTTCTTTATGCAACCTTATCATTTTGTATTTTTTAGTTTCAAACGATTTTAAAGATAATACGGGGATCTAACTGCCGCTACTTATCATCATAGCTAAATGTATATGAACTAGGGTTCATGAGACCTAGCTTGTAAGATGATTTTGGCAAATTTAGCCACAATTTTGATTTTCTCAGGTGTATCTTTACTTAAAGTTGGTGGAAAAATGGTTTATTCTACCTGCTCAATGAATCCTATAGAGAATGAAGCTGTTGTTGCAGAGGTAATCAGCCTTGAAGGCACTGTAAATATTTCTTGCTTTTATATATGAATTTGGTTCTAAATACTAAACTTCTGAATGTCAGGGGTCAATTGATTTGCTTTCTTAGATATCTTGTCAGTAACATGTTTTAATGAACACAGGTTTTGCCTTTTGGTTGTGCTTAATTCATTTCACATGTACTTTTCTAACCAATTGCAGGTTTTGCGGAGGTGTGGAGGGTCCATTGAACTTGTTGATGTCTCTAGTGAGCTTCCCCAACTTATTCGTCGGCCAGGTCTTATGAGATGGAAGGTTTGTGTTTTCTGTGACTTGTTGCCTTTTGTTGTAGAGTTTTGAACATAAAACATGTAGTGTCTAGAAATGGATATATTGATTGGCTTCCACACGGCAAAGTCAAGCATGTCTCATCTTTCTGGAGTTTAGGAGGAGATATGCGTTAATTACTTAAGATTATGAATTGAACTATTTCAATTTTCTTATGTGTCGTCTGGAAGGGTTTTGAAGGAAAGTTCTGTGAGTGGGGCGGTCTATTTTTTTCTGTTCTCCCCCCTCTGGTGATAATCAGTGTTTGAATACAGTATGCTTTCCACACTGTAGCTGTGAGCAGAAAACCAAATTCAGTTTGAAAGTTATATCTCTCTAACAACTCTTGTCACTGCTGAATTGTATGCTTCATCAGTAAAACAATGAGTTTCAAACTGTTTGAAAGACTGAAACTTGAACATACATTTTGAAGATGTTGCATTATTATGCAATTAATTCAAAGGTAGAGACACCTAGGAAGGTTGAGGTTGTTATGCACCTGTAACTGTAAGCATTTAAATGCATCTAAAGGTGTGAGTTTGGTTGTGCAGGTATGTGACAAGGGCAAGTGGATGGTCTCTTGCAAAGATGTTCCCAAGTTTCGTAGAAGTGTAGTTTTTCCCAGCATGTTTCCGAATGGTGGAAGCTATCAGGATGTTGTTGACAGTAATTGCAATATTAAAATTGGGGATGATATTAATGTGGATGATGTTAATGGAAATTCTGAAGATGGTGTTCAAGCAGTGGAGAATACTGTCATGCATGAGTTTAGTGGGGAAGTTTCTGATCTCCCACTAGAGCGGTGCATGAGGTTAGTGCCTCATGATCAGAATACTGGAGCCTTCTTTATTGCTGTTTTGCAGAAGGTTTCTCCTCTGCCCGGTAATTTCTTATATGATTTCAAATGTTTCTCTCTCTCAAATTCTGATAAATATTGTCAAGTTCTTGTAGTCGTTTTTCACTTTTTACCTTGTTTATGGGAATTCTAACACCTGATGCATGACAGTATAGGTTTTTTATTGTTTCCTTTTTTGTAGCAATTCAGGTAAAACCGAGAAAAGAAGTCGATAAATGTGTTGAAAAAGCAAACCAGGGCACTGAGGATGCACAAGTATTGCCGATTAATCTATCAGAAAGTACACATGAAGAAATTTTGGAAGAAGTTTCAGAGGCGAATAATGACAATGAACCTAATGTAGCAGAGTTGAAGGTTAGTTCCGTTACATGTGAAGAAGGGAATTTCAAGGAAGCCCACGAACCCTGCAGTGTAGAAAACATAAGAAAGATTACTCCAGGCAAAAGAAAACTGCAGATTCAAGGCAAATGGAGAGGTGTTGACCCTGTTGTCTTCTTCAAAGATGAATTAATTATTAATAGCATAAAGGCATTTTATGGTATCAATGAGCGGTTTCCATTCAATGGTCACCTTGTAACAAGAAACAATGACACAAGCCACGTGAAAAGAATTTACTATGTTTCCAAGTCGGTGAAGGATGTTCTCGAGTTGAACTTCTCAGTTGGGCAGCAACTTAAAATAACTTCTGTTGGCCTGAAGATTTTTGTAAGTATATTTTGTTCTCAATTAAAAAGTGTTTTTGTTATTATCATAATCTTTATAGTTGTTTTATTTATTGCATAAGCTCCTTAGTTTAAATAAGATCTGACTCAAACTAAAAAAGTGGGCCAAGTTTTTGAGGTACTTTAATTCAAATAAAGGGTAAATACACCTTGATTTTCTCACTTTAAAGAAGCAAAATCCTTTCAAATATATCCAATGCAACAGAGAGAATGATAACCTTTAAGGGCTGATCATGTAGAGACTTGCATGGTAAAGGTGCTATATCAGCAAAAGTATCGTGTATAAAAACACTACAATATTGAAGTAGTACCCATGACTTTCAGTACCTTGTTAAATTATTTCTATTTCTGGTTTTCTTGACTCAATTTGGAAATGGAATACATATTGAATTTTATCATATACGAATCACAGTCAACTACTGTACTGTGTGATAACATATTGATGTGTTAATTGATGTAGGATTATTGTAATATAAAACCTAATAGTTCGTTAGATTAAAAAGAAAAAACCAAATACTTTACAATGATAAATAATTATTGGTCAGTCCCTTGACAGTCTTACCCTCGTCATATAGGAAAGACAAACGTCATGTGAAGGTAGGTCGGCACCATGTGCTTTCAGGATCTCTTCTGAAGGATTGCCCCTTATTCTCCCTCACGTCACCAAACAGATTCTACGTGCAGCCGCTATAGACTTCAAGCATCTTCTGCAGTATAGATCTGTAAAATTTGCAGATTTTGTTGATGCCGAGTTTGGTGAAAGAGCGGCGAACCTAATGCCCGGCTGTTGTGTGGTAGTTCTGAGTGATGGTATGTACCACCATGATGCAAAGAGCAAATTCCCATTAACATGACTCTCTATGTGACCTTCTCCTTTTCTGCAGGGAGTAAAGCTGCTACAGAGACCTCCCGAGTGGACGAGTCAGCAATAGCCATTGGATGCTGGAAGGGTAGAGCAAGTTTGACTGTGATGGTCAGTGTAATGGAATGCCAAGAACTGCTCGAAAGGCTTTCAATGCGTCTAGACACAGTAACAGAAAAGGACTCTTCCATGCATGAGGACAAACCGTCTAATAACGTGGGAGATGAAACACAGGAATCAATCGGTAAAAATGAAGCTGTGGAAGCTACTGGGTGTTAAAAGCGAATAACTAACGGATATTTATCAACCTTTCATAAAAAAACAGATATTTATCACTCATTACCACAAGTAGTCTATCTAGGTTTTTACTTTTTTATTAATGGTTCCTATCTTTCTTACCTTAGTCATGGGCCCATGGAACCCATGATAGTTGCTTATGAGTATTATTTCTTTGTTCGTCCTGTTCTTTGTAACAAAGATAACGGGCTGAACTCAAAATTTTAAAATTGCATCATGTGTTATCCATAGGATTTAGAAAGTTCACCAATACTGCTTAAAACACGAGAATGCATCCCATTCTACTGAAACCAGCATGCCATTTTTAGATATTAGAAACTTGTTCCTTTTTTCTTTCAACAAATATTAGAAACCAGTTCAAGTTGCATCTAGGTGATCCACGATATTCGTGGATTCGACATTACTAAACGCAGCCAAAGATTTGTTTAAAGGACAGCATCGGTAGTTTATATCAGCGCAACGCTACAGCAATCTTGTTTTTGCCTTTTAACGAAATAAGTTTCACAATAACGTTGATTGACTTAAATCTGGTACTTTAAAGAATATCTGCAAAGTTAAGACTAGTAACAGGACCATTGAATTGGAGGAATCAAACTGTGTCAGGCAACAAAGAACCATTTTATAATCGATAATGTTCAAGTCCAACCAGGTCATCCGGAAGGGCAAAACTGAATTGTAATATCTTAAATATTTTTTTGAGCTATTTTTTTTTACTAAAATTAAAATTTACGTGCAATGGATGTCGAACATAAAAAATTGATAGTTGACTAGTGGTTATCTAAGTAAAACTCTAATCATTTTTAATTTAAAAATAACCAAGCAAATTGAGTGGTACCAAGCAAGTTGGAATACTGGATTTAAGTTTTATACCCAATGAAATTCATTCAGGATATACCAAGCAAATTGAGTGGTACCAAGCAAGTTGTAGTTAGTAGTTACCTCCATTTGGTGGTCTTAATCAGCAACTCAAGCAAAATAAATTTTGAATGATGTAAAAATATACAAAGGAAATGCACCAAACCATTAAAAATTGGTGATAGGAACACAGAATCATGAAATCTAGTAAATTTAAATAATGTAAACAAAGTCAGGATATTACTGACAACACATGCTCCTCTTAGCGGGGATTTCTTGTGCAGGACCAGGAACAATAATCTTCTTGCCAGACAGAGATGCTGAGTTTCCATTTCCCTGATTTTCATCAGCAGTTAGATTCTTCTTGTTGACAATGTTGAAGATTTCTGTCAAAACAGTCATGAAGGCTGTTTCAACGTTAGTTGCTTCGAGTGCTGAGGTCTCCAGGAAAAACAGGCCTTCTTTCTCTGCAAATTCTTTTGCATCCTCTGTGGGTACCGCACGCTGGTTCTCAAGATCACTTTTGTTACCTATAAGAATGATGACTATATTCTTATCAGCATGGTTACGCAATTCTTCTAACCAACGAGGTATGTGATCAAAGCTCTGACGTTTTGTGATGTCATAAACCAACATTGCCCCAACAGCACCTCTGTAGTATGCACTTGTGACTGCTCTATATCTGTAGAATAAACAATTTATAAATTAGGGTAAACTGCAATCAGTATTGGCACACTGGTACATGAATACCTATATGAAGGAAATAATAGAGTGATAATTTATTATTTAAAACTTGTCGCAATAGCCACACCCCACTTCAAGTGCAAACCTTTCGCATATATTGATGATCATATTCATACAACTTCCGTAGATGGTCAGTCACATAGATACTTCTGTCATTGTTGAAATCTCAACGTGAGTTTTAAACTAAGGATTCTGTTAAACTATCATACTGAGAAAATATTTAATTTAAAAGTTCAATCCAAAGGAAATTTCACAATGATGTTATCTAATTAATAATGGAAAAAAAGATTCAACATCTTCCTAACTGCTTTATAAATTTTCATTTCTCTTCCCCGTGCATAGCATGAAATCAGATCATACGAATAAATAACTTAATGAATGCAATTATGCATCCATAACCATCATCGGCAATTACTTCACACTGCCAGAAATTACAAAAACAATTTTTAACGAGGATAAATGCTTGTGTAATACTAATAGACGTATCTACCGACAGTGCAGCAGCACAAATTTAAATAATAAATGAATTAGATTTGTCAATAGCCATGAGTGCTACGTACTTTCAAACATATATAATGGTGACATTGTTTACTTTCTCAAAAAGAAACCTTCTATCCAGGAATACTTTCTCAAAAAGGATGACAACACAATCCAGTCGAGTGGCCATCCATGTCATAAATGCAAAATATACAGTTGATGAGACACAAATATGACAATTGTATCTCATTTGGAATCTAGCATAACTTTTCCCATTATTTTAGTCCAGAGTAAGAAATGTGAAACTTGTCAATGCATGTCACCTGTTTAAAGTGGTATGCATATGAAATGGAACTCGTATAAATGATGCAGGGCTAAGAGTGGTCAACTATAACGATGTTTGATTTGAAACTCAATCATTCGGTCGGAAATTTTACAGAAATCATTTTTTGGGATTTTATTAGGTATTATATACCGTTGAAGGTGATTATGATCCTATAAAAGTTCTATAGCATACTATATGGAGTACGAAAATGCTAAAAGATTGTTTACCAGCAAGTGAAATACTAATTCAAAGTCCTGTAAAAGGGTTAGCAAACTGTAAGAGGGCGAAACATAAATTTTTACTTGTGAACAATATTTTATAGATTTTCTTTATTCCCAGTTAATTTGCATAAATCTGCTAAGTAATATGCTAGGTTTATTAATATCCTAGCAATCATCTCTCATTCCATTTCATGCTTTAATTCTGCCGCTTCTACGTTAATCACACTGCACATGCACACTCAAATCATCGCAGAAAAAAAACCTACACAGAACCAAAGACAGCTTGCTAAAAAGGTTTTCCAAGTTGGTACGCGAACGAAATTAGGTCTTAATTCTTCTGACCTCTGTGGTCATCATCATTCAAACTATTTCAACGATGCGTCAACACGCAATTAGGTGATAGCAACACAGAAAAGTTTCACAAGGAAAAACTAAACTCCAAAGTTCAAGATCCTTCTAACACGCAACTTCATTTGATGTTGAACTTGGTTTGACCATTCACTACTACAACATAAGTTGACAGAAAACACGAAACCGATTCACTACTATAAACATCGAACCGAGATTTCTTCCGCAATTAGAAGAGTAGATCAACTCAGCAAACAAATCTATCATTAAGAAACAAAGTCAAACTCCGCAATCCTTCGCCTCGATCAGAACATAGAGAAAGGAAGCTAACTCATTAACTACCATAAAAAACAAAAACGAAACGAAGGCGAATTCAAAGACATATTAAGCAACAACAACGCATGCAAATACAATACGTAGCAAGGACTGAAGAAAAAAAGACTTACAAATATCCACAACAACAAATCTATGTTTCGTTTGAAGAAATAAATAAAAAGGAGAAGCGCAGTGAAAGTGTATATAAAGCTGAAGAGATGCAGAAGAACAATAAGAAGAGAGAGAGAGAGAGAGAGAACCGTTCTTGGCCAGCAGTGTCCCAGATCTGAGCCTTGACGCTCTTGTGTTGAATGACCAAAGTTCGAGTCTGAAACTCGACGCCGATGGTGGCTTTAGAGTCCAAGCTGAACTCGTTTCTGGCAAAACGAGCAAGTATCTGCGACTTCCCCACGGCGGAGTCACCTATTAGCACCACCTTGAACACGTAATCTATCTTCTGGTTCGGATCTCCACTAGCCATTATTCTCCACTCCCAAATTTGTCACTGTAAGTGTTTCTTTTCTTTCTTCTCGCTTTCAATTTCTCAAATCTACCTTTGCTTCCGATTAATTAATCAACGGATTTTATTTGAAACGCTGTTAAGTGGAAAAACGACTAGCGCTTCTGTGACACGTGGAGAAAATGTATTGGTTGGTTCTCCCGATAAGCTTGATTGTGTTTGGAATTATAATAATTAAATAATAATAAAATAATGAAAGGAAAAGAAGGATGGTTGGGAACAGCTTTATCACAGTGATGGCGGTGTCAAAAAGTGTCGCGTGCGAATGTCTTGGCATTGGGTGGAGTTGTCTGATTTTGATCACGTTGACGGCAATTCTCTTATTTCTCAACTTTAAAATTACTTTTTTAACGCTGCCCAATTAGAAATGGTAACTGGACTAGTGCGAAATGGTAGAAAATATTTATAATGGATGAAAATTTATCTATTCATGTATTCTATTATTTGCTTATATTGACTTGGGTTGTCACTTTGCAAAAAGTGCATAAGTGAGAAATTGTAGTTCAACTTTATATTTCATGGAGTGTTAAAACATAAATTAATTTTTAATTGACACATAAGCTAGCTTTTGTAGCTTCGTCTCGAAATTGAGTATGTCTCCTCAATCGCGTTTTTAAGAGAATTACTAAACAAGACTAAATTACATTGTAGCAGACACTACGAGTGTTTAATGATTCTTTCCATAAAACTAAACATTTATGCACATTTTCTTCTTCCATGGAAGTTTAGAAGTTTCCTTTTAAGGTATGAAAAACATTTAATGTTTTATATAAAATTAAAATGCCAACTTTTACTCGTCCTACTTTATATGCAAAATAATCCAGAAATTTAATGATCTCAATTTGAATCTTTCTCATAAAAAATGAAAATTCTCTTCGTTGGCACAGGAACATTCACAAATGGTTGGTAACAATATACAAAAATTTTCAATCAAAACGAATCCAACAATAAACAAGTATTGTTTTTGGTCAGCCAATAATAAATTAACATAAATGTAAATTTTTGTTCCATGATATAAATGCATTTTATTTTTTATTTTCATAGGGAAAGAAGATTAAGAGAAGAGAAAGGGAAAACGCTTTGAACTCTAGTAATAACTTGCTAATCTCACCACTTGCGAACATATGAAAGTATGAAAGGTGATTATGTGGAAGCACAACTATCGGGCCACGATGACAAGTATGGGCCCAACCCAAAAGAATATTCCCTACCAAACGAACTTAAACTCTTGTCATTCATAAACAGAACATGAAGGTGGCTCATGCATAATACATGTGTTAAGAGGCAAGCCCAATTTAAGAGCTGGTCGGTTGAAAGCAGCGCAGACTGTAAGAGAGTTGAGAAGAGAATGGAAGAGGAGGAAGAGCATGAGGTGTACGGTGGTGAGATCCCCGACGTTGGAGAAATGGAAGGAGACTTCGATCCTCACCATGACTCTGCCGACGTTGACATGTCCGTTGCCGACGACGACGCCGTCAAGGTCTCTCTCTCTCTCTTGTTAGTTAGCTTCCATTTGCCACTGATCAACACAAGTAGATGAGTAAATTGTGTTGATGCAGGAACTGGACGAGACGAAGAAGCGGTTAACGGAAATTGAAGAGGAAGCCGCGGCTCTTCGCGAAATGCAAGCCAAGGTCGAGAAGGAGATGGGCGCTGTTCAAGGTTGCGTTTCTCTTTTTATTGTGATGTTATGCTTATAACAAATTATGATGTTTGATTTGTCATGATGTATGAATTCAAACAATTAGTTTCTTATTTTTGTTTTAAGAAAATTGATTTTATTATTTGTTGCGTTTTAGGATAATTCGTGCCGATCTTATCTTATTTGGTTGTTTAGGTCTTTTGACTTGATGTCTGTGACTGGTTAGTGCTTAGTTATATTTCCTGGTCTCTGATGCAGCGATTTAGAGTGTTTACTGTGCCAAAACACGCTAATCAGATGATGGCTTCATCTTAGATGTTTACTAGATGCTGATATTATTTAATTATTGTGAGATTGTACGTACCTACTAAGATATGATGGATTTGTCTTAACAACCTCTCGCTGCTACTAGTGTTTAGCAATTGGCACCCTTCATCTTTTTGTAGCTTTGAAAATCCACGTACAAGAATTGTTTAAATTTTTTGCTTGTTCCCCTGGCACAGAGTGACATTTTTAGCCTAGATCCACTGAATAAAGCTTATTTTTAATGATCATTCCTAAAACTTTAACTCATAAGATCTTGAATAACAATCTTACTTTGATTTTTTGTTGCCATTAAAGTCAGTGTGTTAAGACTTTATAAAACCACAGGGCAAGCGTGATGTTTATAATGAGATAGTTATTTTGATTTATGAAATATTCTCTACCCCTATAACATAGCGGATTACCGTTGCTGAATCTATCAATGTTCCAAATAGTCTGATTGATATTAATTTCAATATAGAAACCTTTCCTGCATGTTTATTTTATTTACTTTCATTTGTATTTATTTTTCGAGTTGATTTATCTCTTTTGCAGACCCTGCCAATGCAGCTGCTTCTCAGGCCAGCAGGGAGGAGACAGATTCTCGATCTGTTTTTGTTGGCAATGTATGAGTCTTCCGATTCACTTAATTGACAGTTTTCCATTTGAAATATGGTTCTCTTCCCCTCGTCCAAAACATTGTATATAGAAAATCAGGTTCTGAAGTTGGAGGTTGAGTTGTCATTCAAGGAGACTGATAAACCTTTGAACTTTTACGCACGGTGTTCATATGAAAGTTGTGATCCAACTACAATGTAAATCAGCCTGTTGAGTTGAGGGTTGGCTTTCATCAAGAATATTACTGCATACTATGTATATATGCCTTAACACAATCTGTTTTTCTCTTGTAGGGTTGTGAGTGGGTGTGTCTGAACATTCTTTTTAAGTTTTGGGGATGTCAAATGTTAACTTTTATGAAACTTTCCCTTTTATCATTATGTACTGACCTTTTTATGAATATTATAAGCCTTAAATTTGAAACTTTTTTCACTTGTTTATCACCAAGAACAGACCCCTTGTCAGGGAGCCATCTGGTCATTGGATGTTTCCATTATCTACAGCATTAGGTCTCAAGCTAAGTTCTGGCGCATTTGAGTTGGATTCTTTTATAATATATGTTTGAAATTTTACATGTTTTCTTTTGGTATGAATACTGTTCATCCTCAGAGATAGTGTTTTACTTTATGTCTCACTATGATCGCAGGGTTTTCTTATTGCACAAGTTCTGTAATTAGCGCTGGATGCTTACATTGTATTATGTGGTTGAGCCTATGTAATTGGTGTTTTTTAGGCTTGTCTAGAGAGGAAAGATAATTCATTTTGTGCTTTTGAAATTTAATAATACCTCAAAAGAGGGGACAAAAAGTCAAGAGAGATTGAGGGGTTCCCAGCTTGGAAGTTTCTGAAAAGAGAAGAGAGAAAATGAGAAAACATTTTTACCCAAAAAATGGTATCATGTTGAGAAAAAAGAGAGAAAGAAATGAAATATGAAAAAGAAAGAGTAAAGGATATGTTGAGGGAATTGTGAACATCTATCTCATGGTGATGGCTAGAACTGGTACAGATGGAGGTAGAATGTGTGAAAGATGCTTCAACTACCCGAGGAGACAGCTTGTGGTTCTTTGGAAGAAGTAAGAACACTCTGTAAGTGTTAGGCATGCAAGCTTACACATAAGGCCCTATTGCTGACTGCAATGAGGTCTGTGGTGCCACTGTTGGGTTATTTATCAGATGTGGCAGATACCCATGGGTAGGCAGCTGCTGCTTCCCTATGGTCTTTATCTCATAATAACTGTTTTCACCTGCATGAATTAGACTACCTGACATATTTTGGCCGAGGCTTTTTCTTCCTCATTTCAAGTCCTTTTTGTTGAATATTGGGCTCTTTTTAAGCTTTTTCTACGATGGTTTGCATTTTGCTGGTCTTCTATCATATCTTAACAAGTTCTCAGCCTGCAGCCTTTACAAAAAGAGTCACAATTGAGCGATTTATCAAAGCTCCTCTTAATCTTTTTTCCCCTTTTTAAATTGATGATCCACTGCTTTTTAAAAAAATGCATACAACATATGTATCTGTCTTGCTCATTTTGGGGTGGGTAATTTGTAGACCAGAAAGGGTGGCTTTTATAAATTTGCTTTGAGGAGGAAAATATATATTAGAAGGCATGAAAAAGTTTCTATGGAGATTGAGAAGAGCCCATATGACAAGCATAAACATTAGAAAGTTGTATTAAACAATTATTTTGATGGGCTGCATGGTTTGGTTTAGTTATGGATTTGGAATATCATGCACTGATCGTTGGTGGTTTACAGAATCATAACTGGTGGATATCTTAAGAGTTAAAAGATATTTCCGAAGGAGCTGGGAAAATGTGGACTTCTGTTGAGTTTGTGGAAGGCTGTAACTGCTGTTCTCTGATTGGACGAGCTTGGAGGGGAAACAAGTTATGTTTTAATACATTCAGAGGCCTGCCTATGATTCTTTTAATTCTTTTTAGGGACAAAATAACAATTTTTAAAAAATTTGGAATTTTATATAAACCATCCCAAGTCATTTACACGATCCCTCATTAAATACAGCACAAGTGCATAAATAATTATTACTAAAATTATTGGGTTAATATGATAAACAATATTTTCTAGAATGAGAGTCTTGATAATATATTTAATATTGACCATGTGCTTTTGGAGTACAGTTTCTTTTTGTGATAACTTATTCAAATATGAACACTTTCCAAACTAATATGTTATGTTGTTGGTATCCAATCCATTGGAATTTATTCGTGTTCTGCAGGTTGATTATGCGTGCACACCAGAAGAAGTGCAGCAACACTTTCAATCTTGTGGTACAGTGAACAGGGTTACTATCCCGACAGACAAGTTTCGCCAGCCTAAAGGTTTTGCTTATGTGGAATTCCTTGAAACTGAAGGTGTTCGGGAGGCTCTCCTATTGAATGAATCTGAATTACATGGCCGTCAATTGAAGGCATGCTGTTTTAATTTCTATCATGTGTAAAGTGCATGCAAACGTTAGGTTTGAATTAGCCATGAGATCATTCTACTAAATCAATAGTTTAATTATTTAAATTTATTTATTTCTAGGTTATGCCGAAGAGGACCAACGTTCCTGGGATGAAACAATTTCGTCCTAGGCGCTTTAATCCTTATATGGGATATCGCTTCAGGAGGCCATATCCTCCTCCTTACTTTTACTCCCCCTATGGAAATGGGTATAGTACTTACATGCATCATTTACATTTTCGTATATGAAGCCAACTTATTTTTATTGATGTTTTCTCGCTTCCTTGTTTGTCGAACATACTGCAGAAAGGTTCCCAGGTTTAGAAGGCCAGGTCGGTACATGCCATACTACTAGATCCTATGATATTGTATGTATCAGGATAGACGTGTCCTGCAGCTTTGCCTTGATTTAATCTAGGTAGCAGTCAGTGACACTATCTTTATAAGCGTTGTCTTCTATGTGATTGAGAAGAGTATCTATTGCCCCTTGTAGGTTTCGCCTCCGGTTCTTGGAATATAGTTTTGACTTTAGGGTACTACTACCTTCGAATGTATCATGTTTCACTGTCTAGTACATGCAAAATAGCATTATTAGTGACTCTCTATGTACAATTATGTCTTAAAAAATAGATCGGAGGCATGAAGGTTCGCAACTGTGTGTCATCCAACTGCTGCAATTAGTCTGCTGCTTCAGGTCCAAAGACAACTGCAGTAAGGTCGCGCATCATCACTATCTATTCAATGACACCGAACTCTAAATAAATCTTTGGCGGCGGAGTTTATATCATCGTGTCAAAATTGAAATATGAAGTTTAGTAGTGTTTTGTTTGTGTGGGTCATGACTTGTGACATATTAGTCGTATGGTACCTTTGGTCAGGCCCTTGATTCATTGAAAGAAGTGGACTTGAATATTCGTTGGGAGCTTGCCTTGTGTGGATTCGAAGCATTAATTGGCCAATTCTTACAACGTATGAAATTTGATATCGGGTCTATATTAGTGGCATTTCTCACATTTAATAGAAATATATTACATCTCTAACTTAGATTTACTTTTTCTAGTTCTCTTTTACTTATCTTTTTAGACTTACTAAGTCATTTTTTGTATTGTGGAGGTGAGGGCTTAATGATTTTTTTAATAATTATTTACTAAAATAAAATTAAAAACAAACATATTCTCTATCTAGGGTAAATTTTTGTCACGTCAAACTATGTTTCGTATTTAAGAGAGATAAAATTATTTTTTAAAATTTTTAATTTGTCCATTTCATCTAAAATAAGGACGAAATTAAGCAGAATGTGACATGTGTCACGTGTTTCGTATACAATAGAGACAAAAAGGTAAAATATAAATTTAAATTTAAAAATATAATTTTGCAGATATACTTAATAGATAAGGAAGAGAAAAATAAATAAAGTGTGTTAGTGGGAAGTGAGAGAAAAATAAATGAATTGTATTGTGTAAATAGTGTAAAGTTACAAAAAAATATTAAATAAAATTAGTTGTGAAGAAAGAGAAAAATAAATGAACCGTGTTAGTGAAAAGAGAAAAAAAAATAAGTGATGAATTGTGCTGTGTGAATGGTGTAAAGTTACAAGAAAATATTAAATGAGATTGGTTGTGAAGAAAGAAAAAAATAAATGAAAAAGAATGAAACGTGTTAGTAGGAAGAGAGAGAAAAATAAGTGATTTTTCTCTCCTTTCTCTTTCCTTTCCTAATTGGTCTAAGTATGTTTGTAAAAATGTATTTTTAAATATAAATTTGTATTTTACCTTTTCGTCTCTATTGTATACTAAACACATGACATATGTCACGTTCTGGTTAATTTCGTTCCTATTTTAGACAAAATAGATAGATTAAAAAAAAAATTGTCTCTTTTAAATATGAAACAAATGACAAAAATTTGCCCCGTACAAAAAATATGTTTGTTTTTAATTTTATTTTAGTAAATAATTATTAAAAATCATTAAGCCTGAATGTGAGGGTGCTTGTCATCACTCCACAAATAAGTCAGCTTTGACTGAAGTGTAAACATATGTTTATTTAATTCTATTTAATATATTTTTTTTCTTACTTAATTCAATTTTTACATATTTTAAAATGCTATGTTTCAATTGGAATTGGTTGCGAGATTTTAGATTTTAAAAAAATTACAAAATAAGACAAAGAAAAGAAAAAAAAAAAAGACACAAAACTCGTCAATACTAAATCCCTTCTAAATATTATGGATTGTTTCAATATTTTTCATAGTTAGAGATAAAATTAGAATGTTTTAGAAATTTTCAATATATACCTGAGTTAAAAAGATGCCTGTCACGTGCTTCTCAATCCTATGCCTAATTCTCAATCATACTACCTCGCTGAACCTTCAACGAAAACGAAATTCTATGAATAAAAGGAAAGAAGTAAGAAAAAAAGTAAAAATTTAAAAGTCATCGCGTGAAAATAAAACAAAAACTAAGAGTATTACTTAAAAAAATTACCAAATTAAAATTAGAGAAAATAAAATTACATGTTTCTGCACGTCGTAGAAAATAAAAATTGGTAGTAGACCTAAGTTTTGTCCTTTCAAAAAACTATAACTGATTAGGTGATTAAAACAGAAGCTAATTGGCGGCAAACGGTGGTGGTGATCGAGGGTGCAAAGCCATGGAAGAGTTACGAAAACTTGGGAAAGTGCAGAGGATGGTGGAATTCATGGAATCACGGGGCGTTTCAAACTCGGATAATTACTCTAACCGCTTCCTCGCGAATCTCATCCTCTTTTTGATTGAACCCTGCGGTGACCTTGCCATGAACGACAAGTGCTGCTTACTTTCCCAGCTTATGTCCACAGTTAATTCCACTTCCCTCATTTCATCTGCATTTGCATTTGCATGATACAGAGTGCAATTGTTTCCTTTCCCTTTTGCATTGCAGCTCTCATCAGCATTTCTCGAGGATGCGTATCAACACCACCTTGACACCACCAAACAAGAAAATACATGTACTTTATTTCTATTCTATCGTATTCACTTCTTTTTTTATGTTTAATACAACTTTTATATTTACTGAATACTATGTGTCGAATCTCATGTTTGTTTGGTTCCTGGGTAAAAGATGCAATGGAATAACAACTTAGAGTATAACTGTAAGTGAATAATATTTGGAATCGCGTGTTTGGATACTTAGAGGGAAGCAGAGGGGAGAAATTATATTAAAAATTGAAGGAAGTGGACGGATAACTAATTATTTTATTCCATTTGTTTGTTTATAGTCCTCTTAAATTGGGAGATCTTTAGAATGTCTATAAAAATGTCCTCGCCCCCTTCTACCGTCCCAACGTACCATTGGATCAAATAGATATAAGTATTGGTGTAGCATTATCCAGATCAGTTTTGCTGAGAGATAGGATTATTAGTCTTTCTTGTCTTGTGTGAAATTGGTATTATACTAAAAATTTCTATCTATCTATCTGTGATGGGGAGCTGGCACTAAATAACTTCCTTTCCTGCATTGCCATAGTATGTGACCCGTTTCGTGTTTTCCCTTCATAAGTTTTGTTTCATGTTTTAATTCTAAATTCTATGATGCTTTGAAAGATTTCTTGAATTCTTGCTTTCCCTTAGGCTTTCAACAAAATTTCGTTGGAAATGCTTTGCTTAGTAGCCATCAGACGAAAGAATATAGTTTGTTACGAAGTTATAATGAAGATATGGCCTTGGTTGCCCTGGATTCCATGCAAAAGGCAAATTCTACCCTTGAGGATTTTGTAAGTATATACTCAGAAAATCACCTTTTTGCTGTGATATTCTATTATATTTCTTGATGGTTAATTTGGAAAATGCACAAGTAGTTGCATATCACTTGGGAGTGTGACAATCTTGGAACATGAAATAAATTTTATGTTATCTGAATTATACCTGGTTGCCGTGATTTACCATATTATTAATAGATGAATAAGATCCATATATCTTGTTTGTATTGCAGCTTTTGACAGACAAATTACGACAAGAGTAGTTTGGTAGAGGGCTTGATACTATTTAACAAATGAGCCTAGTTATCTGAAGCTTGCTTTGTGATTCCGATATTAATGTGAACTTCTTTTTTTTTCAGTGCAGATCTTATTTTATGTTTCATGAATTGGATGTAAGCAAGCCACAATCAATCTTCAAATACTTACCTATTCTTTCATTTACAGAGAGTTATATTTATCAGGTATATGCTAGATTGATGTTATGGCTTTTATTTAAATTCAGTTATTGTTTTAAATTCAATTATTATTTTAAATTCCACTGATGCTAGATTGATGTTATTAAATTCACCTAGGCAGTGAGATTCTTGATTCAATAATGTATGCAGCTTATACACAAGCATGAAGTGGGGCTTATTGGGCAATTTTTCCCACTAAAAAGCATATGTTTTGACAAAAAAATTGTTTATAGTTGTTCGTCCTGCTACTTGAAAATTAGTGAAATATATTCCAAAAGTATCTGTAGCTGTTGTAATGCAGCTTGATAAAAAGAATGAAGAATTGCTGCAAACCCCAAACAATGGAAAGTCTGTATTCGGAGGAAAGGATGAGGTGATTTACTGCATTTGGGAATTATGCAACAGTGGCTATTTGAATCTTCATGTTTTAAGTAATAACTTTCAATTTTCTTTTACAATTTAACTTTTCATGTAGAAAGAAACTCAGGTATTGGTTTCTTCCTTTTCAAATGACCCATTTAGACCACTTGTGACTATCCTTGAACATGAAGGCCTTTTGACAGAAAGGTGTGTATCCTGCATTCTATACCTTACTTTTCTAGGGGAATAGTTAAGCTTAAGCTTAACTTGGTTCTATGTTCTTTTTGCTTGATGAGCTAAGGATAAGAGAAGAACTTAGACATGGAGAAGAGTACTGGGCTCTTGAAAGAAAGCTCTGTTTTGCATTACTAAACAAAGAGGAGGTATGCACAAATCATTACCTTTTTCTTTCTCTTTAGAAAATGGGTATACATTGAGCCAAATCCTTCTTAAAGTTCCTTGTTTATAATCTAATAAATAATTTTGGTATTCAGATTCTTGTTGAAGATGTGATGAAGGCTATTCATTTAAAGTCTTTTGATTATCGAGTGCTGAATCTTCTTCTCTATCAACTGCAAGGAGCTAAGGTACAACTGATAAGCAAGCAATATTTTGGGGATGCTGCATTATTCATCTAATTCTACGCACACATGCAGTTTGAGTTAGGCACTGATTTTGTTCTAAATATTGCTGGCAACATAAATTTCTGCATTAGGTGACAGATATTATTAGCTAAATATGTGCATTTAGTATGATGTATTCTACTGAATCTGTTTTGAAGGTTGATGAGTTACATATGGAGTTTCTTTCAATTTCAGAGTTCCTAGTGGAAATTTCTGATGATCTGTAAGTAATATCCTATGTTTCTTTCAATTTCAGAGTTCCTAGCTTGTTTTAAGTTATAATTTTACTCAACATAATTGTTCTGTCTTGACAATGATTATGCAGGTATGACTATGAAGTGAGTTCGATAATCCCAATTTTGTAACCACCAACTGTTATAATGTGTTTTCCGAATCTTAATTTGATTAAATGACCTCATGCAGGATGATGTTTTAGAGAACAATTTCAACATTTTGCGTATGTTTATCAGAATATATGGAGCTTCAACTGCCCCTGCTATGCTGGTGATTATGCTAAACTTTTTACAAATGTTGTTAATTTATGTCTGCTTTTAGAATGTCAATATGTTATCTTGAAATTTTGTTGGCTAGCTGATATTTTTCTGGTAACAATTTCAAATGTATTTATTGAACTACATTAATTTTGTATACAGTGGTGAAATCAATATCCATCTATTATTAAAATCAAAGAAATATTAGTAATACACTCTTTTTAACATACTTTATTGCTAGTTGAAATCTCATGCATGTCCTAGTCCTTAAATCTCGTTGACAAGACATTTGCAGATTGAATTGTGGAATGATATTATTCTTGTTAGGGCCTTGGAGCAAGGTCTCTGGCATTTCTCACCGTGTATCTTGAGAAAGAAGAGAACTTTTATGGATCTAATGTTTGATAACATCATCTTTTACACAATGAGTATTGTTTTCTTGCCTGTATGGATTAGTGTTTTCTTCCTCTCTGTTAATTAAAATTAGTGTAATTATCGTAGTTATAAAACATGTTTGTTTAGTATCTTTAAGATGTTATGTCAAATTCTGAATTCCAGGCGAAGTGCATTAGTGAGGCTGAAGACAAATATGAAAGTTTACTGGAATCATTGGATCCGCAGCTGTCTCTGAGCTATCATAAAAGGTGTGCAGAAGCCACTAAAGAAGGTAATTTGCTGGAAACTGGAGTTAGTCAAGTTTTTCTAGTTCTAGTAGTATAATTGACCATAACTGTACACTACCATTTATTGGCAACCGATTTTTTTAGGTGGGAAGTTATCAGGGAACCCTCTTGGCACGTGGAGTATTCCAACCGTTATTCAAGACGAGGAACTGTATAGATCAAAGTTGAAATCAGATACTCCGTGAATATAAACCTAAACTGTGTCACCATGAGGTAATTGTGCCAATTCTAATGTTTTCACCCATGTGTCCTCGTCGTGCCGATGAAAAGAAGATCCTGCATGACATGATGAGGTTTGGCTAGCTAATAGCCACAAGGACAAAGCCCTTCTTGGCATGTCACATTTTTTCTACATCTGTTCTTACCTGTATTGTGTTACAAAATTAAGTTTATACCATTAGTCTATCTGTGATGCAAGTATTCAATTTACTGCCTATAATCACCATTGAATTCGGAATTGCTTGTGATGTGAATGTGAACATTTGGATTGTGCAATGGGGTCCAAGTACCCCTTTTTTTTTAATTGCTCACACATATTTACCAACATTTTTGTATAAACATAAATTTTATCAAGTAATTACGATAATTTGTTGTTTAATTTATACTCACTTAATTCCGATTGCATCACATTCCCCAAAATTGGCATAATGTTTAAAAATGCACAATTAACATGTTTCCTTAAACTTAAGATCCAGAAGGTACAGAATAGAAGGGCAGCATGATTGTCCTTGTTTTGTGCTCATGTTTTTGGTCTGCTAACGATCAATAATTGAATCCCTGATTTGAAAACAGAAAAATTCTGTTGACCAAGAAAAGAAAACAGAAAAATTCTAGGGAACAAAATATTATTTTACCTGTTTTGATGATCGTCAGCACTCTTGCGGTGACCGTAAGAAATAAAGAGACATTATCCTGTACAAAAATGGAAACATCTCGCATATTTAGCATATACATCTTTTTAATCCTTCAGTGAAAAAGGGTCCGTAAACGTCTGGTCACCGACTGTCACAATCCATCTGAGTTTCTCAGTGCGATGTCAATAATCCAATGGCTGTTTTGGCTAATTGCAAGCTGAGGAATCACAGTAAGGAATCTCGAAACCTTGAAAAGGAAACTGGTAAATAAAATAGTTCTACATATCATTAAGCTTATTTTGTTTAAATCTTCATGACACTATTGTTTATCTATTCTTTTGTAATAAATTTGAGTAAATTATACTGTAGTCTTTAAATTATAAATATGATAACTTTTTTTTCTATTTTATATATTTTTAAAACTTTTAACTTTGTAAAACATCATTTACTTTGATATCTTTTTAGCATTTTTCACACATATTAAAGACTAAAATTCAATTACAAGTTAAGAATTAAAGTGAAAATTTTACAAATTAAAATATTCAATGCTTCTTTTAAGGAAAAAAATTTTTAAAAAAAACTAAGTTATATAAGTTGATTTTAATTTATGAAAAAAATAATTTATTTTATTTTTTCTTAAAAATATATTTTTTAAAAGTTTATCAAATCTTACTCATTCTCATTTATATTTCTAAGAAAATATTTATAACTTTAATATATTAAAAAGATAATTTAGATTAAATTTTATATTTTGTTCGCTACGAAAATATTCTAGTAAAGAGTGAATGTCGACATTGTTCTTAAAAAAGATCAACATATTTTAATAGGGACTATTTAATGATAGAAAAAAGGTTCACATATCAACATTTGATAACAAAAATATAAGAAATTTAATCTAAGTTTTATTTTACTATTCTTTTTATGAAAAATCTGTTATATTACAGAATATGCATTAAGTATCCAATATATATATTTCCATAACTTTCATGAGAAGAGCTAAATATCAGTGTGTATTCAAAACATGTTAAAAATTTGTAAATATAAATTTAACGTATAAATTATAATTAATAATATTAAAATAAACTTAAATCCATGGCAGCTATTAATATATGACATTAGACTCTTCGACCTGTACGAGTTTCATTTATGGGGGGCAAACTAATAAATAATTGTCAGCTTGTAGCTAGTCATTATTAATTTCTTCGTTTTTCATACAACTTTGTTGATGCAGAGTTGAGCTCTACTAGTCTTTGGGTCAAGAATTAGATTCATCCTCTACAATCTACCGAGGTTGGTACTCTCTTTTATTTCATTTTCCAGACAGGACCCGTTTGCTTGCATCAGTATCCATAATCAGGTGCCAATTCCTAATTGTAAAATGTAAATAATTAAGTCAAAAGCAGTCAAACCCATGACTCTCCGAGAACTGAAACCAAAATTGGATAGCATAATAAATGCCAATTTTAACTACCACCATTCATTGAGTGTGGTATTTTTATTTATTAATTTTCTCACTCTCAGACACAAAAATCATTTCGCTTTCTACCCTGCTACTTACAAGCAGTATCAAACTACTAATAGAACACTGGCCAAGGGGTCCTTGATACTGATGAGGATTCTCCCATTTTGTTTACCTCTATTGAATCGTTCCTTTCACTTTTCTGCCACACTCTGCACCCTCTCTCAGTGTCCACTATCCCTCTCTATACTTGCACCCTCCTCTTTCTTCTCACTGTAGACCATAAGAAGAAAAAGCATTCATCATTCATCACCCAACACTAGAAATAAGTTCTTAAGCCAGTTAGCATTTAATTTTGCTACTCAGTGTGTCTTGGTTTAGATGGGGAATGACATCAAGAAATGACATCATAGGCATTCATGGCTTCACTCAATTCAATTCCGAATTCCACCACCACCACCATTTTGTTTATTATAATTCTACTGCACCTTCTGCTGTGTTCAGTTTCTTGCTTCAGACAACTACAACCTGCAACTCCTCCACAGGTAGGCTTTAATTATAGCCATGATTTTCCCTCTATACTTCTTGCTTCTGCTTCTATATATATGTGTGTGTAGCTGGTTTGTAAAGGACTCAGTTGGGTATGTTATATGGTGCAGGAACTGTTATTTGATGAGAAAAACAGACTAGGTTCGATTCCTCCTACTTGCCACAACAAGTGCAACCAGTGTCATCCATGCATGGCAGTGCAATTTCCAACATTGCCTAGCAATAAGCCAGGTCTCACCCCAGCAACTGCAAAGAAAAGTTTTTTCTCTCTCCAAGGTAACAGGTACTCCAATTACAAGCCACTGAGTTGGAAATGCCATTGTGGTGACTACTTTTTCAACCCTTAGAAATTGTAACATTTTCTTATGGAGATTATCTTCATCCTGAGTTGCAAAATGGAAATCGTCCCTCTTCTTTTCATTTTGGGTTTAAATTATTATTTCTGATATTGTGCCTTGAAGGGTCATTGATTGTGTACATTAGAGTTTGATACAATTGTACAGAGTTTGTTACGTACCTGAAATCTGACTTTAATGGCCGTGTCTAAATTTTGAGCAAGTTTCCTTTTTCCTTTTGGTGTTATTGTTTGCAAAACAGTGTCTCTAGTATTTTCAAGTATCATTCTACGGTTAAAATTAGAGTTTTATCTCAATTTTTTTGCCATACAGATTGCTATTAAAGGAGGGTATATATTACCAATGTAAAACTTCAATTTCAACTAAAAAATAACATCAAAATACTTATAATTCTGCAATTAAGTTATGTGAGTTATTGTTGATACTTCAATACTGGTAGTCCTTCTAGTCAAAAAAGACTAACGGCCAGGTTGATTGAATAAATTTAAGCAGGTACCGGAGTACAAATATATTGTTAATTAATTATTTTAATATACTTTGTCTCCGAAAATTACCTTAATACTGCATATTAAGTTGTGCGAAGAACACGAGCATTGCCTACATAGTTTTTTTACTTATTGCAACAGGTCATAGTCGTTCTTTGGAAATGTTTCCATTATTCCATTTTAGTTTAGTGATGACCTATTAAAGATAACCATTAGTCTTGTTTTGTTTTGTTTTTTAATAAATTATCCTTTAGTTCATAGTCTTCTTGGATGTTTTCTTGGGTCGTAAGAGTTTTAGAGGCCCACCAGTACTTATAGCTGCCAAAAACTTTCACTAAACAATAATTGCTTTTCAATTATGACTGAAAGAGGACTGGGCCATTAAGCCCATCTTTAGAAAAGCTTTTTTTTTCCAACAACATTTCTTAAGTTTTTCATAAAATAGGAATAGAAGTTCATTTAAAAGCAAAAAATAAAAAATAAAAGAATATATCCTTTTTGGTCTAAAGACTTTGATAAACCAACATTGCATATTGCATAGTGTTAACAAAGCTTTTCAGTACAAATAAGTGATGAAATAAAGTGAAACTGTTTTATCGGTTGAATAATAATTTAAAGTATTAAAAGAAAGATAAATATGAACAAAAATCAAGTCACGTCTTGTTATTACAGTTCTGGTCAGATTCGTTTCGTCCTAAATGGTATTTTAAATCACTTTAAAGTAATTTCTACTTCTTAATCCTAAGACAAATTGCAAAATTTATTTGCGTCAAAATTCAAAAAGCTCGAAGAGACTTGAGTTTCATCCTGGAAAATAAATTTTAATCTTACATATCTTTTTACATTTTTTTCACTCATCTTAAAAAAAAATGGAATCAAATATGCGTTTATCTTGTTTTATATTCTTTAAAAAATGATGTAACAATAATAATAGAAAAAAGGTGACGTGCAAATATTGCTGTTTAAGATTTATCTGCATCAGAACTCGCATTAATTTAACAACTTGACGCCATTTGGCTTCTGTTCTTCCGCCAGGCGTCCAAAAAAAAGTCTCCATCCTCAACTCTTGATGTCATTGCTTATTCTAACCTATCCACAATATATATATATATATATATATGAAACGCACTAACCCGCAGAGTGTAATCAGAACTCGAGAAGAAAAATGAGGTCTTCACATACAAAACAACAACCCCACATAGTGTGTGTTCCATTCCCAGCACAAGGCCACATAAACCCTTTTATGCAATTGGCAAAGATCCTTCACTACCATGGTTTCCACATAACTTTTGTCAACACTGAATCCAATCAAAGACGCTTAGTTCGGTCTCTGGGACCCACCTTTGTCAAGAGCCAACAAGGTTTTCAGTTTGAGACCATCCCAGATGTTTTGTCATCATGGGATATTGATGCAAATCCTGATGTTTCTGCCCTGTGTGATTCAACAAGGAAGAACTGTTTTGCACCGTTCAAGGAGCTCCTGATAAAGCTAAACACATCTTTAGGGGCACCTCCTGTTAGTTTCATAATCTCTGATGGTGTCATGAGTTTTGCAATAAAAGCTGCTAAGGAATTGAGCATACCTGAAGCTCAGTTTTGGACTGCCTCTGCTTGTGGATTCATGGGATACTTGCAATTCAGTGAACTAGTCAATAGAGGAATTATTCCATTCAAAGGTTGACTCTTGAGTAAACTCTCACTTGATATTGCAAGTATACATTACTTTAGTCCTTCATTTACAAACCTGTGATTAATATAAAAAATAATTCAATTTTGTTATATTTTACTTTATGTTTTATTGACATTTAAGAGGAGCGACTAATGCTTAAAATATATTTTATTTCAAGTAGGGAGTTACAATACGCGGTATCCTTTTGGTATTGATTGTGGGTTTAGTATCGTAGCAGTATTTTGGAATAAAGGTGCGTTAAGATAAGCTCATTTTACATTAAATTTTATCTTAAAATTTATTAAAATAAACTGAATGAAACTTATTTTGACAAGTTAGACAAAAATTTTATGAAAATTAGTTGAAAAATTCATAAGTTTTCTGTTAAGTTCCTTCAACTCACCTTAAATATAAATGTTTTTATCTTGTTCCAGATAATGAATCAATTACTGACAGTGCATTGGACATGCCCGTAGATTGGATTCCCGGGATGAAAAACATTCGACTCAAAGACTTGCCAAGCTTTATCAGAACCACAAATCTTGATGAGACCATGTTTGATTTTATGGGGTCAGAAGTAAGGAATTGTTTGACATCATCCAATATCATTTTTAACACGTTTCAAGACTTTGAACTACAAGTCCTTGATGCAATTAAGGCCAAGTTTCCTAGCATATACAACACTGGTCCACTTTCCTTACTAGGTAGACATGTACCTGAGGATCAGTTTTTGTCCTTTGGGTCAAGCCTATGGATTGAAGACTCTAAGTGCCTCAAATGGCTTGATAAATGGCAACCCAATTCAGTTGTGTATGTGAATTATGGAAGTTGGACTGTGATAACAGAACATCACCTAAAAGAACTTGCATGGGGTCTTGCAAATAGCAAGTACCCATTTTTGTGGATAATTAGGGCTGATGTTTTGATGGGTGAATCAGCAATCTTACCAAAGGAGTTTTCTGATGAGATTGAGGAGAGGGGATACATCACAAGTTGGTGCCCTCAAGATAGAGTGCTTTCAGATCCATCAATTGGGCTTTTCTTAACACATTGTGGATGGAATTCACTCACAGAAGCTATATGTGGAGGTGTGCCTGTTATCTGTTGGCCGTTCTTTGCAGAACAACAAATGAATTGTAGATATGTATGTACAACTTGGAGCATTGGGATGGAAGTAAACCATGATGTAAAGCGCGGTGAGATTGCTGAGCTTGTTAAGGAAATGATCGAGGGAGAAAAGGGAAAGGAAATGAAGCAAAATGTTTTAGAATGGAGGGAAAAAGCACTACAAGCCACTGATATTGGTGGATCATCCTATAATGATTTCAATAGGTTAATAGAAGAGGCTCTTCATTTTGAAGAGTAATTCAAAATTTAGCAGTGTTATGGTCGTGCATAAGTAAACATAGGATGATATGATAGTTCAAAATTAGCAGTGTCATGGATATGCTAATGTAACTTATTACCAATGGCACTGTTGTAATAATGTGCAATATATTTTAGGATTTATTTGTTTAAAAATTGAAAATAATTATGATACAATGGTGTATAACGAGCTTGGAAAAACGAGTATAGCAACGATTGAGAAAGCAAAAGGGTAACAATTGTCAAACATGGGGTGGTGGCGCAGTTGGCTAGCGCGTAGGTCTCATAGCTTCCGAGTAATCCTGAGGTCGAGAGTTCGAGCCTCTCTCACCCCAATATGTTATGTTTTGCATTTTTTTTTAAAAAATTCCAAATCATTTTCCCTTGTGTAAAGGTATGTGCTTACGAATGTCCCTGCAATTTCTAAACAGAAATTATTAATGTTACGGAAAAAAAAAAGTTTTATATTCCTAAATTTCATAGCATCTTTTAGCAAATAGTAACTTTGCTTTGTTTTTAGATATAGTTGTTCTAAAATGAACAAATGTGTAACAATAGGAAAGTAAACTTATGGCCATGATTTAAACATCCATTTTTATAGAAAACGTGGGTTATGACAATAAATCTAGATACCCATCTTGACTTAAGTGAATCAATTCCCTCTAATTTTTTGCCATTCGTCATAGTAAAAATATTCCCATATTTTTCTTGCTTCTGTGGTATACCATTGTACGAGAAAAATAAAATTCAAGATTTTCCATCAATCAGTTATGAACTGCAATAATCCTACCCAGATCAGTAACAATAGGCCTAAAACGGTAAACCCGTGACTACAACACTGCTACTACTACAACAGCAACTGACACTGGCAAAAATTAGTTGTTCCGAACAAAAAATGTGAGCATTAAAGTTGTTTTCTCGCTTTATAAATAACATTAAATAAATTAATATATATTTTCATTTTGTCTAAACGCAACAATAAAAAAAAATGGTATTGCACCTGAAGATATAATCCTTCAACTCCACCTCCCCCCACCCCCAACCCAAAATAAATTACAAAAAGGCATATAAGTTCCAACAAGAAAAGAAAGGAGAAAAGGAGATCTAGTTTCTTTTGCTCTTCATATCCTCCTGTCTATAAGGACTAGTAACCTACATCCACGAACAAATGCTCAACCCTCCCTCAGTTCTAAAATCAATAGTTGACCCGAGTTGAGTTTCAAGGTTCCCACAAGAATGAAGCATCCATATAAGGAAAAAAATATTTATGGGGCTGGAAATGCGTAGGCTACAAGTTCCCACTAAATATAATCATCTCCTACTGGTGGCAGCAGTCTTGCCTTTGCTTAAATCAGCAAGTTCCTCAATAAGTTTTCGCTCATCTTTGCTCAGTTTTTTAGGTATTTCAACTTGCACTCGAACCAATTGATCACCTCTCATGTTCTTTTTATTCAGCACAGGAACACCCTTCTTAGCCATAACAAGTGTTGAGCCTGGTTGAGTCCCAGCTGGGACTTTTAAATCCACCATGCCATCAACAGTAGGAACCTTAACTGTAGTCCCCAAGATTGCATCAATATAAGACACCTTACTGGTGTATAAAATGTTATTGTCATCCCGTTTAAGCACGGGATCTGGGATAACTTCAAGAACAACAAAGAGGTCACCAGGAGCACCCCCTCGCCTTCCAGCATTGCCTTCATTTCGGACCCTTAAACGGCTACCAGAATCCACACCAGCTGGAACCTTAAGACTTATACGCTTTGTCTTCCTCACTCGACCTTCCCCTGAACATGTATTGCAAGGTGTTGAAGTTTCTCCAGTCCCATTGCAAGACGAGCAAGTCATAGACTGCTGGAAGATGCCCAATGGAGTCCTTGTAGACGAGACAACCCGACCCTGGCCACCACATGTGCTACACCTGGATGATTTAGTTCCAGGTTTAGCCCCTGAACCATTGCATGTTCCACAGCTCTCTAATCGCCGAACCTCTATCTCCTTTTCCACTCCAAAAACGGCTTCTTTAAAGTTCAAAACAAGACTATAATACTCATCTTCACCATCAACTGCTCCATTCCAAGAACCTCTGCTGCCCATGCCACCCATGCCGCTCATGCCCTCAAACAGTGACTCAAATAGGTCAAAAGGATTGCTGAAATCCTGAAATCATAAAGATTATCCATCTTTGAGAAACAGGAATATATGATAACAAAATAATATTCCCCGTCATCTTCAGAGGACACTTACCCCCATGCCCATTCCTGAACCTTTAAGTCCAGCCTCTCCATATCTGTCATATATAGTTCGTTTCTCATCATCTGATAAGACCTGTGAAAGAATTTGATTTACAGAAGTTCGATTATGTGTAGACATACATAAGGACCAGCTGTGTTCAATAAGCTGTAGTTTTACCTCATATGCATTACTAATTTCCTTAAATTTCTGTTCTGCATCAGGTTCTCTGCAGCATAAAGTGAATATACATAATAGTTCAAGCAACATTGAACAAATGACTGACGACAAGAGAAAATTAAGCAACAAGAAAAATTGACAGGTGAGAAGGTGTGTGGCTAAAAGAATTTACCTAATAAGCAGTTCAGAAAGTATATAAAAACCTAAATTTTAAAAAGGACGAGCTACAGGCATTATAATTCAAAGACATCCAAGCCACTTTATCCACAGCAATAGTAAAAAATAAATAAAAATTAGGAAAGAAACAATGTGGGGAACAAGGTAAAGGAAGGGTATTAGAAAGTAGATGATGTTCAAATGAGAGAAAAAAAAAAAACTCACTTGTTCACATCAGGATGATAATTTCGGGCAAGCTTCCGATAAGCTGAAATGTCCAAAGTTAGAGGAAAAATTGATATTGCAATGCTAAAACAAACTATTTAGCCACAAAAAGAGTGCATAACCAAGAAAATCATATGCAGGATCTGGTTGATGGCAACTTTTTAATCACAACCATCTCTCATTATCCCTAATCACCCATGCTTGTCATCCACTAATTTTAAACATTTTCACTAATATATCCTACATTACAAAGAAATGGAAGCGAATGTATGGAGTCTTGGTTAGAAATTTCCTAGAGGACCTTATACCAGAAATATAGTTAACTTTTGTTCTATTAGTCTGTAGCATACAAAAGCCATATCATACCATACCATACCATATGATACAATAGAGCAATCAAAGGTTAAAGGAAGTAGCAAGAGTTATATGAAAGGGGGTAATCATTTATTAGATAACATACTGAGCCTGCACAGATAATTGACTTCCTTTAAATGGACATTCATGAAGTCAACAACTAATGAGCAAGTATACCAGAACTTATTTGAATGTATCAATAGATCGTTATGGAGGCAAAATCATGTTAGACAGGAAAGGAGGGGGCCACCGGCCACAGAAAAAATACCGCTCTTAATTTCAGATTTCGTAGAATTTCTTGACACCCCAAGAACAGAATAGAAATCCTGCACAGTGGCACATATTAGATATCAAGTCAATATATTGAACGTTCTTGAGAGTTAAATAATTTAAGAAGGAATACTTTCATAAGGCACAATTGTGTAGAGAAGGAAGTTATTGTTGCTCAGAAATGCACAAGTAATTGAAACTTACTGTATCTGCTCTAACTATCAACCTTGATCCCCTGCGACGATGCAAAGTTTGAGATGAACCTATATCAAACAGTGCACGCAAGGAATCTCGAGCAAAAAAGCTTGAACTTGGTGCAGACGTAACGCTTATCCTGCTTGCAACACTGCAAGGAAATGATTTAATTTAATTACACTCTCCAGTGCAACAAAATACACTGAAAAAATATGTGTATATATTGAGTAAGCCACTGCCGAAGCTTAACATTTAATGACAGGTAAGATAGGAAACAGCCCTAGTTTCTGAGAATCTAAGCCTATATGCAAACAATAAAACTACTTTGGCAGACAATTATCATAAAAGATCACATTTTATACCTAGCTCATGGTTATATCTTGTGGATAATATAGATAAAAATATATTAAAAGTAATTTAGCTCCTTTCCATATGTAAGAGCAACAAGCCAACAACATTAGTTAAGAAATATTTAATCATAGGACTAACCTGTGGTTGAAGGATGCAATCTTCCCTGTCGTAGTCGATCTTGCGAAAAGCTGAGGACGAATTCCCCATTGAGTAGCTGATGTACTACCAAAAGGTACAATGGCCATCCAATATACTTTGAGCAAGACAATATGCCAAAAAATATAAAGTTTGTAGATGAAATTCTGCTACTGCAAAAAGAAAAAAACAAATTAAAATGCTAAGTGAACCTCGTGAGAAGAAATGAATAACAAGCTAGTTAAATTCCATATACAAGAAACGAAATGAACAAGGAAAAACGTATAGTGTAAATTCAGTACACAAATAATCAACATAAAAAAATGAAGCAGCAGTTACTGGCTTATATATAAGTTCGTGTGTCGATAACCAATTAAAACAAGGGACAAAAACGACAATACTGCAATCTAGAATGAACGAAGGAATAAAACTATGTTGGTGTCATAATTCTGAGAGACGATAACATTGGAACAGAAAGAGAAACGTGTTGGTGCTAAACCTTAGCCGCTGCTGCTACGGCATGTGTGGATAGTGTTGTAGTGTGTGAGGATACAGTGTTGCGTTGGAAATGAAGCTTTGCTTATAGGATGACAAAGAAGCTGGTGGTTGAGTTTTCTTTTACCTTTTTGTTTTGTTTAACGCCAACGATGCCCGGTTTACTTCGCTTCTTCCAGAACCCTAACGCCTTTTCTTTTGGGTGGGATTTCAAATGCTAAATTACATTTTTGTCAATGCAATTTTTATGCTAAAATCAAAATTATTTAATTCACTTTTATATTATTATACTTTTAAAGATTTAATTTATTAAAAACGAATTAATTTATCTATATTTTTCATAAGAATAATATTTTCCTCGTTTTATAATATATGTTTGATGAATTTTTATTTTATATCTAATTTAAGATTTTTTAAATTATTTTAATCAATTTGTAAATTTTTTAATTATTTCCTCTACTTTAAATGTGTTTTTATTTATGAAAAAAATACAATAACTGTTACATAACCTTTTTCTTTTATAATCACATTTTTCTTGTTTTGTAACACGTGCTTTATTTTTTTAATATTAAAATTTAATTTAACAAGATTTTTAGTTTTATTTTAAGACTAAACCTAACCATTTCTTATCTTTCAAGAAAATTTGTCTTACAATTATACTTCTAAAACATTGCAAGAATAGTCGAAGAGAAATAAAATATATCTATAGTTTAGTATATTTAATTATTTTTTGTCAATATGATAGAAATAGTAGACTGGGATTTTTTTTAACTATAAATTTTTCATAAAAAATATATCCGATATTTTCACAGTTAGACTTAAAAATTACAAATTTTAAGAGTACTTAACAATTTGTTTGTTGTGACAAGAAGAACTTATGTCTCCAAAATTACTGATCTTGTGGAAAGAAACGGAATTTTAATAACAACACTTACTGTGTAGGTCTAAAGTGTACATATAATTTCTTGTGGAAGAACTTCTTGAATCACTGTAACCCTAGTCAATAAAAAAGGCAAGAAAATGATTTTCAAATCTGCAACAAATAACAAATTATAAACTCGCAATAATCCTAAAAAGAGGAGACACCAATAATACTTGAGTGGAGGATACTTCTAAATTTATTGTAGACAAATTTTTTGGTACTTTAATTATTTAAAATGTATGAACATGATTTTCACAATTAAAAGATACAAGAAAAAATTTGTGGCAAGAAAGAAAAAAAAAAGTGAGTAGAAAATTTCATTGATCAATATTTCTATTAATATTTGTATATTAAAAAGCTTAAATCAGTGACCAGCAACCGACCTTAGCTCAGTTGGTAGAGCGGAGGACTGTAGTGGGGTTTCCCTAGCTGGTATCCTTAGGTCGCTGGTTCGAATCCGGCAGGTCGGATTTTTATGTAGTTTTTAACATAATGTTTTATCATGCTTTAGTGTTTATTGTTAACAGCTATGATATCGAAAACTCTCTTTTATCACGACTGTACAAGTAAAATGGTATATTTCATCTTGGAGGTACTCATTTTATGAGTGTATATTTGATAGATAAACCATTGATAGTTAAGTTTCATTTTATGAATTGGCAAATATGAAGGTTCTCTTCCCAGCATAGAATCGATTTTACAAACACAAGCTTCCCGAAAAACAACCCAACAAAAGCAGCATCAGTCGTAGCTGTCAGATAAAATAATAACATACATATCCACAATGATGAACAGTTTTTCCATTCTGAGGGTCAACCTTTCTGGTCCATCTTGTGATCATTGCTGTGACTTTCTTGCTTAGATGGAGTTAAGGGATCAATGAGGAAGGATTTTAAATTCTTGTAAAGTTCTTTGGGCTTCTCTGCGTTGATTGCATGCCCCGCATTCTTAATGACCACAAGTTGTGCCTTCTCTCCAACATGCCTTACACAGCAGCAAAAATAACAAAATCCAAACTTTAGAACAATCAGGTAAGTGTAGAACACAATTATAAACCAAATGTATAAAGGTAGGTGTCTGGAAGATGAAATCAATATTGAACTTAAATGTCACAAAATTCACCGTTTTAGTCTTTGAGCTAACTCCAGTGGGAATACCTGGTCCTGTTCTCCCCAGATAATCTGCAAAGGCTACATCATTGAAAAATTATGCTTTTAGAAGTTACAGAGCAAAATTGCAAGTGTGGTCAAATTAACTCAAAATATAAAGTCAGAAACAAAATAAAAATTACCTGGGTTATCTTGGGAAGATTGGATACTTTTCTGTCTTTATGCAATGCTTGGATTAGTTCTTTCCTCTCCTGGCGATACTCCGTACACATCACCTGCATGTCGGGTTCAGAGAGTTTTGGTAGAAGGAGTAACCCCTTGTTTTTTACATTCACGTCAAGGTAAACCACACAATAATACAATAACCAAGCACTCAACAGTTATTTTCAGTTAGGAAGAAAACTAGAAAAGAGATTATTTTTAACCGATCCAATTGTTACAGATCAAAGCATTCCTCAAGTACTAACAAGTATATTAACGTTGCAATTGCAAATGTGCATGATTTAAGTGCTTTAGCCATGATGGTAGTGAAATCTAAGACACGGAAAATATATAGATATCATCAACTATACATATATATCATAACATGTTTGAGTAGTTGAGTAAAACAGACCTTTCCCTTCTTCTGAAATTATGAATTATGATCCACACGAATGCTGCGGAGGGACATATGTGCTAGATTTAAGTGCTTAAGCCAAGATGCCCATTATTTATTTATTCTCTCTGGGCGCAAATTCATGGTCAAGGATAAAAGAATGTAAATAAAATTCAAAATCGAACTTGTCCAATAAAACAAGGGGTCTTACTACTATAGTACCAATAATTACTTTTCTTCAAAACTATTATCCACATTATGAATTTCTACGGTCGCAAGTTATGTCTTACAACAGTCCATTATTCCTAAATTGGACCAATTTCAGAGACCAAATATAAAATTATATATAATTAGTTAATAACTATCTTCAGCTAAAAAATAACTTACATCAATGAAATCATTGAGAAAACAAGTTGGCAAGAATTTGATAGGCTTGGCGAAGGTAAGCTGCACCAGTTCCCTAACCATTTGAGGTGTCTGTGGAAGTAAAATACTCACAGCCTCGTCAACATTTTTGACCTTAAACATGCCTTCATCCATGTCCTTATCTTCCAAGCACACACCAGCACAACACACAACCAACTTCTCCACACTCTTTGGAAACAACACCGCCATGCTGTAAGCCACAAAGCCGCCATAGCTCAACCCAACCACGGTCATCGTATGGACCCCGTGAGCCTGGAGAAGAGCCATGACACACTTGGCTTGGAACCATTCGGACCTCTCGGGTCGGGTCGTGTAGGAGTGACCGAAGAAAAGCAAGTCGGGGACGTAGACGTTGAAGTGGCGCGTGAGGGAGGAGATGAAGTAGTTCCACTGCCACATGGCATTGGCTCCGATGCCATGGATGAGAAGAAGAGAACGGTTGGAATGGTTATGGGCTTTGGGAGCCCAACAGTGCATGATGGTACCGTCGCCCAGATCGGTTGTTGTTGATTTCAGGCCCGCGTTGGAGAAGGAGTACCGGAAGCACCGGTCACGCCAAGTGATGAAGCTCATACACCTTCCCATTTACAAGCTTTTTTCAATTTGAAATTCGTAAGTGTTGTTGGAGTGTGAGTGGAGCAAACAGTTCGTGGAAATTAAGGAAGGGATTGGAGAGTGATTCCCAGAAAACGGAAATAATGATGGGTCTCTGTTGAAGGGAAGAGAAACAGAGTTTTGTGATGTGTTGTAGAGCAGAAGATTGAGATGGCATGGATGGAGTTCGCTGTCCAACGACACTCACAAAGCGACAAACAAGATATGGATTTCTGGTATTTAAATTTCTCAAAGTTCCATTGCTTTTTATAATATATACACATTATAAAAATATATCCAAATATTTTAAAAACATTCACTTTTAACGATACATAAATATTTTTTAAAATGATGCAACATTTATTAAAATATACCAAGTGTATTTTTTATTTACACCGCGTATACTTTTACTAAATGTTTGAATTATCAATTAATCTACGTGTTTTATAATAACTTTTTTAGCGTATAAATATAAAATAGTGATTTATTATGCTTAAAATTTATAATTAAATAATAGTGTAAAATTTATATTATTAATATATTTAAATTCAATTTTATAAAATGTTATGACTCAAATGTTGTTATTTTAAATTGAGCATTTATATTTTTTTCTTCTTTTATATAATAATTTTTACAGAAAAAGAGAGTCATGGAGAATGAAAAGAGAAAATGTATGATAAACAACGTATTAAAAAAACTCAGTTGTATCAAATATTGTAAAAATTATGCACACAAATAATGTTACTTGTAATTTTTCATACATGAATATGCATTAAAGTTGTGTATAAATGTTTATCAACTTATCACATTATTATAAGCACTTTTGTGCATTTGCCCTGACTAATTATTTGAAATGATTTTTTGGAATTTATCATGCAACTTTTTATATAAAACAAAAGATTAATAACATTATACTAAATTCTATTTTTTTATATTATTTTATAACTTAGTACCGGTTAGTGATATAAGATCTACCCAAAATTTCAAGAAATTTTATTATTTTTATATATTTATCCGTCGTTATCAAATCATTCTAACAATTTAGCAATTAATATAATAATAAATTGAACTGTAATTAAAAATATAATATAATAAATAAATGCTCAAAAACAATATATTAATTGTTTCAAATAATTTTTTAACATGTATAATTTAATTAAAATATTATTATACAAAAGTATAATGAATATTAATTGCAGCATCGAAATTTATAAATTAATTTAAATAATGAGTAAAAAAAAATTAAAGGGGCCACGGTCCCACAGGTTAGGGATAATGGGACAGTTGTTTATCTTTTGACTTTTGACTTTTGAGCAGGAAAAGTCCTGATTAGTTACAGTAATAAAGTTCTCTTGAAAAAATGAGAAAAGGACAAATTGTTGACACACCTAATCCAAGGCGAAAGCCCCAAGGCCCAAACACAGTGCCACTAGATCTGACTTTACATTAAAAAACAAAAAAACAAAATAAAAAATGATATTTTTAATGAAAGTTCGATTTAAATATTTAAAAATAATAAATCTTACTAATTATTTTAATAAAACCTTAAATATTAAAGTCAACATTTTATTTTAAATAAATGTGAGGTTAAAAAAGTGCTCGTAAATACAAAACTTGCTAGTTATAATTGTTATAAATTTTAAACTAAGGCGTAGTTAACTAAAAATAATTAAATTTCAAGGACACCGATGGCAATCAACGAGAAGTGAAAGCGTGAGTGTGTAAGATGGGACAAATTATTTAAGAGGAATGTAACTTTTAATATATATTTTTTATAACTTGTCAGTTTTTAACAAATTTAAAAATAATTAATTTATAAGATAGTGTTTTAATTTTAAAAAAAGTTAATCACATAAAATATATTAAAAATAAATTTAAAATTTATTATTTTCTAATTTATTATTTTACTCACTGTTAAATATAAATTAAATAAAAAATTTAATTTAAATATAATATATATATATATATATATATATATTATACTTTCTTTTATTTTCTCTTTATCGTAACTACCCCACTCTCTATTATTAAAAGCAAAGCTGTACTTTCCATAGTGACTAGGCTGCCTGGGTTGGGCCTAATTAGCGTGTCCTTTTAACTTTATATTAAAAACGTGCCATGTCATAAAAAAATATATCATTTTTTATTTTTATTGATTTAAATTAAAGTAAAGATACCACGATTGAAGATTAAATTATGGTTAATAAGCTTAACTTCGTAACTAAAATAAAAGATAAAAAAACAAATGATATTTTTTACTTTAATCTGGAATTCAATGCGATTTACCGATGAAATCAAGATAAAGGAAAGAAAATCAAGAGAATATAAAACTACAAAAAAGACATTATAATTTCGTTTTTCAAAAGGTATCGCTACCATGGTTCCATTGTATGTTTTCGCAACTTCATTCTTTGTCTCGATACATGTACAAAGATTCTCGAGTTTTTGTAGAGAGACCAAATTGTGTGGGATTAATGGATTCCTCGTTGGTCGAAGAATCTCTATCAATGTGGCACTTGCCCACGGTTTTAGCTTCTTTCTTCCTTTGACTAAAAAATAAAACAAAAATGAAAGCTTATTATGGGAAACTTGATGCGATAGTCATGCAAGACAGGGTTGTAGTGAGAATTTACATCTAATACTCCGTGGACTGGGATATCTCGTTGTTTTGAGGATGACCACAAATAAACAGATTAAGGAATTATTAAAATGAAAATTTTACCCGTACTTTGAAAAATATATTTTCATGAACAATTCAGTATTTCTTCGTTAATTTAAATAAATACATTTCTACACCTTTTAAACCAGTAAACATTTTCTTCGTAAAAATATCATTAATTTATGAACAATAATATAAATAATAAAAGGAAAGTAGTAATAGCACCCTAAAGGCATTGTTTAAAGAATTTAAATTATCATTTTTAATTAAAAACATCGTTTGTGTTGTAACCTTGTTAACAACTGCAGCCTAGAAGGGATGTAGCTAGCGAAGACTGATAATTACACAACTCCAACTCTGCCAAATTTCTCACTTTCTGTCTGCCAATCATTGTCTGAGGAAAGGAATTCTTCCATACTCCTCCAATTTAAGACTATTATCCCCTGTTAATAATAATAATAACCTTGCTAAGCGTTAAGAAGATAAATATGCATCTCAAACATTTCAACATGAAATCAAATACACTGAAAATATATATATTTCTTTGTAAAACAAATTAAAAAAAAAGTGCTTTGCTTTGACAATTTGAAAAGGGAATATATATTTCTTATGTTATTCTTTACAGGTGTTGTAATGGTAGACAAAAGATTCTAAAAATCATCCTATTGGAATAAAAATTATAAAAGAATTCTAAAAATTCTTTCTTGTTTTTTTAGTTAAGATTATTATAATATATGAATTCAAGTCCTCGTGTTAATTTATATAACTTATTCATTTTAACATAGCGAGTTAGAGACTTATAACTTACTGGTCAACCTTGTAGAGTCTCCCTAACTCACAATAAACAAGTGTTAATGTGGTCAGTTCGACTCATTGAGTTGACTTTTAAAATTTTATATCTAAACATACAAAAAAGAAGAAGTTAAAATGATATTTCTAAATCTCTTAATTTTTACGCACAAATTTAGTTGACAAAAACATTCATATTTTAATATTAATTAAATTCATAATTTATTCAGATGTTAATTTTTTTTTTATGTTATATGTGTTTCTATTTTTAAATTTCTTAAGATAATTAATTTCCCAGGCCATTCCAAAACAAAGTAAACTGAACTCAACTGGTTCTCAATGAATAGAAAGAGTAATATTTTTTGGCACCCCTATTTGTAGGCTTGTCTCACCCTTCCTTTTGGATACACACATACAGTTTTGGGGGTTGAGGGTGGATATGATTGACGCCATAGTCAAATAAAGAGGCCAACTTAAATTTGGGATGGGATTTGGAACTTTCCCTCAACATTTTGATAGCTTGCCCATGCTTGCTTGCTGGTGATGCCATGGTCACCATGGTGTCGGTAACATCTGCATCTTGGTGAGGACAAGACCAGCTTACTCACTTCGTGGACCAATTTTTGGGTAATCTAAAATTATGTGGTTTCACATTTAAAAAAAAAAAAAATTATGAAATTTTAACACCTAACTTGCTATAAATGGTAGGATCACACAGTTCTAGACCATTCAATATTTTTTATATTATAATACATTTATTAAAATTTTTAATAAGTATAATACAATATAATTTAAAATTTATTAAAAATTTAAAATACATAATATTTTTATAAATTTTAGAATATAGATAGAATTTTCAGTGATTAAAATAGAAGTAAAAAATTATTTCTAGAAACTAACAATATTCTTAAACCATTATAATAATCTATGAATCTAGTAACAAAATCAAAATTAAAATATAATACATTTAATGTTTCTAATTTATTACTAGCACGTCAATTAATGTTATATTATTCTTTTTTAATTAAAAAATCAAAATATAAGATTTAAAAAAAAATCACAGAAATATAAAATGTTTCAAACAATTGTCAGCTGAAAAATTATTATTAATGATTTTTGGTAGTTTAAATTTTATGTTTATACTTTTTATTTTTTAAATTTTTTTATTATTTTTAAAAAATTATTATTGACGATTTTTGGTATTTTTTAATTTTTAGTTATTTTATTTCTAAATTTTTGTACTTTTACCAAAATTTTTTAATATCTTATTTTTGTAATTTAAATAAAATTATATTTTAATATATTTTATTTTTAAATATCATATCAAAATTAAAAACCGCTATAGTTTGCTATATTGTTATTGTATTATCATTTAGTTATTATTCAATAAAGCATAAAAAATATTTAATACGATGTACATAATAAATTATATTGACCAAATAATCAATTTTCGCAAGGACCACATGAGACGAGACAGAAGCTTCCGTTTCAGTTCAAATTTGCTGTATATAATGTTCGGCCTTTCGAACATTTGTGACTTGTCTCCCTGTGTGTCTCTCAGCAGCTCAACTCAGCTCAACTCAACTGGTGTCTGGTATCTCTTCTCTTCAGCTCTACCCAGCTTCTTTTTTGTTCATTTGTTTATTTATTTTCCCAAAATCAAGTAAAAGAAACTGACTTTAACCGTTCAATTAATCTTTCATTTTTTGGTTTCTTGCACGATTCCATTACCGTTCTGTTTGGTTTTTTGGTTCTCATTTTTGTTGCTTGAACCCTATTTTAGTTTTTCCGACCGATGGTTGATTATTGAACGCTTCTCGTATCACAGTAAAGTCCTTTTCGTCGTTCTGGCAATTTGCTTCATTTTTTATAATATTTATATGATGTTTACCGTTTTTTTTTTCATTGATTGCAGCTTAGTGGGTTGTTTATTCTGCCCTACATAGATGAAGATTTGTGGTAGGGTACTTGGATTTCGTGCATACTGTGTCACTGGTTGATGTCGGTGGAAAAATGGATTTGGTATCTGTTCTTTTGCTAATGTCTAGCATATGCTCTTTTGCGCTGCCTGAGCTTGATTTAGAAGGTTCAACGATCAGCCTTTTGTTCTGTTCATCTTGGGAATTTGATTCATTCTTATTTTGCCCCCTTTCTCTGTCTTTTTGCAAAATTAGTTTTTTTTTTTTATTTCTTTTAATGTGCTCCATATGGATGATCGTTCTTTCATCCATAGAATAAATTTAGTAGTAGTACATGGAAATTAATTGAACCAAGCATGTGCTTGCATGTTCTTTGTCTTGTCTCAAGTAGAAATTACAAGCCAAGAGCAGGAAGTGTAGCTGAGAGCCAACTTGACATACTCTTTAGTTTTTCATTTAGATATGCTTCTCGAAGTTTAATTTCCAATTAATTTATATGAAATATTTAGATAAAAATGTCTGTATTTTATGGATTTGAAAAGTATTTTGCTTTCTAGTTTTGTCAAAGTTGCAAGCGGCATTGGACTCTGGGTCTTAACTCTAATAGATGTATATCATTCATGTTCATTTCAGAAGATGCACTGTATGCATTGAAGTTATCATTGAATGCTTCACCCAACCAGCTTACAAACTGGAACAGAAACCAAGTAACCCCTTGTACTTGGGCCAATGTTGAATGTGACCAGAATAACAATGTTGTTCGAGTGTAAGATATTCTTATTTGGAAGAAGATTTTGGCAGTCTTATCCTTCATTGGTACTGAAATATTTTGTGCATGATGTATAATTATATGAATTGCTTCATTGCAGTTCACTAGCATTTATGGGATTCACAGGATCCTTAACGCCGAGAATAGGGGCTCTAAAGAGTCTTAAAACTCTGTAAGTATTTATAATATGAAATATCTGCAAAAGCCAGGTCAAATTTAGCAGAAGTTTTGCTGCTCCTTGCCCCCCTCCCCTGGTTTAAGTTCTTAGTCTCTTCATTCTTGGTATGTTTCAATGTACTGTTATGATGTGAATTCATGAAATCATATGGATACATTTCTATGTTGTTTTTGTAAGGTTATTTGGGGTTTAAACTTTTTACAGTTGAACTTACTATCTTCTATTAATCTGATGAACTGTAGTTGACTACACATTATGGTTCCTACTTGTTTATTTAAGAAAGCAAGCATGGGAACATGTATATCATCTGCAGTGTGTGTACTTGTCTGGAAATATGTATAAGTTGTTTTTTTTTAAGCCATTTGATCTATTTGGTGAATTTTGTGATTTAAGTCATACTTTCATGGGTCCATTGGTTCATATTTTTCACCTTTTTTCTTTGGTGGTGTATGTTATACATTTTTCATGCAGTTCTTTGCAAGGGAATAGCATCACCGGTGACATACCAAAAGAAATTGGAAATCTTACAAGCTTGGTTAGATTGGATTTGGAAAACAACAGATTGATGGGTGAAATACCATATTCCCTTGGTAATCTTAAAAAGCTTCAATTCTTGTAAGTATGATAGTTACTAGTTTCCTAGGTTTTACTGATGTATAACGAGCCTCAGCATCTATTTCCTTGTGGACTGTTTGTAAGTGTCTAATTTTTGCCCTTAAACTAGGACATTGAGTCAAAACAATCTCACTGGAACTATTCCAAATTCACTTGCCAGTCTCCCAAGTTTGAGCAATATGTATGTAAACTATTCTTTAATACTTTTCATTTTTTATTTCTAATTATATTTCATTATCATTTTATATCTGATGAATTGTTCAAACTTTTCTTTTGTAGTCTACTAGATTCAAATAATCTTAGTGGGCAGATTCCGGAGCAGCTATTCAGCATTCCGGAGTACAAGTACGTATGGTAGTAAATTAGTGTTGGATTGAATTTTCAAAGCACCTTTTAAAGATGATTTTGTATCCCTGAGCCAAGGGCTATGTGTAATACACTCCGAAAGTGGATGCATATGTCCTAAAGAACCTAATTATATAACTGCATTCAACAAATATAATTTACCAACATAATCACATAGTAGTCTATGATGCATATGTCCTAAAGAACCTAATTATATAACTGCATTCAACAAATATAATTTACCAACATAATCACATAGTAGTCTATGATTTTAGTGGTCTTCACTGGTTTCCCTTTTCTTCCTTCATTTGAAAGATTTGTGATTTGGTTTCCCATAGCCTAACTTCTTTGCATATGCCTGTTATATGATATTGAATGGAAAATGTTTAGAAAAGTGGTAGCTTTTATATCACTTATGAGAAATATGATTTTTCATTGGCAAGTGCTAATCAATGTCCCAACGGCATTTGTTAAGAAAACAAAAATTGAAAAGTAAAAGCATTCAACATACCCACCATGTAAATCCTGCAAGCTTGAAGAATTAACAAAGCATTTTCCACCCAACACTTTCTGCTTTAAGTTGATTTAATAGGAGAAGAAGATGGCAAGGATAAAACTCAACCAGAAATGGTTTTCTTTACATCTCTAATAGGAAGGGTTTTCTCAGTAACAAAGTTTCTACTGGTGACAAGTTTCAGGCAACAGATAGGAGCTAACGATAAACAAAATGCATACTTATATGGATGATATGTAATAGTAGAAGTTTAAGGCATAAAACTGTTTTTTTCCCCATCTTTTACTTGGTATAAGCCATGTACCACTGCAATTTTGTTTATGGAATCTTTGGATAGAAATGGAACCTCTGAATTTAGGATTCATGTGGTGTTGTTCCTTGTTTATTTAATGTTCCGCTTTGTTTCACTATGTTCCTGATTGCAGTTTCACTGGAAATAATTTGAATTGTGGCGTGAACTATCATCGTCTTTGCACATCTGAGAATGCTGATCAAGGTTACCTTCATTGATCCTGTTTTTTGTTTTGTGAGGTGTTTTCCAAATTTCACTGCTAGCTGAAAACTTGTTTTCCTTCACTTGGCAGGTTCATCACATAAACCAAAAATAGGCCTCATAGTTGGAATAGTTATAGGTTTAGTTGTTATTCTTTTTATTGGTGGCCTGCTGTTCTTCTGGTGCAAGGGGTCCAAGCATGAAGCTTTTGTGGATGTTCCAGGTTTGAGTTCTTTTATGTTTTGTGTAGATTGTCTGTAGTTCAACGTAAGAAACTATTGATTTGGTGTCACTACCATCACGTTATGTTCCAAGCTGATTCAATACTGTAAATTCATGATTTAATATGATATAAGCCATTGTTGTTCTCATTTGAGATTGACTTTAATGAATGTGTATTGCTAAGCTCATTATGCACAATCTATTGGAATTGCTTTTTTCTTCTTGAAAAAATCCTGATATTCACGATGATGGTCAATAGCATTGGGCTGCAGTAATATTCTTTTTCCAGTATCTTACACATTAAGATTGCCAATATGTATTGGTTATGTTTTCCCTTCATTTGATATTCTGAGAACTTGTGGCCCACTGGATGTGAAGGTGCAATATGATAATATTATTAAATCATTATGACATGAATGAAGAATTTAGTAGTTGAACTATCATGCAATGCTTCTAAGTTTTAATTGTGATAACTGGTTGAAATAATGTATAACATTCATTTTATAAAAGAAGTGTTATGAAATAGAAGAGAAGTACACCAGCACACACTAGGATATTAACAGCTAGAAAAATTAAAACAAGGAAACAAGTTAAAAATTCAGGAAACGGACAATCTTCACTGTTTAATAAAAGTTTTAAAATTAAGATTGATGTGAACTATCTATTCTAATCCTTTTTCTTTTACCATGTATCTTCAGGTGAAGTTGATCAGCGAATTACATTTGGTCAACTAAAAAGATTTGCCTGGAAAGAACTACAAATTGCTACAGACAACTTCAGTGAGAAAAATGTTTTAGGACAGGGAGGCTTTGGAAAAGTTTATAAAGGTATTTTAGTTGATGGCACAAAAGTTGCTGTCAAAAGGTTAACTGATTATGAAAGTCCTGGAGGTGAAAAAGCTTTCCATTGTGAAGTTGAGATGATAAGCGTAGCTGTCCATAGGAACCTGTTACGACTAATTGGTTTTTGTACTACTCCAACTGAACGCCTCTTAGTTTATCCCTTCATGCAGAACTTAAGTGTTGCCTATCGGCTACGAGGTATTTGTTACAACACGGGTATTATTAGTCTGCTAAGTATTAAACTTGATTTATTGTAAAAGAGACTATAATCCAAATTACTTTATTTTGTAACTGGGATTGAAGAGGTCATTTGCATAGTTGAATACTTACTGGCCTTAATAACTTTTTTTGTTTCAGTCATATAAACCATTTTAATATTTCCTGGATTCAATTAGGTGCATTAAGTTATTAAAGGTTTAATCTAACATTCAGGAAATCTACTGATATTTTCAAGATTTATCTGAAACTTTTTTTTTTTTTAATTTTTATCTAGGTAGTCATTCTCTTCATGAAAAACTTTCGGGAATAGAACAAGAATGTGGGAGATGAATATGATTACATGTGTCTTATCAGTAGAACTCTCACCATGCGGGCCTTCCCAATTTTAAATATTCATCTTTGTGCTGTTTTAAAATCCTGAAAGCCTGATGGGACATGGAATCTAACCATTTTTGCATTATGAATCTTGTATCCTTATCTGGCTGAATTTTACTTTATAATGTAGCTCGGATCGCTGTATTTTCTTTAGTTTTTTTGTATATAATTTCGCATCTTTTACAGTGATATTAGTCTGGTTGAATACTGGTGCAGAACTCAAACCTGGGGAACCTGTTTTAGATTGGCCTACTAGAAAACGAGTGGCTCTAGGAACAGCCCGTGGCCTAGAATATCTTCATGAGCAATGCAATCCTAAGATTATTCATAGGGATGTGAAGGCAGCTAATATATTACTAGATGGAGATTTTGAAGCTGTTGTTGGGGACTTTGGTTTGGCAAAATTAGTTGATGTGCGAAATACTAATGTGACAACTCAAGTTCGTGGGACAATGGGCCATATAGCTCCGGAATACTTGTCCACTGGAAAATCTTCAGAAAGGACGGATGTTTTTGGCTATGGGATTATGCTTTTGGAGCTTGTTACAGGTCAACGAGCAATTGACTTTTCACGCTTGGAAGAGGAAGATGATGTGCTATTGCTTGACCATGTGAGAGAATCTGATTTTAGTATTTCCTGTTTGTTTACATGCTTGGAACTTGTGCATGCCTCTTCCTGCTTTGATGCTGCCTACTTCAGCTTTTTATTAATATAGACAGGAAGTAAAGTTTGTGATGAGCTAATAGAAGTTTGTGTATTATAATTGGACTTTTGCATGCTTATCAAACTGGGAATAAGTTGAGGTGAATTCGTGGTTTTACAATTTGAAAAAGACATACTTTGCTTCTAAATATCCTTACCTAAATAACGTTGATGAGCAAAAGGTGAACGAACTATTTTTTGTAAAGAGATATGCTCCTGCTTTCATAGTGTTTGTGCTTGTTATCTTCATGAATAATTCAGTTTATACTTTATTGGTTTTACTATATTTTGCTTCATGTAGGTTAAGAAACTACAACGGGAGAAAAGACTAGATACTATTGTTGACTGCAACCTTAATAAAAATTACAGCATAGAAGAGGTTGAAATGATTGTACAAATTGCATTACTCTGCACACAAGCATCGCCCGAGGATCGTCCGGCAATGTCAGAAGTTGTAAGAATGCTGGAGGGCGAAGGGCTGGCTGAAAGATGGGAGGAATGGCAACATATGGAGGTCGCTACAAGGCAAGATTATGAGAGACTACAAAGAAGATTGGAATGGGGAGAAGATTCAGTTCATAACCAAGATGCCATTGAGTTGTCGGGTGGAAGATGAGAAGTCACAAATTTAGGCCATTACTTTTGATGTTCTATGGCACTATTCCTTTTTAAGAGGTTAATTTGATTTGAAAAAAAAAACAAAAAAAAAAAAAACGTAGGTGCTATTGTATTCAAGTGTAAAAATGGGCAGTAACCTCCGTATTCCGATGATTATGATTGTTAAAGCTATTTTTTTAAAAAATTATTTAGACATTGATTTTAACCTTTTTTCCAAACACCGTAAATTTATTATGCATTACTCAATTTCATTAAGTGGGATAGGATTTGTTGTTTTTGTTTATTCTAGGAATTTGTTGGAAAAAGAATTTTGTTGAAGTTTTGTACCGGCACCATGTGAAGTAACTCTAGTAATGGGTAGGGAGGGAAACAACTCGTAAGTGATGCAAGCGAACACCCCGTGAATTATTAGCTTCAGTACAGTCATCCCAGTCAACTTGTATGAGTGTAGTTTATCATTAGAATGTAGATGTACACAAAATGAAGTGAAGTATAATTGCATTACAATATCCGATGATTACATATCTTCTCTTTTTGGTTTTCCTTAGTCATTAAAGAAAAACACCTCCAAACTCCCAAAAGGAAAAGAGTGTTAAAAGTGAGAGAGATTGTCTAACATGTCGTTGCAAGTTATAACTTTCATATATAGCATTAATTCGCGTGGATTGTTCATACAACGAGCTAGCTAAATGCATATATTTTGCACTTTACATTTGTGACATTTTCTTGCTTGTAACTGGAAGCAACTGCTTTTGCCCATTCTCGGATCTTTGCTTTCATACACACTGCATCCACGTTAACTAATTCATTGCGCTCAGCCAGAAGGTACAAAGGAGGTTGCTCTGTGTAGCGTGTATCCCACTGTTCCAAACGGATGGCACATTCTTTGTAATCCATACCAGCCATTGCCATAGCTTCAACAGACATGTTTCCTAGGATCAATAGAGATGAGGACAGTGATGCTGCTAACTGTGAGTTGTATTTTGAGGTAGCAGCCGCAGGAGCATTTATATACCGTAACAAACAAGGTTGTCCCTGCTTTGCGTTTGGGTAACTAAAAAAAACCAATAATTCACGGATGTTGCATGGGCACAGTTCTTTTCCTTTAGACTACATGTGACTCTCTCTCTCTCTCTCTTGTCATGTAATGAGATGGTGATATGAATAAAGAGTGAGTATTGGTTCACTTAGATCAGCAACTACGCCAAACTCACACTTTGGTATATGACGCCTACATCCTTAACTCAATGTGTGAAATGGCATGCAAGAAATGTGTTTTAAAAAACTCGTGATCGTCATCAAATACCATGAGTCTGCATTTGGATCCTAATTTTAAATGTGACCAATTTTGAATGACACGGGAATGGCATGCTCCCAATTTTGAAATAAAATACGTATTAACCTATGTTTTTCTAGCCTCGTTTGGAAAGGAAATGGTCAAATGGAGTTTGGTATGAGCATTGATTAATCATTATCCAAATGGACTATTACTTATATTTAGATTGCCATTGTTTTGGGCTTATGATAGCAGAAATTCCTTTTTGTTGTGTGAACAAAAAGAGGCCCAGGCCCAATAATAATTAATTAAATCAAGATAACAAATACCCACTAAACAGCCAAAAACGGCTTAACATAATTCCACTTATAGAAGATAAAAAAATAAGCAGCCCAGGCTCTTGCAGACATCTCATGTTAGCCGAAATATAAGCACAAGTAAACCTTGAATGCTCTGGATCAATATCCTACTATTTATGGGTCATGACTAAAAATTTTGGGAAAGCTACTAAGTTTTAATTAAATTCAGATTAGTCATATAATTTTCTGAAAGTTTCAAAATATTACAATGTAAAGTAACAATGAGGAAATTATATAATCTAAAACAAAATGAAGGTTTCTACTTTTAGAATTTCATGAGAAAATTGATGAATGTACTGATACATGAAGTGTCTTCTCAGTATTAGAAGTGGATGAGCTTTGTAATCATATAATGAAACGAGCTTTTACTAATGGCTGTTGATTAGTTTTTTAACCTTTTTTTTATTTAATTGTAATTTTTTTGTCGTATGTAATTGTAATCTATAGAATGAGGATTACAAAGTCAAGAGGCCCAAAGAGAATGAGACCCATCTCATATAAGTAATACTTTATTAAGTAATACATTGTTTTGTCAATAAATACGTATAACCCAAAAAATAATCGCATATGAGCTTTTTTAAATTGTGACACATATATATATTCACACATCAAAATAGGTTATCCTACCGAATAATTTTTTTTTATTAGGATATGAAATTTCTTCGTCGTGTATACTGTTATGAAGTAGTTATAGTTTTTTAATTTTGTCGTTTTTACATAACTCTTAGGAGATATTTGACTCAACAAAGCTTCTCTTTTTCCTAATATGGGTTTTATTTAATAAAGTTGTGAATAAGTTCTTATAATAAATATTATCTCTTTAAATTTTAGAGAAATAAAATAAAAGTAATTATATATATATATATATATAAATTTTAACTTATCAAATATAATTAAAGAAATATTATTTATTTATTTATTTTTCTCTTAAAGGACTTATTCACAGGCTCATTTAAACAGGACTATAATGTTATCTTGAGTAAAATTATCTTTAAAAAAAAAGCATGTAAAAAAAAAGAAAAACAATACTCGTGTGGTAATTAATACCGTTCATTCTAACTTCATTTCTTTGAAAAAATAAATGATCTTCATTCCATCATCTTCTTTTCTGTTGCATTGTTTTTCATTAGTTTAGTTGAAGAAACTGTAGATAATCACAAGGTAAAAAAAGGTAGAATACAATTAATATAATAATAATAATAATAGAATACAAAGGTAGAATACAATTACAAAAGAACAAATAGAATAAAAGAAAAGGTGTTTAGTTTCATTTTCCTCGCATCAAATGAGTATCCATTATACGAACTATCTCTGAAACTCTAAGATTAGCTTTGGTTTCATTGTTTGAAGCAACAGCTATAGCCCATTCCCGCATCTTCATTTTCACCCACTCCATAGCCATGCCATTGTCTTTGTCCAACCTAAAACTAGTGCTGTGACTTTTATCAACTTTATGACTCAAATTTCGATCATCTTCAGCGTTAGCCCGGGGTGATTGCAACGGTTTAAAGCTCTGCTCCAATGCACAAACATTGATCGTACACTCCATGTAGTCCCCACCAGCCATTGCAAATGCTTCAACTGACATTTCTATATACCCTCAGAAATTAAAGTACCTAATAAGATTGTTGATTGCCTTGTTTCCTTAATTAGACTTAAGAGAAAAAATGACTAATGATTTATTAGGACAATACAAGGAGGGTATGCATATATATATATATATACACACACACATTGTATATAAATATCACAATGTTAATGCCAGGTTCGTTTTTGGCTGCTAAAAGGTAAAGGGTGCACGGGTTTTTCATGTAATTAAAAAGTTAAAACACTCTTCGCCCTTATTTCAGCTTCAAATCTCTGACCGCACGGGCGTTTCAAGAAGAGAATAAGGATTGTCCATATATCGATTACGCCAAGACAAAAATAAGTATCAGTGTGAATGGTGTAATTGCCTTACATAAACAGTTAAATGTATCTCATTGACCACAAACGGGACAGATGGCAGCATCTTAAAGAAAATATGCATGTCATATTGATGTAAGAATATTCATCCGTACTGTAGCGAAAGGATTATTATAGTGAGAAAACAGAAAATTCAAATGATGATGTAATGAAGATATATATATATGTGTGTGAGTGATAAATTATAGTATTATATATTAAACTTTTATTTTTTACAGCATTTTATAAACAATTAGTTTTGTTTTTCAAAACTAAACCTATAGATCAATTTTTTAGTACAATCTTAATAGAATTATATTTGACCAGAAATATCAACTCGGCTTGAATCTTTGACCAACGATTTCAGAAACAAAAAGTTAGCTGTCCGAACAATATAATTAGCATGCATAATTATGAAACATGCATCGTATATTATTACATGAGTAATATAAGCTTGTCAAACTATTGACTAGAGGGATTGACGAGTAGTACGGTTTTACCATCACTTAGCATATAGATGATGATTTAGTGCTGGATTGGTATTCTTCACCTCATGCATAGACTTGACTTTGCTGACCAGTATTTGCAAGTGTCTCACGTGCATCCCCTAGAAACAGACCCATAGCCATAATTCATCTATATCAAATTTTTAAAAAATTATGATAATTTTGAAGAAACAAATACACATTATCTTTTGATTTTAGGCATTTATTATAGTAATTAATATGAGAGAATTATAATAGTAAGTGGTTTTTGCAGCTTAGTAATTATATAATTGGTTTGTTGGTTCATCCGTCAGTTGAATCTGAATTTCGCAATATTACTATACGTCGATTATGTAGCGTTGCATAAGAAAATTCTCTTTATTAATTTACGAAAAATAGTCTTGCTCAAACTTAATTACTTTTACAACATTTATTAATAAACTCTAGCGACATGCATTCAAGGAGTCAGTGAAAGGTACATAAAAATAAGCAAAATGTGTGGAATGAATTGTAATGATTTAATATAAAAAATATATTCTTTAAAGAAGGAAATTGAAAATGCAAATGGCATATTGATACGGTAATAATCCGTACTATACGGAACAATTGTTGATCAGTGATCTTGACTAGAGATGAGGAATTTGATAAATCTATGGTAACATGTTACTGAAGATGATGTAGGCAATTACGACAGAACCCATTTTGTGGAATGATTCTTAAGTAGAAAATTAGGAGAAGTAAATGAAATGTCCTGTGCAAGGTGGCACTTCGTGCTGGTATTGGTATTCGAATTGGAACCGTGTGGCAATCTGAATGGTTGGAATTGGAATTGAAAAACAAAAGATATTTACTGATTATCATTTTCAAATAATTATAGAAATAATAAATATAATTATTATTTTTTAAATATCTACTCCTTACATTTTTTTTTATTATTTTAAATTATAGCATATATTTACAAAGAAACATAGTTATTGTGTGTATTATTAGTCTTTTTAAATTTCTTATTATGTCTTTTAGACATGTTATCATATCATTTGATAAATTAATATATTATTATATATTTATTAGCCTAGTCGAATTCGTTACATAACATTATATAACATAAATGTCATTTTAAGATAATTTTATTCCAAAAAATGTACCTTTTTAATGTATCAACATCAAACTAAAAAAAATACACCCATGTTTTCCAATTTGATAACTACTTTCGCTCTCAGCTTTGTTTCAAGTTCATCCTGCCAAGTAATTTTCACGTGAAGAGGCTCCAAACCAGTTTGAAACATTTAAAACAAAACATGAAACCACACTCCCTTTTATAACATTCTAAATTTGATAATTTTATCTTATTTTTACTCAAAAAATTAAATTTAAAAAACCATACAAATTGACATATCATTAAATATGTATCATGGGAAGATTGGGAAAAAAATTCATCTAAAACCTCAATCTCTTGTCCTTACAAGTACACAATATCATGATTAATCTTGCAAGTGCTCTTGCTATTATTTTTATAGACCTCGTGCATTCTGACCATATCGTTTCCATAGTCACATCCAACTTTTCTTGATGATTGGTGAAGGTAACGACACTATTTTCTTCAGTGTCATATTCCCTTACGCTGTGATTGTTCCCTTCTTCTTCGGCTAGTAAATGGGGTGGTGGACTCTTCTCCAAATCTTTGCGTTCCCATTCTTCAATATCAATGTCACATTCCTCGTCACTTGCGCCTGCCATTGCCAAGGCTTCTAAAGAAACCAACATCGACACCTCTTTTCACATAAAATCAAAATCGTTGCTTATTAGAATGGTGTGCGTCTCAATTCTCAAATAGAAGATGTTCCAAATGTTTCGATTGCACGGTTTTGTTCCAATATTTATACTAGTACTATCGGAGAACGGTCTTAGATTAATTGTGCTAATGAATCACGTGACATGTGAGATGTGTGAAAGCCAAGAAAAGTGGTCATGAGGGAGATTGAGGTAGTGATGCAATTGCAAACATAATGGTTTCTATCGTCAAATTTCCCTACGAAGAATATTATGAATTGGAGGTAGCCGCCACCCGCCATGAATATCTCCAGTATTGCAAAGTTAGTAAATTTTTTGGTTCACCAAAGTTATTAACTAACCATGAAGAAAATAGGAATATTGAGCGTACCAAACAGGCCCAATTTTTAGTTTGTGGAACTACCAACGGGCTAGCCCATCAGTGCAGGCCCATTTTAAGTAATTTCACTTAAACAATAAAACACTTAACTGAATGAGCATGCCTCAGCCATACACTATTTATGTCAAAAAGAAAATAAGATTGTAAATTTGTACCTTATAAATAGAAAAAGTCCTACTAAAAATTTAATCTCACTGTTTTATAAATATTTTCGATTAGATCAAGATTGCTACTTCTAAAAGATACTTATACTTTTTTTAAAAAAAAGAAAGAAAAAAAGAAAAACAAATTGTGTTCATCGTGGTCGTGGGCGACTTGCCGGCAATCCGTATTTAGTATTACCTGTAACATTGATAACAGTACACCATTTCTTCGGTCAATTACGTATCGTTATATTAGTGTTTTAATTACCGAATTCATTAAAAAAAATAATGTATCATTATAGCAATCTTCTAAAAATTGTCATTGAATTAATATTTTTAAATATTTAAATATTATATTTATTATTATAAAAACATAAACAATGACAATAAAAGACACATTTAATAGCTATTCAAAAGTTTCATAAAATTAATATAAAAAATTTAAAAGATAAATTTAATGACAAAACCTTTAAAAATTAATGTAATGACTCTTAGTTTACATAAGAACAAGTTAAGGTTTAATTGTAATAAGAATACATGGGTCGTCCAATTCTAAGAATAATTGCAAATGATAAGTTGAAAAAAAAACTATTTTTAAGTAGAAATTAATGAAAACAATCAACCTCCACATCGTCCAATATATAGTAACCCAAAATCCCATTTTGTATGCATACCAATTCCAAGACAAATGGCGTGGTGTGCTTTTTTCTAAGATTTTGATTCAAAGAGGATCAAAATGTTATCATTGGCCTGCCAAGAGGGCTGGGACCATGATATGATAGCCTATGCGATAGTGCTTCAAAAAGAGCTTGCAAAAGGATGCCATGAAGGATAAAAAATAAATTAAAAAAGCAGAACAGTTCCATATGTGAAAACTCCAGCCTCCAATATTGAAATCCTGATTCCACCATGTATCAACACCATCCAATTCCAATGCATAAGAGTCCAATCCACCACCAGTTTCTGTACATCCCACCAATACCAGCATTCGTTTCCCTTCCCATCATTGGCAATGAATCATTGCCACTCCTCGCCAGAGACACAAAATGATTATGATTAAAAATTCTACTTTCTAAAAGTTGTGGCACTAAAATTCTAACTTCTCACATGCGACAACACCTTTAATCCGCCATGCTCCCACACTACAAGGAATCTTTACCTCACACACAGCCAATAAAAGTATAAAAGTGGTAGCAAATCAGAAACCTTATTAGAATAATTACAGAAAAAAAAAAAAAATACGCGCTCTCAACAACAGAAAGCCCCAACACTTTCCTTCTTTCGTATGAACAATGAATATAAAGACATAAATACAAATCTACCCATAGAATATGAATATCCCTAAATACGCATACGTGTAATGTCTGATTCTGATGTGAGAGTAAGATAACATCGAAACCCGAACTCAAAGCAATAAATAGCCCAACAAGAAGTCACGTCAAATTACTAGGAAACCCTAACACTTCCCGTAAACAGTAGTTATCAATGGACCCAAAATCATCGAAGAACCCTTCAGGCAACTCTTCATCGAGAAAAGAATTACCCAATTCACTCTCAGTCATCAACATTGGATCCACATCTTCCTCCACCACTTGCTTCCCTTTCTCCTCTTCATCGAACGCAAGTGCAGGCATATGACCCTCGAATAACGCAATGTGCCCAAACAACTTGTCCTTGCGTGAAAACGTGGTTCCGCAAGAGCACTTCCACCGCGACTCTCCGCAGTGCTTCATGTGACTCTTCAAATCCGAGAGCACCGAGAAGTTCTTCTTGTTGCACCGATTGCACGAGTACATCTTCGGACAGTGACTCCTCTTGAAGTGATTCTTCACGCAAACCACCGACTTCAACGGCCTGAATTTCCGGTGCTGCTTGTTCCGGTTGCATCCTTCGAACGGACACGAGAACCGCGTCGTGCGCCGCCGCGCGCCGCCAGATCCCTCCTCCGACGGCTTCGCCAACGCCTCCGGCGTCTTGAACTGGTTACCGTGCGCGCGCATGTGCATACGGAGATTCGCGTCGCGCCGGAAACCTTTCCCACAGATCTCGCAGAAGTGGATGTGCTCCGCGAGCAATTCCACGGCGTCCAGCTCCACGATTTCGCAGTCGTCGTCGGAGTCTTCGATGGCATCGTCCTCTTCAAGAGGCTCGAGTTTCGAATCGAGCACTTGCTTGGCCTTCTCGATGGCGGAGGGCTTCTTCGGGTGCGACGGCGCATCTAGCGGATCCGGTGACAATACGGCGGCTCCGGCGGCGGTGAAATTTTGGGAGTAGGAGACGAGGGCGGCGCCGTTGACGATTGTTTGGTGGATGGCGGAGACGATCTGGTTGGAGACGGTGGCGATTTGGTCAGTGGTAAGAGGAGCGTTGGTTTTGATAGATTGCGATAAGAAGCGTTGCACAGAATCTATTCTGGTCCGAACCTGAGAGAGGTTCCGAAGCGGAACCTGCGGGTCGGCGGAGTTATCCGGATCCCGCGGGTGAGGTTTTCGGTTCGGATTGGGGTTGGACTTGATCATAGTTAGGATAAGGATGGTCGACGGCACAGGGAAGAAAAAAAGTGTGGTGAGGGGTTTGGTGGTGTCGTGTTCGTTGCTGTGAGCTCACACATTCAGTAAATGAATGAAATGTGAAATATATGTTTTATAGAAATTGAAATGCGTTACTGTTGTGTATTTGACTCTTTATAATTAAATACTGTATGGTCATGAGGTTCCTCCCACGTGAACCTCAGAAATATGGATCAGCCAGGTGTACGCGTGGCAATTCACTTTCTGGAGATCCAAGCCTCTATTTTAAATTGTTTTTATTAACTTCTAAATTTTAAAAATATTTATTTGTTATTAAAAATGTCAAAATTCAATTATTAACTAAACTTTAAAATATGATGCTAATACTTTTAAATTTTATATGCTCGTATATTTTTTCTTTTACTTGTTTTTGAAGTCTAACTAAATATGTAATCTCAATAGTTTATCGTTTTAAATAAATCATTTTTAACTCCAATATTTAATTTGATAATTTTTTATATTAATGTACCAAATCACTTGTTTCATAAGGAAAATTATTTATATTAATATTTAGCATGACAGAATGATCCAAACTTACATTAAATAAAATCTTAAGGACCCAAATTAAGATAAACTACTATTATAAAGACTAAAAATTAAATATAAAAAATATACATATTAATTTTTTAAATAAATTATAGAAATTAAAAATAAGTTTAAAATATTTTTATTTTTTTTTCTTAAAACATAAGGATAGTTGAAGTATCTTGTGTTTTATGTACTAATATTTATAGTCAACAATTCCCTGTCTTGTTTGCAAGCTATGTGTAAATAATACTACTATCGACAAATGAAAAAATAGTATTTCATTCCAAAAATAATATATTTGATTTTGATTTTAAAATTAATTTTATACTTTTAAAAATAAAAGATAGTACAAGTTGTATTTATTTTTTTTAAATAAAAAACTGATTTTAAAATAGAGATCAAACGTGCTAAAAAAATTGTAAAAATAAAAACAATACATAATAATCTCTTAATCACTTATGTTAACATTAATAATTATATATTAAAATATTGTAGTCATTTCTTACTCACAGCATAGCATTTGTGGTACAAGATGAATTAATCTAAAAAGTTCAAACATTGTTGTAATTTTGGTATCTTGAGCAATTTATAAAAAATATTGTAATTTTTGTAAAATTTTGAAGTATTTAAATAAACTGTTTAATATAGTTTATTAAACATGTATTTTAATTTATTTTCAAAAAATGTTTACAATCAAATTTATGTAATTAGAATTTTTTAAACAAATAATTAATTAAGTTGTTTATTGAGACACGCCCTAAATAGTCAACTGTTTTATTGTTTATTAGTATACAAATGTTAATTATTTATATAATTTAAACATTATTGATCAAACATTTTTTTGGGTCCATATCAAATATTAAATTTAACACCCTGGTTTGTTATAATTAAGATAATATATGATGAGATGGACCCCTTGGACGTTGACTAATACAAATAATGGATGCCCATTACGTCGCCTTGGTTGTAAAATGCAAGTCGCTTTATTGATCTGAAATAGTTAAAGGAATGGCACACATTTTCTTTATTTCTTTATCTTCAAATTAGGACGTAGCATTTCCTTTAAAGTATAAATTTTAAGATTTGAATTCCCATTATTTTAGGCTTTTTTTTCTTTCTAAAATTATAATATCTTCTCGATTATAACTTATCACTGTTAAACTTACATATGCTTTAAAGTAAGTATTGTATAATTGAAAATAAAAAATTTAATGGTAGAAAGGAGAAAAGAATAAACAGACAAGAAGAAAAATAACAATATATTTTACTATTATATTCTTATACTAGATAAATAAAGTTATTAAACTCGAACATTCAAGTTATGAATAACTTAATTCTCACAAATAAGTTTTTTTAAATACTATGTTTTTTCTTAAAATCTCTCATATTAGATAGAATATAAGATAAAAAAAAAACATATCCGTTCCTCCCTTTTAAATAAATAAACTAAATGATTTTTTTTTAATTTCTCCTCTTCTTTTATATAATATTTTTTAAAGGCTAACTAAAAGTGAATTACACTAATAATCAATGGAAATTTATTTAATTTTTTATTTTACAATTTTACAAAATTTTAACACTTTTTAGAGATATTTAATATATTTTAATTATTTATATAACAATTTATTTAATAATTAATTTAACCAGCTAGATATAAAACTACAAATTTTTCTATAAATTATAAAGTTTTGATTAACTTATTAGTTTTAAATTTTTTTTATCTAATTTGAACTAAAGGAGCATGCGTGGTAAGAAGTGGTCTTTTTGTTCCCATTTGGTTGTTCCGGGGGAGGTTTATCAGACTCGAATACTATATTCGTTTAAATTAATATTAATTGATTTCGGAGTTAAGTTCTCATGGCAGGGTCATTCTTTGTTGGAAGGTTCGTATCATCAATTTGACTATAATAACTCTAGTGTTTTTAAAGTATATTTTACTCCATCGAGACCATTTAAATATTTAGAATTATTAACAGTTAATAGCACTATCATAATAAGTTATACAAAGGTGATACTGATACACCAATCAAGTGAGTGTTCTTTTTATCTATCAACGTGATAATTTATTGTTATTGATGTTTTAATTTTTACTGTTTAGCCAATCTATTTCATTAGGTGCCTCATTTAACCTCCTATTATTCACAAATTATTGACATAATAATTTTTAAAACTAATATGCTTTATCCCTTTTAAAAGACAAGTATATATACACATGTATCAGTAAAAAAATAAATGTTTTCTAATTGAAGAAGATAACCACTTAAAGTATCTTTTAATGTTAAAAATGAATATATAAAGCATGGTCTAGAAATGTAGGGTGGATGAAATTTTTGCCCAGATTTGTTTACTGGGGTTACATTTTTCCTCCCTATCCTTTTTAGTTAAGTATTTTACTTCCGTTTTGTTTCAAATTAAGCTGCCATCGACAGGGGAGGGAATGTATTCAAACTCAGTTGGGACTGTCATGTCCCCTTTTCCTACGCCATCATTATTCTCCAACTCAACTCGTATTTGTTCTTGTTTTTTTCTATACGTGTGCACATATTCATGTTCTAAGTGTATATCCTCCCTTACGATCATTCTATCCATAATTTCATTTTATTAGTAATTTTTTCTACTTATAATTTTTTTTATCTCGAAATTTATCACCTAATATTAAAAACTATCATGACTTTAATATATAAGAAGGGGTAATCTAGATTTTTGTTTCATGTGACCGCTACTTTATTATTCTTTATTTTAGTCAAATCCTCTCTATTGTTATTATTAATAATTTATTTTTCATCAATTATTATTTTGAGACTCTGTCCACAGAATAACAAAAACTATCTATAATATGACTTTTCAAAAGTGATATATATAGTTTGGCAATGTGTGTTCCTTTAGCACTAGCATGATTAGAAGAAAATTTTTAGAAACTAATGATTTAATTTTGCAGTTGAAACAATTTATTTGATAGAAAGAAATATTTACACAGTTTAAAAAAATGAATAATGTATGTCATCAAAATCATAATTTGTTTGTTTGATCATTAAATGAATGTGAAATGCAAAATAATATTTGATCACCTACCATTTAAATGTTCAAACTCTAAAACTCAAGTATACCTAATTTAATAAAAGTTTTTTTTAACATATGATACATGATAATAATAGATGATAAATTTTTATTAAAAAATGTAGAATTCGATACTTTAAAAGTACTAAATATTACAATTTTTTTAATAAAAAATTACCACACACAATTTCTTATTATATGCAATATAATATTATACAAATTAAAAATTCACAATAAAAAATATTTACAAAATTTAGGATATATATATATACAGATACTATATAATACATTATAGTTGGAAAAAAAGTTGTTATTTTTTATAATAATTAATTTTAAAAAAATATTTACAGTTTATTTTAATTAATTAATTAATAATATATACATATTTATATTAATAATATATAAAATTAAACCTTTTATTTCTCTTATACAATACAAAATATGTTGGCATGTGATGTTATAGTTTTTTTGATAATAAATATTAACAACACGACAAATTAAATAAAAAATTAACAAGTATTTGGTTCAACTAATATATATATATATTTTAAAATACAAGTTTAGGATTGATTGTTGTGCATAAAAATTAGCTAATGTCACCATATTTATAAATACTTTTTAGACATAGATATACTGTGTTTTATAGAAAAATACTTATGACCTTAAAAAATAAAAGAAATCAAAGACCAACGCATATATTAATTCCATTTGTTTTTCATTAATGTATTTTTTAAATATGCTCGAGTAAAAATTTAAATATACAATTTAATTAAATTTTATTGTATAAAATTTTATGATGAAATTTCAATCACAACATTTATTAATATAAATTAACAAACATTTATTTCAATAAATTTATTATAGTAAATTTGAAAAATTTATAAAATCTATATGTTTTTTATAAACTTCCCCTGAAAATAATTGATAATTTTTATAATCTCTTTTTAAATCAACTCAATAAATTATTATATAGTATATAACTATTTAGAATAAAATTTATTATTTAAAAAATTACAGTCTAATTTATTAAGAAATTCTTCGTATAAGAATTATTTATTAAACAAATGTTTAACTAAATTATATTTATAGTCATATTTTAGAAATTTATTAAATCAGCACTTAATTAAATTATATGTCAAAAGGTGGTCTTCATGGTATCTCATTGTCATAGTTTTTGTTGATTGATTCAATTTTATCGTTAATAGTTGCACTGAAAATGTAAAATGTTCAGAATGAAGTTGAAATTTATATTTTAAGCATTGAATAAAAATAGTTTTCATAGCACAGCACATCTGAAATTGAAAGTTGACATAAAAAAAAGAAAAGAAATTGAAAGTTCAGAGTTGAAACCATTTTACACACAAACTGGCACGGATATATTGTGGAGGACAATACTGGCGCGTTTGTAATCACGTTTATTTTTTTTTCCTCCCCTTTTATTTTCGGGAGGTTTTTCTCAAACGCCGTTCTTCTCTCCATTTTCTTCATTTTTCTCCAAATTTTCACCGTCTGCATTCTCTTCTTTGTAACGAAACCCTCGTTTTCTTCTTCGCTCGCTGCTCTCGATTGATAACACAAAACCAATAGCATCAGACTTCTCTCTGCAACAAACCCTAGCGATTCGAAGTTACGCTCGAGAGAGGAACGGCCATTGAGCCTTTGATGATGATGATGGTGTGCGATGTGACTCACTGAGTTGAACCGGATAAAGATCTGAGTCTCGGCGATCGGTTCAACGCGCTCATGGGTGCTGCGGGCTCCAAGCTCGAGAAGGCTCTTGGCGACCAATTCCCCGAAGGAGAACGTTACTTTGGCCTTGAGAATTTCGGCAATACTTGTTACTGCAACAGCGTTTTGCAGGTCTTCACCAATCCTTCTTCTTTTTCATCCGATTTGAGTTTTTGCTTTTATTTTAAATTCGATCGTATTATTGGAAATAATCGCTTAATTACATAATTAATTAATTTTTATGGACATTTTGATAGTTAATTATGGCTTAGTTTTCTCTGACTTGTGAACTTGTAAGGAAAAAATATTGCGTCAAAGAAGGTCAATGTGTTCTTTTTGTTATGTATATTCGTTTAACGTGCTTTGGTTAATTTTCTAGTGCTTGATTTATCAACGAATATAAACAATGACATTAGAGCTTTTACTTGTTTATTACGGATTTTTTTAAGAAAGTAAGGAAAAACGGAGGGAAACGTTTGTTACTTGTCATAACACTGCTACAAATCCTTTTCACCTTTTCTCCCGGAACTTTTGTTGCATTATGTATATACTTTATTTTCCTTGTCTTTAATTTGAATGAGGTCTGGTCAGTGAATAGTAGAACTAATCTTCATTTTAATTATTGTAAAAAATACTAGAATATTAATATCAGCTTATTAGCCATCCAAAATAGGGAGACAGATATCACTGAATTTGTCTTACCTTCTAGCTTTTATAGAGTACTTTGAATCCTGATGAGTTGCGTTTGAACATCAGAAGTACATCAAGTATGCTAGTTTGGAGTTTGTGTTTGTTCTAAGTTCTGACGATTTTTAGAGTTTTTCGTTAACTAAGTACTCTTTTTCCTTTTTACAGGCGTTATACTTCTGTGTTCCATTTCGTGAACAGTTGCTAGAGTATTATGGAAACAACAAAGGTGTAGCAGATGCAGAGGAAAATCTCTTGACTTGCTTAGCCGACTTATTTTCACAGGTAAGGAATCTATAGTTTGGAAAATTCTGTGTTTATTGCATAAGACCTTTTCACACTTAATTAACAAAAGCATGATTTACCATTCGAGGGTTTGTATTTGGTTAATGGCTAACCACCATTGAAAATGTCACATTGAACTGGGTAAACACCCATGATTCATTAATTCATTCCATCCATGGACTTTCATATTAGTTTTCTCTTAAAACATTACTAAAGAAATTTAATACCCTATTATAGGTCTTCAGTCTACTCAAAAGTCAAATCAAGCTTAAACACTGGGGATTTCCTTTTCCACTTCTAATATATTTGATTTTTCTATGTTTTGGCAGTTTGGCTATAACATGGAAATAATTTTTTATATAACATTATGGTGACATTGGACCTATGTGGCCAAGCCCACCTAGTGGTAAAAAGGCTTGGTTGTTGTGGTTGGAGAAATGTGCGCTTGTAATCTAGAAATCTGCTTATTAGGAAGTAGTGCTAGCATGCTTGTCTGAATCAATGATGAACTATGCTTTTGTATGCACCTGCATTTACTTCTTCTTGAGAAATAACTTCACAGTATTTAAGGTGTGCTTTTTTCTTAGTACCTGTGTTTTATTGTTTTCTCTATTTCCCATCTCTGTGGTTTTCCTTTGAGGTGTAAAAATTGGTGGAGGTGATTCCATTGCTTGTCTGAATCTGCTTTGTTGTATTTTTTATTTTGTGATATTATGTGCTTGAGAAATTGCTTGAAGGTATTTGCAGTGTGGTTTTTGTGAGTATCTACACTTCGACCAATTTCTTGCCTCAAATGTCCAGTTGATGCAATTACCTGCTATTTCTTTCTTTTTTTTCATGTTTAGGTTAACCTATAGCATTTCTTTTGCCATAGATAAGTTCCCAAAAGAAGAAAACAGGTGTCATTGCTCCCAAACGATTTGTACAGAGATTGAAAAAGCAGAATGAACTCTTTCGAAGCTATATGCACCAGGTATGTGATTAAACTTTCGAGAATGAGCACAGAAGTCAGGTCATTATTCTATAAATTTATATCTTTATTTTGACAGTAACGTGTGTAATATTAGTTTGTGCACAGAAGTGTGCAGTGTTTGGCTGTGTTTATGTGTTTCTCCACATTAAGGTCCTATGTGTATAGTCATCTTTTGTTTATGTGCCTACTTTGTTACTTGTCAGTTGCATCTGATCTTAATATGAATCTTAGCTAGAGGTTCTATTATCGTTATGATAAGTTTCTGGCTGGGAAAGCTCAGAAGCAACCTACAATTGTTCAATTGGTAGATCATTAGTCAGATCGGTGTCACTCTTGATTGAAAATGATTTAGATTTCAGAGCTTATAGTTAAACATGAAGCTGAAGGCATGGTTAGGATCATTTTTCTATGTCTGGGATGGACCATATTTTAAGGCTGCAATCTGTTCCTTGATCTGAACAAAGTAAACAGGAGATTCTTTTCAACTGTGTCTCATAAGATAATAACCTGTTGAATTGATCATGGTGCTTGTATGTGTCGGGCCTCTATATACAGAAAATTAGAAATATGTTAAAATCTCCCTTTTATTTCCGTTATGTCTTATGTGTCTGACAGGTAACGTGTTTCCATAGGGAAAGAAGCCCTTGTCATGGCTATGTAAATGGAAAATTGGCTTGTTGGTTTTCTTCTCTTGGGAGGAAATAGTTAGGCCACTCATGTTTAGATGTTTGTTTTACACATCTTTTTCAATGGGGTTGAATCGTAGTTATTAAGTTTGAACTAGACCAGCCAGTTTGACCAATGGACTGGTTAGGTAACTAGCATTTTGGACCAGTTATGTTCAAGAACCTGTTTGATTTGCCAGTCTTTACTAAAGACAAGTAACTTGGTCAAAAACTGTCTGTCATGCATTAAAAAGGCTTGAAGTGAAATTGTTTTGCCAGTAATGAGGCAAAAAAGGCTGTCTGAAAAGAAAAAGGGCAACCGAAATAGTTAAATGTCATGATGAAAAGGACCAGTGGTGTTAAATGGCAGCCATGGTGGCGCCATGGCAGAATTTGGTGGTGGAAATTAACCCCGCTGTTACAGCGTTAGCGTTTTATGGCGTTTTTCCATGGCGGCACCATGGCGGCTGTTACACGTATGGTGGAAACGGCAGCCATGGCAGAAATTGTTGAAAAATGGTGTTTTTGCAGGGTTGGGCCGCGAATCTAACTTTGTCCAGAGGTTGACCCGTGCAAGAAAACCCTAAGGTGACTTGTTAATAGCTGTGCTATCGCCGGTGCAGTGTGGAGCAGCTGTTGGCCACCACGTTGCAGGGTGTTTGTCACATTGTGGTGGTTGTGAGTGGTTCGCGGCCAGAACAGGGAGAAGTCACAGGTGCTACTGCACGATCTTGGGGAAAGGAAGAAACCTTTTCCTGTTTTTCTTAAAACGCACCGTTTTGATTATTTGTAAGGGTAGAAAGGTCATTTACTCTTAATAAAACATATATTTCATCTTCCTCCACACACTTTCTCTTTTCACGAAAAGCCAAAACCTCAATGTAGCAATTTCTCCCATCCTCATCGACTCACCCACTCCATTTTGCTAGAAAATCAACTAGTCTGGAGGGTCACCCATTCCATTTCGCCAGAAAAATCAGTTTTTCCAGTGTCTTCTCTGCTTTTTCTGTTCACCGGATAAATCAGCTTTTCTGGCATCTATTCCACTTTTTTGTTTGAGCTCTATTTTACAATTCACTGATCATTCTTGTTTTTCTGTTCAAGATCTGTTTTGCTATTCATCCTGTTTTGTTGTTCAAGCTCTGTTTAGCATTTTTTGTTTAATATAACATCCACGCTGCAATGTTTTTCTCTTTTACATTGTTACTGTTACTTGGAATGATGATGTAATCTTGAGAATTTCTTGAACATTTATATTAAATTTGTGTACCTAAATATTATATATGAATATTATAATATTTTTATATATTTTATTATATCCGCCATAAATCTACCATAACCCGTCATGGCAGCCGCCATAATTTTATGGCAGATTTTTTGGTTTCCGCCATGAGCCACCATCCACCGATGACATTGAAAAGGATCCAAATTTGACTCTTTGAGCCCAAGTGTACATATAGATCAATCAGTGACCCAAGTTGATGATCAACTGGTCAAGTTGAGCTTGCTATTATTGGTTTGAATATTGATAATTTGTTTAGTTCAAAAAAGGTCGTACATATCAATTTGTTTTAGTTATGCCATTCCTTACTTATAAATGTATTGTTAATTCTGCTATATTTTGTGTACTTTCTATTGCATGATATTTTTATCTACATTTTTTTTAATGAGAAAAGCAACATTGTTATTGTGAATCTTCTCATTTTTGGCAGGATGCCCATGAATTCTTGAACTTTTTGTTAAATGAACTTGTTGACATTCTGGAGAAAGAGGCCCAGGCTGCAAAAAATGATCAAGAGACATCTCCATCTTCTGAAAAGGCTGCCAATGGACCTAAAAATGGTCCAGCTAATGGTGCTAAAAAAGAGCCTTTAGTTACATGGGTGCACAAAAATTTTCAGGTGACTTTTGATCTACTAATTTGATGCTTCCATTTTAGCATGTTGCTTGCAGCAAAGCTTGGAGTAACCATACATTGTGAAATTTTTTATTGGACTAAACCTATTTTGCTAGTTTTTGGTGGTGGAGGTTGGGGGGGGGGGGGGTTGGTTTATTGTTAATTCCAGTCCATAGTTATCACAGTTTAAGGAATCTCATTATTTGTGAATTGTTCTGCTCAGGGAATACTCACCAACGAGACAAGGTGCTTGCGATGTGAAACTGTAACAGCTAGGGATGAAACATTTTTTGACTTGAGCCTTGATATTGAACAAAATAGTTCAATTACAAGTTGTTTGAAAAACTTCAGTTCAACTGAGACATTGAATGCTGAAGACAAATTTTTTTGTGACAAGTGCTGCAGGTACATAGATTTTACTCCTGGTCATAAACTGAACTTTGATTTTATAATTAATTGAATGCCTTTTGTGTGGTGTCAGCTGTTACCTGGCTTCTTGAGACCTATTTTGAAAGTAAAGGATCAGTTCAACCGTTTTGAATTATGTGCATAGCCAAGCCATTATATACTGCTTGTTCAAGTGAGAGATTTTGTGACAAAGCAGAGATATGAAATGGCTTCAATATTATGTATTAATTATTTTGGCATTTTGTTATTATCTTTTAATTAAAAAATTAGATTGCTATCTATGCTTTTTTACTAATACAATGATGTCTTCTGTTGCGTATATGGTTGTGACCTAATGTTTTCACCTTGCATTGATGATTGATCGTTTTTTGTATCTGATATCTGGATGGTTTTTTTTTGTTTTTTTTGGTTGCTGTCAATTTAGTGTGTAAAATTATGTATGTAATCTCATCTCTATTTTTCATGCCTGTTTTCTGGTCTAATAACTAAGATGTGAAGTTTCTTATGTTATCAGCTTGCAAGAAGCTCAGAAGAGAATGAAGATTAAGAAACCACCCCACGTCTTGGTTATCCATCTTAAGCGGTTCAAGTACATTGAACAGCTGGGCCGCTACAAGAAGCTGTCTTACCGGGTTGTCTTCCCCCTAGAGCTGAAATTGAGCGATACAGCTGAAGATGAAGATATTGAGTATTCTCTATTTGCAGTAGTTGTCCATGTTGGTAGTGGGCCCAACCATGGGCATTATGTCAGCCTTGTGAAAAGCCATAACCACTGGTTATTTTTTGACGATGAAAATGTCGAGATGATAGACGAGTCAGCTGTTCAGACATTCTTTGGGTCATCGCAAGAATTTTCCAGCAATACAGACCATGGTTACATTTTGTTCTATGAGAGCATTGGCTCTGGTAATAGGAACTAGAGGGGGGAGCCTTTTGAGTTTTAGGTGCTTGAATCATTTGGACTGTCTTTTTCATCGGTTTAATTAATTATTTCTTTTTTCCTCATTTCATTTTTTCCGTTTTCCCTTATTCAACCTGCTTGAGTAGTTGTAATACATCCATGAGAGGATACGGGTTGTGAAATGTATACTTAGGTGGTCGTCATGTACAGTGGATGGTGGAAGCACTGTCCTTTTTTCCCCCATCTCTTTCTTTTACAAATAAGAGCAGATAGAGCAGTATATATGGTGTGAGAATCTCACCGACAATGTATTCATGGTGTTAAATGTTAAATCAATGGAAACACAATGCAATGACAAAGTTACTCGTAAATTATGATAGTATATATTGTAAGTAGTTCTATTAGAATCTATATTAGGAATATATTGATAATGTCAAATATTTCTTTTTAAATGATTTAAAGAAATAACGTTTTCCTTTTTAATGTTAGTGGTCAGAGACCAAAGGAAATAAGCTTTCTAATCACTTCAGCTCTAAATGTGATAATTGTTCTAAGGTGAGTTAACTATCGTCTTCCCAAGAGATCGATAAAAAGATTGTATTTGCAAAACCGCTGCCCATAATGGCATGGTCTCATCACATTTTGGTTAGGCTGTAAATCACATTGCTGTTGATGGGACCTCCGTAACACTTAATCTGAGAGCATAGAAGTAGTTGGTTTGTATTTTTGGGGTGGCGAGGGTGGTCCATAAGGGCTTGGACCGACGACGCCTTGAACAACTGGCTCCACAATTACATTAATGGTATTCTAGGAGTAACACACTACAGTTTATTTTAAATTTCATCCAAATGTTATATTTTTATTAGATTGTTTATAGTACGCTTAATTATATAATAACATCTCTTGAGGATGCCATTTTAAATACTATGCATTTTCTAGAAAGTGTTGATAAATATAATTTTGTTATGCGAAGGAATAAGAATTAAGGTTTTATAACGATTAAAATATGATCACCCATCACCGAACTCAGATGTACGATATGGCCCTTCATAAACAAAATGAAACGGATGATTGCTGACTTCTAAACAAGCTGCAGGCATGAAAGTATCTTCGTCCTAAACTGCTTCAAATTAACGATGTCATCAAATTTGCATGTTGTTCTGAATTTTTATACTCCTATCATGCTTAAGCTGTCAAAAGCATATGCGAAGATTGAGCTCTACTTGCAATGATGTCGACTGCTGGCGTTTTGTAAATTTTGTTGTTTTTCACTGTGGGCTAATTAGCATGCTTGGTTATGCATATAAATCGATATTTACTTCAACGTTACTAGTTTTAACGTATAAAGGAATACGTTAGATCCACATTTAAAAGTTTTTTGACGTGTTTCTAATGGCACACTAGCTAATGAAATAAAAAAGAGTCACCTGAAAGTTGTGTGTTCTTTGTATACCCATTTTGTCTTGTACTGAGCATAAAATGAGATGGACTCAAGTTTAAGCTGAAAGGGATGCGGATTTTGCTTAGCACCTTGAAAGAAGAGAGAATGAGAGTATGAAACTCGAGAACAATTTTTATTCATATTCAAATAGTCTTAAGCCACAGTCATTTGTAATAACTATAATTCAAAAGGTTCTTGAGTGAACCCCGAACTATGTATTCCAGCTTAACTACTCAAGTCTCTCCAGTGGTTCTGATTCAGAAGAGAATAATAAATGCTAGATAAAAATCTGCATCAATGAAACCACAATGCATAAGCAAGCAAACCAACATATTGTATTTTGATTATGTCATTTGTTCTCCAATGTTTTGTTCATCTTTTTTTATTTTGGGTAAAGAATATTAAGTTAAGAATATTTATAGGCCAATATTGGATCACCGCCAATCTGCACTACGGGTCAAACCAATCAGAGTCTCACAGATGATGTGGGGGTTCAAGTTTAAGAGTTGCATGAACAGTTGTTTTTATTTTAATATAAATGAGATACTTTAATTGTGCGACCCAAAAGAATTATTTTAATTGTTAAATCAAAACTAAACATTTTTTTTCTTATTGGCTGGATGCCAGAGTCGCACAGATCTGTTAATGTTATTAGCACAACTATATTTTTTAAACAAATGCTAACTAGTATTTTCAAAAATAAAATTTTATATTATTTACTGTATTCTAATATATATATATATATATAAATGTAATTTTCAATTTTTTATTTATTAATGTCTTGATTAATACCTTAAAAATATTTTTTTTTATTGTAATTGCTTTTTTTTTTTTGTCAATCATTGTTTATAAGATTGTTAAATATATGAGATCGTACAGAGATGGGATGGGCCAAGTTTTTAATGTTAAGGTATTTATGGAATGGGCCTAAATGTCTGAGCGGTGGATCTGCAAGACTGTGCTACCTTGCCAGTGGGCCAGCGTCGCCACGTCATCCACCTCCCCAAATTAAACGGCCTGTCGCTTGTCTCCTCATAAGACTTTTCCCAAATCTATTTCCTTTTCAACATCATTCAATAATTCGACACACGCACGCATAACAAATCGTAAGGCACAATTCTTAAACACGTTTAAATAAATAGTTGAATTAAGTATTTATTTAATAATTTTATTAAATAAAAAATTATTCATAAGTTTAATTTAAAAGTTAGTAGATATAATAAAATAATTTTGATATATTTTTTTATAGAGTTTATTAAAACAATTAAAAAGTATAAAAAATTACAAGTCACTCCCATAAAACTCGAATTTTTTTTTTTCTAAATGTCTCCAATTGAATTAGATATTATAAAAATTTCAGCATTTTGTAAAAAAATTCAGGTATTCAAAGTTTTACATGTAATACTTGTCCGTTTTTTAAGTCTCAAATTTAACTTTTGTGCCAAAAATGCATTTAAAAGTGTATAATCAAGTATATTTTTAACAGTTATACATGACATTTTAAAATCGAATTTATTTTCTGATTTGGTACAATTTGCATTAATATCTTTGCTTTTAATGCATTTCAAATAATTAATATGTAGTTATAATTTCAATTTAAAAAACTAAAATTTTAACAATGTTTTATTTTTCACTATACATGAAAATTTATTTCATTATAATCTAATTTACTTTTAATAAATATTTATAGTCTTTTTTTATCTTTTAATCAGAATTATATTATACTTCGAAGGAGTTAATTTTTTTTTGCTAAAATTATGTTTATATAATTATTCTTTTTAATGAATTGAAATAATTAATTTCTATCCGAGTTTATACAATATACACTTTAAAAATATACGATTGTACCATACTCTTAAAAAGGACCAGTGTTCAATAAATAAAAATGCTGTTTTACAGATAAAATAATTATACTTGTTATATACAAAATATTTATTTGTTGGCATTATTAGCATATTAATATTTTCAATTATTTTTTTTACATTTTATTTCATATAATACAAACGTTTAAAGATTGAGAAAATCGTATAAAAATAGTACAGGGATATATTATTGTTAGTTTATATTAAAATAATAACAAGAATCAAGCTGAGGATGGATCCACGTACTGGGGATGGAACAGTTAAGAGCCCCGTGACTGACTTTGTCTCGTTGTCCGTGGCACCGAAGACACCTTTTTCTCTTCACAGTTTACAAACTTCACTCACATGCATTGCACCCTTTCCCAACCCAACACCACCAAACTCAACCATCATTCATCCCTCGCCCCCAATTTTACCCTTCAATTCTTCATTTGGCCCCACTCTATCATTTCATTTATTTATTTCTCATCATTAATGTTCCTTTCTAATTCTTAATGTTAAATTTGGCTCATAACATAAATAAGCCATTATGTTCTTAGAATAGAATTTAACTTTAATGCTTTTTAACGTTGATGATGATCCGGTTCTGTAGAAATGGCATTTAAAAAACAACGCTGAAAAACAAGGGGCATTATGGTCACGACATAAAATGAAGGGGTTTGTCGTGATCGTCGACGTCGTATTCAGTGGTCTTTATGGCAAATCGCGCACACTGTAGGGTACTGGTACATGTGTAGTTAGTACTAAAACAACTGTATAAAAACACCTTCCTCCTCTGCTCTCCGATGTAACGATGTAACGTTCGAATCCCTCGGCAATCTCTGTCGCATTCTCTTTCCTCTGTTTTCCTTTTACCTCTTTCTTAGAAGAACCGAAAACCTGTTCATGAACAAAGCCATTCCTCTACGACAATGGCTGTCGATTCGTCCTGTGAGGTAACGCTCTTCGTCTTCCTCGTTAAACCTCATTTTCGGTCTCAATTGTGTCTCTAATTCTAAGCTGCATTTGAACTACACTTCAGTGCCTCCACGCATGTCGTTTAACCGAATCGGAATCTTAAATTGTGTCGCGTTTTGCAACTTGCTAACAAGTTGTGTTGCAAGTGAGGAAATCAATGTTTGTGCGAAATGCCGTGTCATTTTCCAGTTTTGATGGAAAAAGAAAGGTGTAAAATCTAAACGAGAGTCATGTGAGGAAGTGGAACCGCACGATTTTGGTTCTAGCTTGCATTAATTAGTTTACAGTTTGAAATTCAAGTTGATTTGTTCTGAGTATTACTTAAGATGCATAGATTGAGGATTAGTTCCTTCAGATCGCTTTAGGTTGAAAGTTCTTGCTCAATAAGCTTTCACTCTCGGTTAATTGACGAGTCACATTGTTTAATACGTTGTTGATTGAGATTCATTATTTTTTGCCATTTTCATATTGCGGTTTGGTTGCAGAAAGAACATCAAGTTCGCGAGTTTGTGGATGGGACAGGAAACGTAGCTGTCGGTTTGAAGTTACATAATAAACCAAGTGGTGATGACCTTAATCCACAGTTTCCTTCAGGTAATTGTACTAGATTAGATCACTTAATAATAATGTTGCAAGTTGTAGAAATGGCTTTAGTTTTTATGTCTCTTTACGATGTTTTTTCTTTTTTCTCCTCTTCAGATATTCCGCCGAGTCTGTTCGAAGAGACTTCACGTCCAGCAGGGTTGCACGGTTCACATGTTGGTTCTCCTTTTCTTGTACAGTGATATAATTTAACTGTTTTTATGGCTCTTTTAATTTCTTTATCTCGTGCATCTTATCTGGCTGAATTGTAGTAACTGGCAATGATTTTATAATTGGCTTTTTCTTTTTTGAGTATCTGTTTGGTGAGAGAAAAAACTGGGAAGAAGTAAAATCAGTGCGTGAAAGTTGGCTTTGTTTCTGAACATATCATTGGGTAGAAACTGAAGCAATTTGTGACAGTTGGCATTTCAATGTTGAGGAGTCAGGGGACACTATGTTCCGAACAACAGTTTATGTTACTGGAAATTAGAACCATAAGATTGAGGAGGGAGATCAAAGATCTTTTCATGTAATCTGTTTCCCATTTATTATTTTGCTATTTTTGTCTTTTCCTTTTAAAAACTGTTAGCAACTGAGCTTTCATTTTTTTTGTGGGTTTGTCAATCACCTTCATATTTTTGGATCAAATTGTTTCTTGAAATATAACTCAGTGCAGCTCCTTTTTCTTTTTTCTCTAACTGCTAAAGAAAGGACCATAGGGACAGATATAAACTCAAATCAGATGTATTTTCAATGTTTATACCATAAATTGTTCTCTGGAAATTGCTCAGTATGTTTTAAGAACTGACGCCCTTCCATTTGTTGCAGACGCGAGATGTTTATAGTATTTCTGTGTTGCCTGAGGAAGGTGAAAATGCAAACTGTGCTTCACCACTAGCTTTCTTGAGCATCTTAGAGGTTCCTAACCAAGCTAAAAGTGAAGTATGCTTAGATGCTCACATAAATTGCCAAAACTGCATTGATTTTCAAATGAAGGATGAGGATGTGTATTCCCAGTGCATGATTGATATACCTAGTGTGAATGGAAACACAATTTCACCTGAATCGTATGAAGAGCCAGTTGAAAGTTTTAAAACTGGGAACTCACCAACTGTAAGTCTCCTAAATGCATCTTCTTGACAGTGGTTAAGATATCATATAACAGATAGCTTTAATTAACTATGGATTCAGTACCCTTATAAACTCGCACATACATTTGGGTGTGCGTGTTCTGATATGAGCAGTGATATTTTATGACATTACAGAGTGTACTGTGGAGAGAATCAAGTTTCAAAGGGGGAAAACTTATGCAGAGTCTGGTGAATGTCAGCAATCCAAGAGGTACGTGTATGTCTGGTGTTCTTGGGTACCTTAATATTTTTTAATTCAGATAAGCCTATGCAGTTTCTATTACTAGATGGTAGGGTTCTGAGAGCAATCAGAATAGTTTAGAGCTGAAGGAAATATTGTCCCATCCCATGTAATACAAACAAGTGTCTTGACAAGAGAAATGTATGCTTATTAATATCAATATTTCTATTATAACTGATGTAATGAGAAACAGATAACCTGCTACTCTGTCATTCAAGAATCGAAACACAATCAAAACATGTTTTTATCCATTTTTATCATTCTGACTGGTCTTGTAAATCAACTACAAGATTTCAGGTTTGCTTGTCATCTTGAAAGCCAAGTGGTTAAAGATAGTTGGTTTTGTTCTGGCATTGCCTTATGCAATTGAGCAAACATATGAAATACACTAGTCAACAAGCGAGATGATTGTTTTGAACTGGAAGACATGGGTACTATTGATTCAGAATTCAAATTGTCCACCATAATCGTTTTGCTTCCCATGGTTAATTACATTGAGAAGCCTTTCTAATCTGGCTTATTATATTATGATATTTCCTTATCTATTATTATCTTACATCCATTCTGTCATGTTTAAAATACTATTTACTCTTTTCTTGTACTTGGACTCTACTCTGATAATTCTTGTGTGTCCAGGACAAGGTAGGTTGGTGATCTAGACACATTTTTAACATTCATATTTTGTAACTTAACAGATAAACCAGTCTCAGAGAAGTTACATGATATACCAAGTAACAGATGGAGAAGATACAAGCGAGCTGCCTCATTTGATTCCAGAAAAGTTGCTCTTCTGTTTTCAATATTGTAAGTTCTATCAGACTCAACAGTAAAACTTGACTCTTGACACTTAGACACGCAGGTTGCAGCTATCCACATGGCTGTATGAATTTATCTAAGTCTTAATGACTTTATTGTCATTCAATTAAATGGTTGTTTTAACTAGACCTGTGTGATTAGCGCAAAATAAAAGAAAATTTGTAAGAAAATAGATTATGCTGTCTGTTATGCACATTAATAAAATAAAATACAACTATGCGATACAATAGATTAATGTATAAGTATAATAATGACTGAGGTAAGTTCATGTAACAAACCTTGTCCTTCAACTCTACAATTTTAGTTATTATTTTATGTGAATATTCTATTTTTTTTCCTGACAAAGTATTTCATATAAATATTCTATCATGATGCATAATATTTTTTCATGACTGTAACTAAGTAAATGCGTTGAATAGCATATCTACTCTTAATTTACAGCTGTATAATATATCAAGATAACTATAGTGCTTCTTTAAGAAAATACGAAAGTCATAAGCTATTAAATTCTTTTCTTTTCTTTTGTATGTTTTACGTTAATTCATGCAGACGATAGAAAGATTGATGTTTACTAGCCAATATTACCTACAATGATGGCATTATAGGTTTAAATGATTGGGGCATTTATACATATTGTCTCGAAAGGTGATGAATGATGTAAAAAGGGTGAATTGCTGACTGCATATCTCATGTGAACGTGTAGTTTCGAGAGGCCCCTCATGCGGTTTGCTTTCCATTTTAGTTGTATGTCAAGCATGTATTGAAATTATAGAACTCCAACGAATGGAAAGAGCATTAATTAGTAAAATTCACTCAAAATCATTCCTAGTGTGGTCATTGTTACCAGCACCTACTGTCCATGCTAAACATTAATAGATGGGGTGTATATCAAGTTTTAGATGTTGGTTATGCATGACTTGGGAGCGACTGGTTTACTTAGTTTAGTGCCTATGTTAGAGTTTCCATCCTTCCAGGCTTTGGTTGATTATATAAGGATGCTTATCATATGGAAAGTAATGAACGAACTCATTTCAGATATATATACATCTAAGACGTTATAAGGAAGGTGTATAATTGGCTTCCTTGTCTAATGCAGCATTTCAATTTGTATGTAACTTGCTTCTGTTAAAACATTTGCTAAGCTGATGTAATGTAACTTGCTTTTGTTAAAAGTTTGCTGAGCTCCAATTGCTGATCTTATGCCTCAAAAATAATTACGGACTGATGCTAAGTTTTTCAAGTGTCTGACTTTGACCCCTTATTTTAGTTGGAACTTTTTTGATTCATTTTATATTTAACCATTCGCTAAATTGATCAATTACCCTGCAGGTCAAGTTTGGGAACATTGGTGTTGATATATCTGACACTGAGGGTCAGACAGAGGGCTGATGGGTTTGCTCTTATTTGAAGTTCCAATATTCGCGGCTTCGTGATTTAAGTTTAAACTTACAAGCTTCTATGGTTGTTTAATTTAAAATTGCCGCTTGAATTCGTGTTATTGAAGATAGAATCTAGGAAATGTTATTTGGCACAAAATATAATCACGCCTATCCTAAAACCCGCAATGTTAGTTGTTAAAATTATCCGCCAAATCATATATCAATACTATCTAATAATTAAGCCAAGGTCATATTAAGACTTTTAAATGGAAATTTACCAATAAGAGAGGTTTAGATGGAGTCAAGAAGCAGGAGGGGATGACCTTTGTCGGCTGAATTTTCGTCATCCTTCAGAGTTAATTATGGAAGCTAGGGAGCGAGAACCACTCACGGACCGCATTACGAAGAAACAAGATTCTGTCCAATATAATTGTATCTGATGTTTATATTTTTAAAAAATCTAGCAGTTTTTCTAAATTGAACAGGTCTACATTATTATATAAGCAGTTTTGACAGGACGAGTTTCGGCAATTAAAGTAATGATATCATTGTCGTTCCTGCCTCCAACAAAGCTCCAGTCAGGATCCTTTATCTATCTGGATTATAATTTTGTTTAAGCAAAATTTTGCTCGTTTAAGCGAACGAATAAAATTACACCCTCATGTTCAATTTATTTTAAACATAAAGAGATCCTTTTCCTATCTAAACATCTAGTGAGAGTCAGAAACCGGAGATGCCTCCTTCATGACAATTAATAAACAAATTTTATATCAATTCATAACCTGCATTCTTATAATAAGGATCTAACAGTATAATAAATAAAATGAAGCAAATAACTACGAAAATTTTATCTTACGTCAGAAACCATTGCCGCAAACCCCTTCCCCCAATTAAACTGATGAGCATTGGTAAGAAAGCATGTCTACCTCAGCAGCATCTATACATTTAGAAGTCAATTCCATAATCGTGCTTAGTGAACAGACTCTTAAATTGACTCTTAGGTGAACACCCTTTCTTTAGCACGAGCAACCTCCTCCTTGCTGCTCTGTCTGGGATGAATTCACGGTGGGTTTCAAATTTACATCGACCATGTCTTCCTGTTTTGTTGAAGAAAGAGTTTCCATCCCTGGCAAGGCTGCAGCAATCTTGCGAAATAAAGGCTGCAATTTTGGATTTGGATTCACATAAGATAACACGGAGGTGATGAACTCCCAAGAAATCAATTTTACGAAAGAAGTAAAACTTGTGAAAAACTAATGACGAAAAACTAACATGGGGTTTAGGATAGATCAAATATTGATATGATAGATCAACGGATCAGAATTCATATTCTGATAAAAAAAACTGATGTGGGGTGACCTAGAGACTTCGTTAATTTTCACCTTAATATTGAAGCCTGCTTTTGCACTAGTTTCTATGAACATGATTCCATTCTCACGGGACTTGGCATCTCCTTCCTCTATAGAAACTTGCCTGTTTACGTATCACAATGGCATTAGAAGTTGTAACGGAACTTTATACAGTAATACCACAATAGGTGAATTGCTAAAACACTAACTGGAAACCGTATGCCTATAATTTTTCTTTTTATTATATAGCTATAAATTTACCTCTACATATGATTTTTAAAATAACAACTGCAATGTACGATCATTTTATTAGCAAGCACGTCCGAATTTTGAGTTAGATAATCAATATATTACCAAGATGTTTATACGTAAAACCAACCACCTTTAACGAAATTATTTAATTAACCAATTCAATTGTTAGAAACAAACAGGCACGTTATCCTATCATCAGAGTGTCCAAATAGAACATGATAAATTACCAATTATTTTTTATGCCAGTATGGAAACAATTGGAAAGTCTCTTCTAACAGTGGATAAAAACAGTGTCTAATGAAAAAAAGAACTAGGCGTTTAAAAATATTTCATGATGAGGATATCTAGTTAAAAAAACACTAACTACTTGAGGTTAACGAAGGTCTTAAATTTTTGATAGAAAGATTGGCATCGACCAGATGTAAGAACACATTGCTCACCTTTTATCAACAATATCAGTTTTGTTTCCAACCAAGACAATAATAACATCACTTCCTCGTTCTGTACGTACCTCCTCAATCCACTTATTTGTGTTTAAAAATGATTGCCGGTCTGCATAACAACAACTTGCTAAGGAATTTAATGCTTACGCCTTACAATTTGGTTTTATGTTTTATAGACTGAAAAAAACACTAAGCACGTCCAGTTCCACACAGAACTTAAAGAGCTCATCATAGAAAAACAGACGTAGAGAGGGAAGGAGCTGATGTTTTCGTAATTATGTGTTTTTGGAAACGTAAGATCAAAACAGTCAGTCGAAGGCCAATCTAAGAATCCGGTCACATGTTACAAAATCTTTTCTCTTAAGTTAAAACTAATAAAAAATTTGGAAAACTTATGTTGTGAGAAAATCTGTAAAGATCCAGAAAGAACGCTGCTAATTAGATAATGAATCTGGGTTTAAAAAACCGAAAAAGAAAAAACTAAAACTCACTGGCAACATCGTATACAACAACTGCGACAGAGGAATCTCTTATGTAGCTTGGAATGAGACTTCTAAATCTTTCTTGTCCTGCAGTATCCCTGTGAAGTTAAAATACAACATACTCAAAAAACACACAGAGAACGGGCAAAAGAAAAAACCTGCACAGCAATGTGAAATATAATATAACTTTTAGAATATAAATAAACAAATATCAATAGATCTTGTCATATGAGTTGAAGAGGAAGCCTACCAAAGCTGCAAACGAACTGTTCGATCTTCAAGGTACATTGTTTTTGACAAAAAATCAATACCAATAGTAGCCTGAAATTTAGATGATCAAGAAATTTGTCAAGACCTAGCAAGGAAAGGTAAAAGCAAAATGAAATAAATAAATAAATGAAATGCTAGAAAAAATTAACAAAAATAAATTTTCCTTTCAAGTTACCTTGTATTATATGTTGATAACTATTACAAACATGGAGCATCATAATATGCGAGAATATTCATAAAATATAATTACCATAAAACTCTATTCCATTACAGTGAAGTAATAAATTTATAAACGGTTAGATATAAATTAAATGAAAGACTCATATTTGAGTATAAGTTATTAGACTTATATTAGTATTAGTATGAAAAGATAATGTCCTGTATATATATATATTTATCAATTAAAACCTTGAAAGTAATCTCAAAATCACTAATAAAAGCTCTTCTTCCCACTCTAGCACTTCACTAACTCAAACCGGGAGATATGGACCAGTGCATGGGTACTGCAGGAGTGAATTTAGAAGCAACTAGTTTAATTCATAACTGACACAAATCTTGCACTCTATCAAAACAAATATACATTACACCTCAAATTCAGATCTATTTCTGCTGTTAGTATTCGGAGGCAACATAAACAAAAAGTATCTCCTAGAATACACTGCAGAATATGACATCTATCTCTTCTGATCCTCGCGATTAAGTTCTAATCACACACGATAAACACGTCTAAATCACAGCGAAAAGCACTACGGATGGTGCTTACTTCACAAGCATAACAAAATTCAATAAATCACAAATGAAATAATATGAAACTTTCCATCGTTATTCTCAAAACGGCAATAATACTTCTGTCTGAAGTTGATCCATGTAAAGTTACAAATATATGTAACATATAACTAAAGCGTGTTATCTGTGGTGTGATGAGATGAAATTAGCGATCCGAAGGAAAAATCTAAACCAAAACCTTAAGAGTTTGTTTGAAATGGAATTAGTCAAACTGAAAGAAAAATCAAAATCAAACTGAAATTGAGAATCGATCAACGAAAACTTCGAATGCTAATATTAATTAAAAGGAAGAGATCGGTGAAAGAAAGACCTGATAATTAGTGTCGAATTTGTCATACATGAAGCGAGTGATGATGCTGGTTTTGCCGACCGATTGATCGCCTAAGAAAACGAGCTTGTATTTGGCGAGAGGGGACACAGTAGCCATTTTGTTAATTTATTTTTTGGTTTTTTTGCTTTGTTCTTTGGTTTTTAATCTGAATCTGAACCTCTCAAACTTCGAGAGAGACAGAGAGAACGAAAATGAAGAGAGGGAGAAAATATTGTTGACGAAGACGCCCACCAAATGCAATTTCAAAGTGCGATATCTTTTATATTCTGCATCAGAAAGCGCCAAGCACGGCCACCACCCCCCGCACTACCCTTTTTTATATATGAAAGAAATAAATTAAAATTTTGAAAAGCTTTTATATATATATATATATATATATATATATATTCATAATTAATGCGTAATTTTAATTCTTTTAACAAATTTCTCACTTTATAATTGTTATAATCAAAATTTTCAGTTATTTCCTTTTGACATTAATCGTTAGATGTTTAACTTCAACTCAAATTAGTTTGAGGCTTAAGATGGATTTTAGATATACAATAATTTGAAATTTTCAGAAAATGAAAAATTTGATGAAACTTGAATTTTTTTTTTCTTTTTTATTTATAAAATGCAACATTGAAATTTTGAAAAAAAGGAATTTAAAGATTTTTAAATTTAAGGTGAAACATTAGGGTTTGATTAGTTTTTGAGTGATTGATGATTTAAAATGTTTTAATAGGCTCAATAGGCTCAATTCATGGAAATTTTAAGGGAAAAAAATTGAGAGCTTTTTTTATTATAGTCAAATCAAATTAATTGAAAACTTGGGGTAATAAAATAATTGAAGGGCCTAATTATAATAATTATAATTCGAAAAACTATATTTGAGAAAAAAAATGACTATGGCTTTCATCTAATTTCATATAAATTCCTTGGTATTACATCAAACCTAAATTGATTTGGAAATGCAGTTCAAACATCACGAAGGTGGGCTATATGAAAATGGTCACAATAATTTCATTTACTGAATAGAAAGCTCCCTAAATTGCAAGAGAGATTCAAAACAAAGCACTGCCAATTCCATGTGAGTTCTTATAAATTAAATTCTGTAAAATAATTTTAAGAAACTGCATTGCAGCAAGCATCTTCTTAGGGTGAAAAGATGAAGATTTCTAAATACACGAACTCCTTTATTAATTTTAAGAACATTGAGTCACCGTCTTGAATTCTCGCCAACCTCCCAAGACTGTTATAAGTTTGGGCCCTATATATTCCTCTGAGGTAGAAAAATAAATACTTGAAGATCATGGTAACAAAGTTAATTACAGACGAACTGACTTGATTGGTTGAAGACTTGTTTACGTGGCATATAAGTTCCATTTTTAATGAATAATTTATCTGACTTGCTTTGTCATATCAAATGGGCCAGGGTGAAAAGTCATTGGATTAATATTATGATTTCTGCTCCGTGATTTGTATATAGTGCTATGTTCAGAAAATTGTAGTAATAGCATATACTTCAATTCAGAAGTACAGATGCTGCTCCATTATTTAAGACTATCATGTTAAATGCAATCATCTTAACAATTAGCTTTCATTAAATTCATTATTAGCTTCCACGTACATGCAGAGAATGCATTAAGATGAACTAGCTAAACTTGTTGATTTCTTTAGCAACCGATTATTGATTTAGGGTTTTTCTTCTTGTCCTAAAGCATTTTTCTTATGAGATGCTATACATATGACTAAAACTCTTCTAATCTGCCCCACTCCATATTACTCTGATTTAATTAAAGTAAAAGACATCAATTTGGGCATACTCATGCTAACTAGAGTGAATAGTGATATCCTAACTATTCATTTGATATTATCATTGTGAAACACTTCAAAATATCATCTAAAGTAACTTTAACTTTGCATAATTCCATATTCTCTTGGTATTTCCTAAGAGATCGAACCCGGGAAGCTCTACATATCAAGCATTCAAATTGCTTCAATATATGGCTGGCCTTATTATCAAAGAATTATGTTATGACCATTTAAAATGAGTATCCAACTTCTCTAGCATCTACTCAGTGTCAACTCTGTGTTGAATTTTGATATAAACAAAATAGCAGAACCATACAACAATTTTTTTCTTTGAAACTTGATCATATGTACCCATCTTACACAACAGCCGTTAACGTGCACAGAAGCCAAATTGCAATCACCAAAATGCTATGAAATCATGCACAAAAACAGCAGCAAATCTGCAGCATTAAGCTAAGACAAAATAGCTGCAACAAGTTTCATTCAGTAGCTTTTGCAAAAAAACATAACAGCCATCAAAGCACAATTTGTTACCATGTAAAGGACAATTTAACATGCAGGAACAACATCAATAGGTGCATCAAATCACGGTGTGATTACACCAACAATAAGTCTCATAAAAAATCTAATATTCAATTATTCACAGGTTCCATAAGCTGAACCCTTCAAAACATAGTTAGTCCAACAAATTCCATCATATAAACTCAAGGAATTTAACAAACACTACCAACACTTAAAAAAAAGCAAAAATAATATAACTACCTAATAGAACTACTAGTACTACCAGACCTCATGCTGGCCCAGGGAAACTTAGCAGCACCATCGGCCCGGTCCAATCGGGCCCGGTTCGAACCATTGTTGGGCCTAAAACGGTTTGCCTCCATCTTCTCATCGAGCCAGTGGCTCTTGGTATGGGCTTCCTGAACGACGCTTGACTTGGTCTGTTTGTTCATCCTCTTCTTATCCTCTTCGATGATTCGAATCGGGTAAAGATCCGTGGAAATAGAAAGCGGGTTCTTTAGGGTGACGTAGGCCTTCTTGTAATCGGGTTTTGCGATCAACAAGCCACCACGTTTCTTCTTCTTACCCTCCATGTTCAGAGTTCGAACCTTCTCAACCTCGAAGCCGTAGAGGGATTCGAGAACGCGCTTGATCTCGATCTTCGAGGCTGAAGGGATGGTCTTGAGAGCGATTTCTTGGATGTTCGTGAAGGTGTTAGGCATCAAAAGCTTAATGGGTAGGTTCGCAAACTGTACCACTCTTCTTCCCAATCTGCTTCCCATTGTTTTCTGCACTCTCAACTTCACACAACCCTCACACAGTCGCAACCTTCCACTTTGCACAACAAGTTCTTTTTTTCTCACTGAACTTGTTTACATAAGGATATCCGGATGGCCCAATTATGTTTTATGGGCCCATTTTTCAATCATTTTTGTTCAGTCCATCATGGATTTTTTTTGTTTTGGCATATTTTGTGAGTTCCACAACTATGCTTGTGTTGCTACTTGCTACCTCTTTGGGCATGAGTTTCTTGGACTCGTGATGTTCTTCGCTTTGGACAAGAAAAAACACTCGTCGACCAAAAATAAAGCGAATTTAAAAGACTAAAACAAAATAAAACTGCTTCATTTTATAGTTATGCGTAAAATTTAATTAAGAGAGTTAGATATAACTATTGGTTCAAAGTTCAACAAATGGTATTGTAACTAAGTATATTCAAATATATTAAATCCTGAGTTTTCAGAAATAATTTGGTTGATTTTTTAATTAAAAAGAAAAAGAAAAATAGATAAAATAAAAAAGGTATAAGTGAAAAATGATCGCGACAATTTATATTTTCTTTCGACATTATTTTAAAACTACTAATATTATGTTAATTATATATTAATCATATCACATTAAAATTTAATTTAGTAATTTTTTTAATGAAATAACTAGGTTCCATTGCATCCCATCCCATGTGTTACCCGCTGTTTCCCCCCACCAAAATTGACTTGGATAGAAAAGCAAAAGCAACATTCATAGTGGAGAACAAAAAGAGGAATCCTGAGTGGAATCTGGTGCTGACAAGAACCCTAGTAGAAGATTCTATCCATTATTATTACTTATAAAAGAAAATAAGGTAAATAAATACCGAAAAAGAAAAAACATGTCAGAATCTTTTGACAACCTGGGAGAAATAATATTAAAAAAGTCATATGAGTGATTAAATAAAAACAGAAACCTATTACTTTACATATTTATATATGTCACATAAATCCCAGTAACTCATTCTCAATTTACGGTCTCGTTCTGTTCTGTCTCACTCTCACATTCTTCCCTTTGTCTCCAAGTTTTAACTCGCAGCCGCCATGTGCGGAATCCTCGCAGTTTTGGGTTGCGTCGACAACTCTCAGGCTAAGCGCGCTCGCATCATCGAATTGTCTCGCAGGTTTCACACATTTCTTTATCTCTCTGCTATTTCATTCATTTCTCGAAACATGAGTTTTTCTTTTTTTATATATATATTACTGACCATTTGTGCTTTCACTTTATGCTATAGAATAATGCCTTTTTTTTTCACTCTTTTATTTATTTATTTAGTTTAGAATATTATATGCTTACTTACATTTTTGCTATCTTCTTTTCTTAATTAGCTTTTAGAGAGAAAAGAAGTTTTTTTTTTTTTATAAAAAAATTGCCTTTTTCTTTTCCTGATTTGAGTATGGCTATGATGGAATTGAAAAATGTAGGTTGCGCCATAGAGGTCCTGATTGGAGTGGCATACATTGCCATGGGGATTGTTACCTTGCTCATCAACGATTGGCTATTGTTGATCCTACTTCAGGGGATCAACCTCTCTACAACGAAGACAAGACTGTTATTGTCACCGTAAATATCTTTGTGCTATTATGACAATATTAATTTATGTGCACCATTTTTGGGAATATTAATTTAATTAGAAAATGCATAGTTTATTTCTTTTTTTGTGATATGTACTGAACTAGTTTCTAGATATTTGCTTGTTCTCATACCACATAATTTCCTGTTGGAACTATGCCTGTAGGTGAACGGGGAGATATACAACCATAAGGAATTGAGACAGAAACTGAGTTCCCATCAATTTCGAACTGGTAGTGATTGTGAAGTGATTGCCCATCTTGTAAGTGTTTGAGAATCAGTTAGATTTGGTGATCAATTTACTATTTTCTTATAAATTATGGAATTTTTTTTATTGTAATTAATCATGATGTCAGTATGAAGAGCATGGAGAGGAGTTTGTTGATATGCTGGATGGGATGTTTGCCTTTGTCCTGCTTGATACTCGTGATAAAAGTTTTATTGCTGCTCGTGATTCTATTGGCATTACTCCTCTTTACTTGGGCTGGGGTCATGATGGTATGTGGCTTCACCTTCTTGTGGTAACAATTAACATTTTCACTTCAATCTGGATGGTGTCTCACCTCTCAATCTCTCAATTAGAGCTATCTATTGTTCAATTTAAGTCAATTTGAGAGATGCTTATGAATTTGGACATAGTGGATGTGGATATGCTAACAATATTTTTCAATGAAGAGAAATAGATGCATGCCGTCCTAATGCCTCCAAACCTCCAAGGCTCCAACAACTGAACTCTCAGTTTTTGCAAGAGCTCCTACAGAAATCTGAGAGTTTCAACTCAGTATATTTTTTTATCCAGTTTTACATATACTTGTGATTTTGTAGTATTAGTAACACTATCCTGATTTCCACAGCACTAGGTTTTTTTTTTTAACTCAAGTGAAGTAGTCAAAATTGACATCAGTGTGCTACTTATAAAATATGGTTAAATTCTCCACTACATATTTATGTAAACATTAATGTGACTTTGTCATATCCTCCAGTGCTTCTTAAATTTTGGAACATATTGTAGTTTTTCCATGGTGAATAAATGAAGCATCTTTTTCTCTCTTACCGCATACACTATAGTTGTTTTTATTCTGAACTTGAATAATTTTTGGATAGAAAATTTAGATTCGCATATTTACTGGGATATATATATGTCTTATTTTGCTGTAACTTAGCATGGATCTTTTTTGTTTTTATTTTTTTAATTTTGATCACATGAATGAATCACATATGTTACCGTTGGAAGGGCTGGTTTATTTGCAGGATCAACATGGTTTGCATCTGAAATGAAAGCTCTGAGTGATGATTGTGAGAGATTCATATCTTTTCCTCCTGGGCATATATATTCCAGCAAACAGGGTATTAATAGTGTCATTTGTTCCATTCTCTGTTAATAATTCTTGTAATTCTCATTTCCCCTGCTTTTCCTGCCTAAATTTCACATTTCTGATATCGTACCACTTGTATATCGTGTTAAATTTTGTTGTATTTACAGGAGGATTAAGAAGGTGGTACAATCCACCATGGTTTGCAGAGCATATTCCATCAACTCCCTATGATCCAATGATTTTGCGAAAGACCTTTGAGAGGGTAAGCTACTATTTTCTTATTTGTTCACTTCTTTCAAAAGCTAGAGAATTTTTCTCACTTCTGAAAATTCAGTTCTATGGCATTTGCTTAAAAAATGCTTTGTACTTTCTGCAGCGCTCCATGAAACTTCAGAATTTAGATGGTCAAAATCATCCTTTCATGTATTGTCTGTAACCAGGGGTTAAAAAACAACAAAATTCACCCCAAAATGAAACTTAGTGCCCTTTTGGAGAGTATATTTTACCACTAGAAGAACTTACAACATTTTATGGATATTGCAACATTGGTGTCTATTGAATATGATAATAAGCACTGGCAGAAGATGTATGCACTAAATTAGTTGATACACTACTAATGTGCAGGGACAGTAATAGCTCATAAGCGGGGATAATATTATTATGTGCTAGGATGGGAAGGATAATGATCCTTTAGTTCTTTTTACTTTTTTAAGACTTCCTTTGGTGTAATGGAGTCACCGACTAATGATGATATGGTTGGTTGTCATAATATCTCTTTTAACTCTGCTTGGTTTTACTGTGATATCATGCAGGCTGTAGTTAAGAGAATGATGACTGATGTACCATTTGGAGTTCTTTTATCCGGAGGACTGGACTCATCACTTGTTGCTGCTGTGGCCAATCGTTATTTGGCTGAATCTCCAGCCGCTCTTCAGTGGGGATCACGATTACATACTTTCTGCATTGGTTTAAAGGTCAGAATGAGTTTTTTTTTATCCTTCTTCAATGCAACGAAGCTAGTATATTATTAGCTTTTATATGCTTCAATTCATGATCTGGCTTTTCCACCATACAGGGCTCTCCGGATTTGAAAGCTGCAAAAGAGGTAGCAGATTATCTTGGTACTCTTCATCATGAACTTAATTTCACAGTTCAGGTGACTATCTCTCATTGTCTCTTTTATTGTTTTAGCTTTTCTCGAGTATGAGATTTTTATTGCTACTCAAAAGTAATTTTTATTTTGCTGCATCAGGAAGGTCTAGATGCACTTGAAGAAGTCATTTACCATATTGAAACATATGATGTGACAACTATTAGAGCAAGTACTCCAATGTTTCTTATGTCCAGAAAGATTAAAGCCTTGGGAGTGAAAATGGTTCTTTCTGGAGAAGGTTCAGATGAAATTTTTGGAGGTTACTTGTATTTCCATAAGGCACCTAACAAGGAAGAGTTTCACGAAGAAACATGTCGAAAAGTATTATGCAATAATTGTTGTGTCGCTTTGTTTGATTTAGTTAATTTGCGAAGTTGTTTGGTTAACTCGTTATATTCTCTCTTTATCTCATCATTCCTTTTGCACTTCATCTGTTTATTCAAGTTTGTGATGGCTTTGATGATTTGACAGATTAAAGCTCTTCATCTTTATGACTGCCTGAGAGCTAATAAATCTACTGCAGCATGGGGTGTAGAGGCACGTGTACCGTTCTTGGATAAAGAATTTATCCATGTAGCCATGAGTATAGATCCAGAGTGGAAAATGGTACTTTACCTTTACTGTTTTCTTTGTGTTCCTCTTCCTCTTCCTCCTATAATTGGGTTGCCTGCATCGGTGAAAGACAATGTGCGCCTCGCTGCTAAACAAATTCAAATGTCACTTTAACTTCTTGCTTTATAGTTTATATGTTAAAGTTTGTTTCTTATGATTATCTTGTATTATGATTCTTGTTTCGTCAAGAATTACATCTACTCTTTAAGGTGAGGAATTTGTGAAGATAATCTTATTGACTTCTTTTTAATTACCTTGTGAAATTTATCACAAATTGTGCAGATAAGGCCTGATCTTGGAAGGATAGAAAAGTGGATATTGCGCAATGCTTTTGAAGATGCTAAGAATCCATATTTACCAAAAGTTTGTATTAACTTCTGCATCTTGCTTGTTCTTGTGTCTTGAAGGATTTCTGAACGATTCTTGTTCTTGTTTGTTATCTTTAGCACATATTATACAGGCAGAAGGAACAGTTCAGCGATGGGGTCGGGTACGGCTGGATTGATGCCTTGAAGGATCATGCCAACCAACAAGTACGTTCTAATATGTAACATTGAATTTTTTCTTATGTAATGTCATAATGTTCTAAATAATTGGATTCTTTTCTTGTCTGTGATAAATGGTCAGGTACCAGATGCAACTTTGTTGAATGCCAACTTTATTTACCCTGAAAATACCCCTACTACAAAAGAGGGATACTACTACAGGACAATCTTTGAGAAGTTCTTTCCAAAGGTGGATTTTATAGTTGTTTAAAAATGCTACATTTTTTAACACGTCGTGTTGTGTTCATTAGAAGTACCTTGACCATGATTATCTTGAACCATTTCAACAGAATGCAGCAAGGTCAACAGTTCCAGGAGGACCTAGTGTGGCATGCAGTACTGCCAAAGCTGTGGAATGGGATGCAGCATGGTCAAAAAATCCTGACCCTTCTGGTCGTGCCGCACTTGGTGTTCATGCAGCTGCATATGAGGATGCTTTAGCCGAGCCTAAAAAGGGAACCATAGTCTAGGAAAATAAAAATAAAAAAATATATGCAACAGCTGTCTAGTAGGAATTTAATTTAATGTAGATGAAACTACTGAGGAGAAGTGGGGTTGTTTTCATTTTCACACACCATGATCTATGGACATTTTAAGGTTTTAGAAAGATTATATTTCATGGCTGCAAGGTCATAGGCCTTTCCGTTCTAGTCTTGGGACGCAAGGTCATGGCAATTTTTTTTCTGTCTGCTTTAAGAATGCAAAAATATATATAAATTTGCTCCACTTTTTATCCTGAACAAAATTTGTAGTTTTATTTATTTATTTATTTCACGTGCACGGGCTCAATATATACAGGCTTGGTAAATATTTACATTGTTGTTAGTTACTACGTCAAAACATAAGTGGATACATAAAATGTCTCCATTAAATTGCATATGAACTTCGCATTGCTCACTTCACGAGAGGGGAAGTAACCATTCAATGAAATTCCAACAGCAAGCCATTTTTCATTCACATCAATATTTACCAACGGCAGATCCCGGGTTCTTCTGTTCTGCTTAATGCCAGTATTTCCTCATACTTTGAAGCATATACAAAGCCCCACAACTGCATGAATGAAAGACCAATTAACTTTATTCATTTATAAATGTTAAGCAAGTACAGATAAAGCAAACTTCATGAGCACCTCTACTTCCTTCACTTCAAAGTCTTCAGAATTTGCAAGGCAAGGATTACCATAAGTTTCTGAGACCGAACTTGAGCCATTCAATCTTTAAGTAGATGTCATGAATTTGGAAGGGGTTAAAAAAAAAAAAAAAAAAAAAACACTCAGGACTATGATGTTCATAGAGGGCAGGCAAATATTTTTTATTTTCTAAAAAGATAGCAAAATGAAAATACAAAGTAGTCCTTACAGATCACCATCCAAATAAAGAGCAAAATGACCTCCCCCACCAATTGCTAAGTAATCAGTGTTGCAGAGTGTGAAATAGCGGTTTACTCCTGCAATATTGTGGTTAGTTCAGCATAGCTAGTCAAAGGAAGCAGCATTTAAATTTCCAAACCAAACCAGATTATTCACTCTATGCAATCATGACGGTGGATAAAGTGCTAAGATGTAACTGGGTCACATCATATTCATCTAATTTTCATTGTATAGACTGCTTTAGTATGAATTTTTAAGATGAGTTTTTGGAAACCGCAAAAGAAAGATAATGAGTATCATGTTCAAACTCAAAGGGATACCTGTTGGACGATATATAACAGGATGACCAGAGGTATTTGTGAAAACATATGAATTGTTTGTTCCCTGTACAAAATCTATTGTCAACAAGACAAAATAACAGGTAGAATGGTTGCAGGATAACTAGAAGCAGACAGTATCAGTCAGATAATCCATAGGATAAATGAGTTTGGGATGACCTGGTATTTTTTCTTATTGGATGATCTGAGAGGTGCTTCAACCAAGCCACCAAATACTGCCCCTTTTCGGTCTCCAACAACCTAAATGGAAATATCTTACAACTAGAATTAATCCATGATTGAAAAAAGTAGAAGCGCACCTTAAATAGTAAAGGACAGAATAATGCATATATCAATTTCAACTCAGAAAAAACTAGAAGAGCGAGGCAATCCATAATATAGTATGCAAATTACCAAGATGTAGCCGCACAACTAGACAGCATAACCTTGTTGAAACAGCAAGTTTACAAGTTCTGCTACTATTAATTACAGTGTTAAAACATCATACATAATATTGAAGCACATTTAGCGTTTCAACTTTTTTTTTTTACATTTTCCAATGCAGATCAGACATACAGAAATGCTTGTTTAAGATTAACATCGGCTCAAGGATTACCAGCAAACTCAATCCAGGCCAAAGCATGCTTCTTCGGTACAGAGTTGAAAGTGATATACCATGCCTCCAAGTGCTGCAGAAAATGAGTAGAAGTTACAATAAAAATAACACGTTCATCAATACCAAGATTTTGAAACTTCAGAACAGAAAAGTTGAAATCTTGTGTCAGCCAATGATCCACAGATACCTGTATAGCAACAGCCATTTCCTTCCGTGCATAAGTGATGGAAGAGAAGCGTAGAGAACATTTCTTATACTGTCAGAGAGGAGAGCTGAGGGTTCAGAAATTTCCGGCAGATCAACCAAAGGAACAGGCACAGTCTCTTGAACAGGTTCAATAGGCCTCATCTCAACACCATTTCCATCATCAAATTTCATTTGAAGATTATCCTTGCGATCTTGATGGCGAAATCCACCCATTCTCGCAGCTTGGCGAATGGCTCTACCAACCGATTGCTTGCTCCTAGAAAGCAAACTTTTCTTCCCACCATTTTCCTTCAGGGATGAGTCTGGTAAAGGGTTGTTATCAGGTGCAGCTTTATCATAATTATGCCCATGAGCGTTTGCATTATCTCCAGTGTCAGAGGAAGACAAAAAAGAATAGAGGAACGCAGTGAAGGATGAAGTGTCAGGCCCATCAACTAAATCGTGGCTACCCTCTTCATCAGTTATTTCTGATTCACCTACTTCTCCCTGAGAGCAAACAAAAAGGATGGACAATAGTTACCTAAATAAACCTTTAGTTTGAAGCAAGGAAGAGCTTTACTTAAAAAGGGGAAAAAACAGAACCAAGAATTACAACAACATAAGTAAACAAGAACCTCGTACGGGGAAGTGAGTAGTACTAAGGATTAAAATTCAATTTGATGAGTAAATATAAATATTTTTTATATGAAAAAGGGACCATTTTGACAGATAAGATAAGAGGGGTTAAGAATAAGAGAGAGAAGTTACGTTAGGAGGTGGTGGTGTCGGTAGAGGGTGTTTGGAGGGTTTATTACTGTTGGCGTCGGAATCAGAGATGGGGTTGAGAAGGACAGATACAAGGTGGGTGGCTTTGCTACGCAAAGATTGCTTCTTTCCCATTTCTACTTTTGGAACTCGAAGCCTGTAATCTTCAGAAACATAGCATTTTTTCCCTGGTTCTCCGGCACACTCCAGAGACAATACAACTAAGTAATGGTGTTCTTTTGCGGTGCGCCACAGCTTGCAGATTATCGTGTCACCAAACTAGGAAGATGCTGACCCTGAAGGCCATAGAGCTTGACTTGGTCCCTCAGCATAGAATTGCATTGTCCAGCACGCCATGATCAAGACCAAAGCAAATAAACTATTTGATCGGTGATAACGATTAAGTATAAATATATCGGAATGATAAAATTATCCAGACTCCATGGCCCAATGGATAAGGCGCTGGTCTACGGAACCAGAGATTCTGGGTTCGATCCCCAGTGGAGTCGTTTCTGTTTTAAAAATTTTCAATTTATTTTACGTATAATGCCCGCTGTTGATATTTAATTTTATTTTGATTTTTTAAAATAAGTCATTTTATTCTCAGTAAAAAGAAAGAAAATCGAAAATGAATTGTTTAAGCATCATAGCATCTCATGGCCCAATGGTTAAGGCGTTGATCGACGGAACCAGAAATTCTGGGTTGATGTGGTTCAAGTGATTTTAACCTGCTTTTATGATATCGAGTTTTGTTTTTTACTTGTTTAGACGTGTCTTAGTATTACAGAATATTTATCTCAATTATAATTTTGGTTCTGATACTTCATCATTTTGGGCCTTCCAAATGGGCCAGAAGACAAAAGAGATTCAAACCAAGGATTGCAGAATTGAACAAGACTAGGTTTGGACCAAAAAAGAACACGACCAGCCACTACTCTTTAACGCCGTCAATGAGGTCTCGTGATGTCCCAAGCCACAAGAGAAATTGCGTACGGTTGACCAAAAAAAAAAAACTCCTTTTAAGTGCCACTTCGTAGTCACGATTTTATAATCACGTAACTCCCACCGTAGTGTTTTGCATCATGAAGATCGTTTCACTCCCAAGTCTTGATTGGATAGCAGAATGGAACAGGATGTTGCTTGACTGCACAACAAAACACGATATAATATAATGAAGTTTTCCTAACATATTTAGCAGTTTGGTAATAAGTGAACACTAAAACATCGTCTAGGTGAGTCCGATTTCAAGTTTCATCATTTAAACGTTAAGATTATGCCACGTTCGTAGTTGAAAGTTGAAACCTACAATACAGATAATCGAACACACCCTTCTACTGAAACATGGGAGTTCAGACGGATTTATAGAATGCCTACGTCAAAGAGGATAAGTTAAAATATAGCTTAAACCAAGGCAATGCTGCTCTCTCCACCAGGGGGTTTACGGGCACCTCGCACAGGATCTTTGGTTTCTGGCTTTCCATCAGCAAATATGTCACTGCCAGTCATTTCTCTCAGCTTAGCCCTGCTCAGAGGTTTTTCTGCTGAGCCTGGAGGAATATCTCCTTGGAAGATATTATTCCCTGTCAGCTCTGCAAACTTCTGGTCATGTATCTTCTTTGCTGTCTTCTTAACGGGTGCTTCACCAAATAAGATATTACTTTGGCCACCTGCAGGCTACAAATATAAGAAAGGGAAGGTTAATACGCAGTCATAAACTATGAGGCAATAAGACAGGATGAGCCCTGAAAGAAAAAGCATGAAAATAACAAAAATCTTCTCCCACTATGCAAGACGTAAAGAGAAAATTAAAATGAAAAATTGAGCTCGAGCTCAAAATGTTAATAGTGATCTACAGGAGGAAAAAGCACAGGACTACATCTTATTTCAGAAAAATGATTTTGCCATTATTGAATTTATTGTAAAACCAAAAAAGGAAAAACAAACTTATTTCAGAAAACCAAAAACCTAAAAAGTTTAAAAAGAATAATATTATTATGGAAACCTTAAAGACCATGAGACAAGCTGTTGGACCTTCTCTATGCAATGTATGTGCTGTTAAGCTTTAAATCAATTTGATGGGCCCATGTTTTGGAAAAGAAACAAAAATATGACATAAACTTTTAATGAATTCATCCAAATAAATGGTATTCCTCAAGAGCTGCAACGGCATTATGACTATCTCTAGTACAACCCTTAAGTTACATCTTAAAACAAAACTTTTACCAAAATAAAGTTAAAACTGGTCAACATTTTAATTTTGCATTTAGGAAAGCAAGGTAACACTGACAAACCATCACAGGCCAAAATTCATCACCATGAAGAGCCATGTAGATTTTAACAGGCCCACCAATAACACAGAAGCCTAGCTCAGTCAGCTTTGATAATCATTTTATAAGAAGGGATTAACACGTTAATTAACAAACAATTCTTTAGCCAATCATCCAGTACAAAATTATAGATGACGATTATTTCATTCTGAGAAGACACTTACATTGGAAACTTTCACCGATGTTCTCACATTTCTGGGAAGAGGCTCTCCCATGTCTTTACTTTCCTTTGATTCCAATGTGCGTGCAGCCGCCACTGAACGAGGCACAATTTCAGGAGGAGGGCCAAATATGTCATTTCCACTGAGCTCCTTGGTCTTGGCATTTGATATTTGCTTCTTACTCTTTGAGTCTGAATCACTTTGCATTGTTCCACTCAGTTCACGTTGCTTTGCTACCTCAGGTAGAGAGGTAGGCTTTTTAGGAGAAATGTTTTCTTCAGTGCTGAATGATATCTGACTAATTCCATTCATTGCTTGCTGAATGCAACAAGAAAATTTATATCAGAATTGAATTTGATTATATATTTGACAAATGTTGATGTGATCAAATTGAACACAGTACAAGGAAATTATTATCTAAATATACCTGACAAATGCGTATGCTTGTTCTATTATTTGAATTTGCAGAATTGGCTTCCGATGCAGAACCTTCGCCATTGGCAGAAAATATACCACTTCCAGTCATCTCTTTCATTTTATACCCTGAGCATGGTTTGCTGAGAGTAGCAAATGCAAGGACATGTACGGCAACAAGGTTAGACCAAAAATGATTTGAAAAAAAATAATTAGTAAGCAACATCTCCTAGCTTAGATTCACCATTTTCATGACATTTAAATAAACAACAGTTCCTGAAATACATACTGCAGCACACATGCATATAAAACCCACTTTCTACTGACTAATGGTTAATAAACGCAACTAATTACGCAGAAGCAGCATTCACAGTTAATTAATCACGCTTAAGACACAAGCGATGCATTTTATTTCAAGCTCAAGCAATAATTTGAACTAACTAAAATAAAGCATGCATGTAAGACATTGAACAACACGCTGTTCACGAGCAAATAATGCTACATCTCAAAAGAAGCTGAAGAATCTCAAGAGTTTACCGATATTACAAATTACGATATAGATCGATGCAGAAAAAGGAACACGTGTTAAATCAGATCGAAGAAATAAATAAGAGAAAAAGAAACACCAGCAGATCTGATCTATGTTCAGAATGCAGATTCAACGGAGAGAAAGAAAAGAACGTCGCACCTCTTGGCTAGCGTCTGAGCTTCTTCATCGGTGAGCTGGCCGCCATGAAGAACCTTGCTGATTCTATCGGACGGCTGTGATGTGAACGCAATGAGAGAGAGAAATAGAGAGAGAGAAGAAAAATGAGATAGTGAATAAAATATTAACCTGGCGAGAGCGATTGGCGGAGGCGGTGGCAGTGGATTCCGGTGGAGGAGTTTCCGACCAAGTGAGGAGATCGGAGGTGGAGGTGTGAGGCTTTCTCACCGGCGTGCCTCTCTGCATTCTGAATGCGAATGTGAAAGTAAAAATTTATGAATGGGTGGGAGATATTTCTCACTGATAATATTTGAATTGAATGGAATTGAATTGAAATGAAATTGTGTTTAAAATAAATGCAAGTAGGTCTCGTATTTAAATAAGAGCTTTTGGACACCGTGGATCTCGCTTCTTCCTTATGCGTGACACATGTTATTCGATGGCCAATACAAACATGCTATCTCACTCTGACTCATGATAATGAAATCAAAGCAACTCAAAACAATAAGCTGTGTTTTTTTTAATGTGTATTTTTAGACATATAATAAAAATGTTTTATATTTATTATATGTATTTAAATACATTATAAAAAATTAAATAATAATAATGAAAATATTGCTAATTTTAATTTTTAAGATTAAATTTAAACACTTAAAATAATAAGTTTTTATTTTGAAAATATAATTATTAATTAAAATTATAAAAAATTGATTTAGAAATATTACTTTTATGTATTTAATTCAACTCTTGAAACTGAAATTAATATTTTCCTTAATAATAACATCTTCAACTGATATTTGACATTCGTGATTTAACTTAACCATTTAAAGTTGGAAATTATTGAATACCCACCCACTTCTCTGTACATTTTTCAATTTTTACGACACTTGTACATAATAGAGGGTGGAATTTTGTTGCGATATTCTAATACATCAATTGCAAAGGCCAGAAGTCATTTTTCTGTGTTTCAAATCTCAATGTCAAGTTTGTTAATATAATACAGGGTTATAAATGTTTCTTATAACAGGAAGCTTTTAAGAGGGGATGTATTATGCATGCATATATAGAGAGAGAGGTACATGTTATCCGCTGATAATTATGATACTTGAACCTTGCATTAACATTAAACGGTAGTATATAAATAAATGAGGTAGCATAGCTATTTCCTTATTATGATGATAGAGCTTGACGCGAGTCATTTATCTTTCCATATCATAGAAAGTTGTACCTACAAATGTTAGCTAACAATCATTTTCTTTGCCTGTTCCTAATTTGCTCTTCAACAACAAAAAGTAAATAAATTACCAAAATTGCTAAATACACTAGTACATGTAAACTGACTTTCATTTTAAATATATATTTTTTCACCTCAAATGAAAGTTATTTACTTTTTTTTAATTCACATATACATGCATAGATACACAAGATTCCCCTAATCACATAAGGCTCTTATTTATTTATTTTTAAATTTTTAATTTTAAGAGTTTAGAATCACTTTAATAGAGTTCATGTTTTCTTGTAATTATATATCAAAAAAATCTTAACCATTTCCTTCCTCTCTTCTCTTTCTGATTTTTATTTAAATCATAAAAATTTAAAATTTTGGATTAGAATGAATTTAAAATATTATATTAATCTTAAAATGTTTTAAATTTTGATTAGCGTTATAATATATTTATTAATAATCATAATTTTTCTTTAGAATTAGAATATTGAAAGAAGTACTGAAACAAGAAATTAATACTCATCAAAAGTATAAATTATGTTAAGAGGTAAAGATCTTTTTCGAATACACGTATTATTAAGTAAAGTATTATTGATAATACCTATAACTATTATCATTGTTAATAGAAATCATTCATAAATAAAACCATTTAAATATTGTTTAAGATTAACCATGTTACAAGATAAATTGAATAAATTAGCCATATTATTAAAAGTAAAATATTTAAAATATTGCATTATATACACTGAAGAATAATTTTGCAACACAAAGCTAGAAAAATAAATTTAAAGAAATATTTTTGCAACAAGATACTTGTGTATTGCATTAGTTTTTTAAATTTAATAAATATTATAAATAAAAATAGTAGATTTGTTAGTGTTCATATTGATTAAATATTTTATCTTGTTATATAGAAGAAAATTAAAGAGATGAAACTTTAAAACTTAAAAGAAAATTAAGAAAAAGTGATTTAAATTAAAAAATTTCATCTTTATTGTATGATGTATCAAAATTGTAAAAATTAAATTATAAATACGGATGACTAAGATTTTTATGATATATTTAAGTAACAATGTATGGAAAAATTAAATAAAAATATCACTATCAATATATTATGCAGAGACACAAACCCAACTTTGTCGTCAGAGAGATTAATTTAGCAACAAATTTTTTAATATATGTTTCAGAATGCATAATAAAAATTTTATTTATAGTAATTTTTTCTTAAAAATATAACAAGATTAAATATTTTTATAATATAAAATACTACAAATTTCAATAATTGTTTTTCACACGTGTTAACACAATTAAAAAATGTTTAAAAAAATATTTAATGAATATATAATTTTATTAAATAGATAAAAAAATTTAAACTTGAGGAGAAATTTTAAAATATATTATTAACATAAATCTAATTATTTTTATTGACATGGCATTAAAATTAAAAAGAAAAATTAAATTTAACAAAAATTGAAATTATCTTAAATTTTAATTTATTTAATATAAGATATATTTAAGTCATCAAATTTAAACTATAATTAATTAAGTAACTAATAATATGAAAATTATGTGATTAACAAAAAAACAAATAATAATCTTACTTAATCAATAATAAAACTTTAAATTTATAATATAAAGATATATTTTATTACAATTCTACGAGTAATAAAGAAATCACAAAGTCCATATATTCATTTACACCATTAGAAAAAAAATAGTGAGTGCCCATGACTTGCAAAGTTATACGTATTTTAGAGAGGAAAATAACAACAGACAAAGGCAACTCGAATCATAGAACGATCAGAATCCATCCATGCAATTAAAGAGCTAATTATATATGTTAGTGCATCAATTGCTTGCTATCGTGTCAATCAAAAAGCTTCCAAAGCTGCACCTAATGCAAATATATCATAATCTTCAGCACTGCACCATGCATGATGATCATGCCCATCTTTGCACCCACACTCCTCCCACTTATTCTTGATCAATCTCTTTCTGTTCTCTTTCTCCATAGCCAAAGCCACTCCTATTTTTACCTCCACTTCCACTTGTGGTGCCCTTAAGGTGGCATCTTCACAATCACTTCCACTTATCAAATCCATCTTCACCCAATCTTTGAACTCCATGTTGGGTGATTCAAGAATTGTCCTCCACGGAATCTCACCCCTACCCACCACATGTGACCCCATAATCCTCCTTAACACTTTGTTTTGCCTTAGCTCCAACACTAGCCTTTCCTGCTTAAGGGTTTCAAAGAATTCTTGGGAACAAGAACAATCTAGACTGAAAGACTCGTTCCAAAAGGGAACAGATTTAACGGAGGAAACCTTTTTGGTGTTGAGTTGAATTCTTTTGTTGTTTCCTGCCGGAAGATATAACCTGACAAATAAGTTTTTTGTGGGCCTGATGGGCTCAACTTTTTGAGCTTGTATTATTTTCAGTTCACAACTGAAGGAGGGAAGTTTCTGGGACAGATCCATTAAGAAATTAATGGAGAGTAGGATTATAGGTCTCTATTCTATAGACTATAATTATGTGTATTTGGAGAAGAAGAGAGAGGGTAATTAAAGCTGAGTAAGAGGTTTGTTTGTGTTTGAGTTGTTTTCTGTGGTGTTGGGACACTCAGCTATGATATATATAGTGGATATGTGAGTGTATTTTATAAATTGAAAAAATGAAGTTGGAAATGCATTTGGAAGCTGCTCTTATCCTTAAAACGTATATTTAGTATTATATAATTGATATCTCAGTTGTGATTTGTGAATATTTTAAGGGATCTTACATAATGCACACAGGATTGTGCTGAAGATTATATCCAACTAAACAAAGCCCTTTGAGAATCTCGAAGGGCTAGATTTTCCATATGGCTCTTCCAAGTTGCAATTGTATTGCGTTGCAATTCAATAGTCAAGTTGTAGTCATCCACCGTGGATCTCAAAGATGAAAAAGATCAGAATAAAAAAGTGTTATTATTGTTCTAAAAGGGCGGCATAAAGAATACTTGCTGAGTTGCTGGATTCAACCGCCGTCAAAAAAGTACCCTTAATAAGAATAATGTTTATCCAATTGATTAGATGTAACAAACCAAAACTACAGAACAGTACAAAATTTCTCCACTTCTAACGATATAATCATATTCAATCATTGTTAATTTTTAATTACTATTAAAAAGCTCAAGGTCTTTTCTGAAGTAAATCTATTTTATGTTCTATTAAGTTATATTACCAACATTTTATGACTTCAATTTAATAATTTTTCTATTATGTTACTTATATTTGATCGTGAAACTTCTATTCCAAAAAGAAACGTTCTTGTATTGCACTAATTTTAATCCAATACAACATTATTTTAATGATAGCTAGGAAGGATTTTTTTTTTCCATTGTTAAGAATTGGAATTTTATTTAAAAGAAGATCAAATATAGCTCGCATACTAGTGTAGAAGCCTCCCATTCAACTAAACACAAAAATATTTTTTCTATAACTAAAATTAATTTATACACACATCTCAATTATATTTAATAATTTTATCAAAATAAATTTTGTTAAACTTGAAACTAAATGGGCACAGAACACCTATTAGTTACTTTCAAATTTTAAAAGTACTTACATGTAACATAAATTGCTTGTAAAAATAACTTTTCTTGTTGAACTACATATAGAATTTTTTTTATTGTGTTTAAGGACATGAAATAAGAGTTTATGTATAATATTTTTTTATTAAAAATTATAAAACATCATAAAATTTAATATTTTGATAATATTAAATATCATAATTTTTAATAAAATAGTTTTTTTTTATTACGCGACATTCATTAAAAAAAATCTTATGTATAAAAGCATGCAAGGAGTCCAATAAAGATTGTCAAGTAGAGGGAGGAAAAAAAAAGATGTACGGCCTCACCTAGTATGCAAGCACTATCTATGCATCGTGATTGGTTTAGTGTTCCATTTATGCCAAATAGAATATATTCCTACAAGACCGCAAATCACCTTTGGTTATCTAAAAACGATAGAAAAATTCGCAGGTACGTAATCGTTCAACTCAATCGTAAAGTGATTATGACCTTGCAAATGGGCTCACATTTATCACATACATCTTCCTTTATTCTTGACTGATGCAAACTTATTTTGTAATAACAAATAATAATTTAAATAATCTGCGTTTAGCTAATTAAAAACACCATTAGGATCCGACAGGGATTTTTCATACACTGGCAAGAAAGTGACGTTTCTGGTCCTTTTGGATATTCAGATCAGATTATAATCTTTAATCGTGCTTATGGAATATTAGATTAGAAGCTGATCAATATAACTTTTGCCAACTTACAAATTTAAGTATAAGCACGAAATTTGTATATGAAAAGATCCAACAGAGAGAATCCCGAAGTTCTGCTCCAGTTTTTTTCATCCAAAATTTTACTCGTGGTAAATTTGGATGAATTTGCCATTAATAGATAATTGATTAAAAGTTTGATATCTCAAAATTTCTGCAGTCCACATGCATGACAGCAATAGCACCATCGCATTGGGTGGTGAGATGAAAGCATTTCAGCTGGCAGGGGTGTAATGGACAAAAAAGAAACTTAAGCTTACAAAAATGAATAGAATTATGAAGGCAATAAAATATCCCTACAATGTTGATCATTACATTCGATGGCTACAAAATATGAAAAAATATCAACTACCTAATAAAAGAAGCGGAAGGCCTGTACATGATTGATATTTATATACTGTAAAAATCATGAAAGGTACTGCTCCAACTTTTACTATCAACCTTTTTGGCTGCCGATGCTGTGAGTTTGTTTGCTCCCCACAAGAAAATGGAGCAAAAAAATGAAGCTCGGAGAATATGGTAAAGACAAAAAGAAAAAAAATAAATAAAAAGGGAACCACCATCATTGGCAAGCCGAAACCCTTGCAATCAGCCTGTATGTTGAAGACTCGGCACAATTTCAAATAGTAACAATGAGAGTCTGCAGCAACACTTCCTTGTGAAAATCATTGCTTGATCATACGAAGTTCCCAGTTACCCTCACCATCAATTAGCCGCAATTCCATGGAATGGAATGGTATTAAAGCAGGACGCTGAGGACAGGAGCAAAGACAAATTAGTTTGATGGGATGTGGATGGTTATCATGCAAGTTCAGTTTAGAGAAGTTAACTGGCTAACCTAGAACTTAATAGAAATCAAATAGCTTTGTGTGGAGGAGTGCATTGCATCTATAACTATAAATCGCATGAGGAATCTCTTACAAAGGAGGCAAGTTGAAAATGCTTACCAAATCCCAATTGTAGTGAAACAAAGAATAACTAACTAGTTAAATGCTCTAAATTCCATAAATTTAACATGTTAGAAGTTAAGGTTTTAAAATTTTCAGTACTATTAGATTCTTACTTGGGAGGAAGTAACAACTGTGATCCCCATTTTTTTGGCAAGCCCATATAGGAGTTCTTCGACATCAACACTAGTTGCACTGCCATCATTTTTTATCAAGAGACAGTATAAAACAAGGTTAACAAAAAAAAAAGCAAACAATCATTCATGAAAGCAAAAAGAAGGCATAAGTAGTCATGCATACTTGGTACACTCGTCCAGGATCCCAAATTTGGGCTTATGGAAGAACAAGCGTGCCTTACAGAACATAAGGAAAATGTTAATCCAAATAGAAGAATATTTCGAAAAATTATAATAGCATACTCTAATTAAGAACTAAGGTTTAAGGCCTATATTACATTAACAAAATATATTCAAGAAAGTTAACATACTCATTCAAAAATTAATCTACATTAGATTTACATACCATGCCTAATCTCTGCTGTTCCCCAAGAGAGAGAATGTCTTCCCAGTTTAGATTTGCATCCCAGCCACTTTCGTCCCTTTCTAGAAGATAATTCAACCTAACATTCTCCAGGATAACTTGCAAATGTGTGTCCAACATTTTTCCAGTGTCAGGATGTTTTTCACCTGAACTAGCAAAATTACAACGATCAGTGCGAAAATGGAAAAACAAAATGAACCTTTAAACGATTAGATGAGCAAGAAGTTATTGTTGGTTCACATGACGAAACTGAACAGATTAATCTTTCCGAACTAAATTCAAGGAAAGGAGAAATCTTCAATGATGTCAATATGACTAACATCTAAATTATTTGATGGATTATCACAATTGTATGACAGCTCATAAGCTAACTTATTCTCTCAGTTAGTGGTGATTAATCAAAAGCAAAGCATGCATCATTTTAAAAATCAGTCTAGCCAAATGAACAGCTGCTGCTAATGAATAGTTAAGTAGCTCCATTTTCATAACCCATAAGGGAATTTCTGGACCGTATGTTGCGTTGTATACCTTTTCCATACATCTTCGATATTCTAAACTCTGCTTCTTCACGGGACAGTGGGTATATAATTTGATCCCGCAATGTTCCCAAGCATGTATAGGACCGCTGAGGAACATAGAAGATGGCACAATCTGATCCAGCCTCTTGACCCATATCATCAGATGGTCTAGAGAGTCTTCCACTTGCAATTGGCCAAAGTCCTCTAAGAACTCTGAAAATGGAACTTTTTCCACTTCCATTTGGACCTTACAAAATATGACACACATAAGATTTTAATTCTAATCACAAGAAAATTTCCTCTCTTAAAAAGGAAAATGAAATGAAATAACGACAATACAAACCAGTAACAAGCAGGCTTCTGCCAAGCTCAATGTCACATGTCAACTCCCTGGCCAACATCTTCTGGGCAGGGGTTACAATATCAACCTCAGAAAAGGAAATAGCATCTTTAGCATGATAATCTCTCACTGGAGGTATAAAACTACCATTGATGGAGTCCCCTGTCACATTGAAGACATGATTAACACATGGTAGCTAAGCTAACTGAATATTATTAAGAATTACTGCTGCAGAAATAGCAAGATACTATTTGTTACTTTGCATATAAAACTAATAAAGATAAAGTACCAGACTGTGCTGCATCCAGGAGCTCTTCAAGCTCAAAAATCCGATTAATACCACCAGAAAGCTCTACAAACTTTCTGTGCAATTCAAGAATGTCACCAAAAGCTAAAAAGCTTTGCGAAACAACAGATGCTAAGAACCTCAATGCATGTGCCAGCTCACCTGTAAAATAGTACAATGCATTACAATGGAGGACAAGAGGGTGATAAAGAGATTAACTGAGAACAGTCCAACAATCCTACCCTGAGTACTAATTGAAGCGCGGTCTCCCTTATGTTCCATAGCATATAACAAGCTCAGCAACCAAGTCACATTATGAGGGAGTTGCTTTGTGATAAAATCATCTAGTATCCCGAACAGCCACTTCTTTCTCAAAAGGTACTTGGAGTGGGAAAGAAGCTCTCTGAATCTTGATTCAACCATCTGCACAAAGCCAAGATATTGAAATTTACAGCCAGCAATATTCACAATGCCCAAACCGTAAAGTAAATAAAAATAAATGAGGCATACTTTTTCTTTTAAACCTGCAACCTAATCACATTCCCCATATTAGAGCCATACATCAAATGAAATATTATAAAACACTAACTCATGCAAAAGTTGTGCGTTTAGAGTTAGCTTGTTTAGTGAAGCAGTAAATGAGAAAGTGAAAAATTAAGAGGGGAATGGAATAGTTTTTTCATTCATTATTGCTTGGTAGATTCATGTTATGATGAGTCCAAAAT